TAGAAATCGTACGCTAATAGTTCTATCGCCTAGCGTACTTAGCGCCCCCGTAGTTACTTTGTTTCTATAAAGCCTTTTAGGTTATTATAGTTAGAAAGGACCTAGATCGGGTAAGGCGCGCCCTCTAGATAATGTCTCTATTAGCAAAACGCTATAATAATAGCGAGTAACTTTAAGTCGTAAGTCTTATAGTTCCGTTCTATAGGGAGTAACTTCCTTAACTAGAACGTAATAGGGTGCTACTACTTTATGCCCCCGTTCTCGACGGGTTATAATAGGATTACGGCTACGGCAAACGCGGAAGCGTTTGTTTCTATCTATAGTAGGAGCTTTAGGTCGTAATAGGCTAGTATTAGCGCTATTATAAAGGCTTTCTTTAGTTAAGCGAAGGCCTCTTATACCTTATCCGTATACTCGAAGGGTCCCCCCTTCTTCCTATTCTAGCTACCTTATAGTAGCGCGGTAAGCCTATATGCGATCTTAGAGTAGTGCTTTATAAAGCGGTAGTAGAAGTTCGCGAAACCTAGGAATACCTATACGTTATAATACGATGTAGGTTCTAGCTACGTTTTAATAGCTTCTACCCTACTTTCGTCTATCTTTACTCCCTTAGGAAAGATAATAAATCCGAGGAATTTAACCTCTATAACGAAGAACTCGCATTTCTTACGGTTTACGTAGAGAGAGAACTACTTTAGTCTCTTAAGTACTTTCTTTACGTGTTCTACGTGCTCTTCGCGTATATTGCTATAAACTAGGATATTGTCGAGGTAAACTACGTAGAAGTTATCTAATAAGCCCGCTAGGGCCTTATTAATGTAAGCCTAGAAGGTAGCTAGGGCGTTAGTTAGGCTAAAAGGCATTACTAGATATTTAAAGTGCCTATAACGGGTACGGAAAGTAGTCTTCTAGCAATCCTATTCTATAATGCTTATATAGTAGTACGCGTCCTTTAAATCGAACTTTAAGAACACCCGGGCCCTAGACAGACGGTCTAAGGTCTTAGAAATAAGGGGTAACAAACACCGATTTTTAATAGTAATCTTATTTAGACCTCGATAATCTACGTATAGCCTTAGGCTACCGTCCTTTTTAGGTATAAATAGTACTAGAGCCCCGGTAGGGGACTTAGAGCGCCGAATCTACTTATTTTCGAGCGCTATTTCTAAATACTCTCTTAGAGTAGCTAGCTCCTTATATAAGAGGTTATATAATAGCTAGAACGGCGGAGTCTTCCCTTCCTCTAGTAGGATCGTATATACTACGTCGGTAGAACGCAGGAGAGACGCTAGGTCCTTATAATTAAATACTACTACGTACTCTTCGAACTCTAGTAGGAGTTCTACTAGGCTATTTTCTAGGTCCTTTTACGCGTCGGCTCCTTCCTAAGTAGGTTTTACCCTAGCTCTCGCGCATATAATAGCGTATACTTAGTCTTCTAACCTAGTATGCCTCGCAAAGTTATTTGCGCTCTTAAGGGATATCTACCCTATACTAGAGCTATAACGCTACTCGTTAGTAGTATCGTCCTTTCTAACTCTAGCCCTAGATCGCTATAGGCGTCCTAATAACACTAGTAGTTCTAGTATAGTTATACTATAGAAGATATCCTTAATCTCCTTTTCTACTCCTATAGAGTCTACGATCTAGGTTCGTACCTAGTACGCTACGTATACGTACGCTAGGTTTCCTTAGAAACTTACGGCCGACGGTTAGTCCGCCTTAGGGATTAGCTTAAGTCCGTAGGCGAGTGCATAATATTACTTAATAAAGTTATAATCCGCTACGTCGTTAAGTAAGTAGTTAGAAAGATGCTCCTTCGTATCTATAACGATAGTTCCTTAAATAGCGATAGCTAGGTAACTACGTACTAGAACTCGAGTAGGCGAGTTCTATCGCCTAGGCTATCCTTTTGTCCTAGGCGGTAAGGCTAACTCTCTAAGGGATAAAGGGGGGCTTAAGGTCGAGTCTTCCTATAGCCCTTACCTTTTCCTACTTTATCGTTAAGGCCGATATGTCGGAAGTTTACGTCGCCTCTACCCTAAGTCCGTTTTAGATAATTAGGTACTATATAGCCGGGTTCGTCGTATACATAGTAGATAACCCCTTCTAGCTTACCTCTACTACCCTAGTAGCCGCCTTAGTAACCGCCTCGTCCGCCTTAGCTAAACGAGCCGCGGCCTCTACTACTAGCGTAGCCGCCTTAGGAAGGTTATTCCTATTATAGCCGTTTTACCTCTAGTTTACGGCCGTACGAAGACCTTTCCTTATTACTATAGGACTTAGTCTTACGGATAGTGTTATTCTTAATAGTAGTTACCGCTAAGATAAGTTCCTCCCGTGTTTTAGGTACGTCGCGTACCTAGACTAGAGTAGAACGGAGGGAAGGGCGTAGCTTTACTAGTAAGTGTTAGACCCGTTATTCCTCTATATAGGGTATTATTTAAGCTTCTAGGCCCGTAAGGTACGCTTTAAAGTCTACTACCTTCTAGGACTCTCCCTACCTTGCTTAGTCGTACTAAACTATAATAGCTATGCCGCGGTTAACCGGATCCTTAATAGTATCGAAGGCGAACTTTCTAAAGCCTTTAAAGGTTAGGCCCTAAGCCGTTCCGAGGGGGTATCTCTACTACTAGCGATCGGTAATAGTAGACGATAGGAACTGCACTACGTAGAGGATACGCCTCTCCTCTATATTAAAGGCGTACGCGTTAATCTAGAAGATAATATCTAGTTAACATAGGAAGTAAGTTACTTCCTTAATGTTCCTAGCCTTATACTATTCTAGGTCCTTTATCTTTACGCTCTAGGGTCTTTTAATACGCATAGTTAGACGGGTTTAAGAAGACGCTCTAGAGTAGCTATCGTTAGTCTCTATCGTAGGAGTAGAGGCCTCGTAGCGCGTACGTTAAGCCTAGGTAGCGGCTACTTTTGCTTTAGCGTAAAGGCGCTATTATTTCTCTAGCTCGTTCGCCTCTTATAGCGCTCTAATATACTCCTATAGTTACGCTAGTGTCTCTTACGCCGGAGGGAGCTCCTCCTCTACGACCCTATCGAGGTCGTAGAGCTCTTTATTCTTAAAAGGTTCCTCCCCCGTATAGGTATCGTTCTACGCTATATTAGAAGGCATTATAGGTTATTACTAGGGTAGAACAATTAGAATTGTAAGGGTGTAGAATAACAACGTATAATGCGCTTTAATATAGTAGTAAGACTAATTATTAACCTTCTATACGATAGGTCTTAGCTTTATAGATATACGTAGCTAGAACGGAATAATAAAGTCCTAATAACGGGCCTCCTAGGGATCCCCCTAGGAGCGCCCTATTATACTAACCTTTAGTAACTTAGCTAATAGCAAGAAGGAGGCTAAGGCCTATTACCCCCTTATTGCTAACCGAGTAATATTTAATGAAAAGGTATAGGTAAGCGAGAGAACTCTACTTAAATAGGTTAACTCCTACTAGCGCTTCTCGTTCGCTAAGGGCTTATTAATCGACGAGCCTCGCCTCTTATTACTTAATATGCTCGCTACGTAGAAGATTAATGCAGTTAAGGCCGCCTTTGCTTCTTAGAAGACTATCTGTTCATTTGTCCTACCTAGCTATACCGGCTACGTATAGGTACTTAATGTATCTATTAACAAGCTTTTTAAGGACTAGATTAGACATTTAGCTAATATTTACTTTACTAACCATCTAGAGGACTAGGATACTACTGTATTAAAGCGTAGGGTCCTTATTACCTATTAGGTTGCCTAGGCATATACCTAGATTTACGACACGCATAAGGACTTAATTATTAAAACCTTCTAGTAGGTTAGCCTTGCCCTTCCTATTAATGAATCTTAGGATAACCTCCTTAAGGTTAAGGACCTGCCTAACCTTAATATCGGTAACTAGCGACGTCGTAATAAGGACGGTAGTCTCTACGAGCCCGGGCAGCCTAAGAACTACTTTAATCCTAAGGATGCTTCTTAGTAAATTAAGCTCGAGGGCGACGACGACGACACTTAGTATACTATCTACGCTATAGACCCTACTCTAGCATCGTAGGAACTAATTATTATTAACGACGACGAGCTACCGGAGCTCGATATAGACGACTTTAAAAACGACGATTAGGACGTAGATTACGAAGTCGACATAGATTATATTAGCAGTAACCCTATGCCTCTTAGAGAGCTTTAAACTACTTAATCTAAGAGCTCTAAAACGCTTAAATTAGCAATAAAAATCGAGACCTAATGATAGTTGTGTGTTTGCCTTGTTTGCTCTAATATCTTAATACTTTCCTCCTTTTCCACCTGTGCGCACGCTAAGACTCGCCTATACCGCTTACATTAGCAGCTATTGCGAGGGGGGGCCCTTGTTCGAGGTAAATAACCGTGTATTGGAGCTCGAGCTAACCCCTGCCGCTATAACCGAGGGGCCCTTGCCGCGAGGGGGGCCCTTAAAAACGAAATTTTACGGTACTCCCTCCCAAAACAACGTCAGCGAAAACATCGTCATCCCCAGCCACCAACTACAACTACCAATGTTCCGTATACACGAGCGAAAAGCAAAACAATATTCCGACACGGTGAATTGAATTCATCGCGTATTATTGAGATAATCGTCACCGATAGAAAGTGTATAATCCATGGCATGGCTGGATGGAAGTTTGGGCGACACATATCAAGGCACATTGCTTCCAACATGGTCGGCGTCGTAAATAATTGTATAAAACAGTTTTTCGGCAAACAAATGTTAGACAGGAATATTCGATTACGTCACACAATCAGATATTCTTTCGTGTTGAGACAGGGTGGGAAAGCAGTGCACCGAGCTGCATCATGTGGCAGATTGAATGCGTGAAACCAAGAAATGCGATGTACCACAATGTGTCGACCTGTCACTCCGAACGGATACATCCAAGTATGTAACAAAGTACTGATATCTGACCCATATGCAGTTTCAAGACAGAAGTCATCAACGTGGACAGATATCTAAAGATAATGCTCGAAATTGATTGTGAATGGTATGACCCTGGCCTTTAGATATACATCACGATTGAATATTTCCTCGATGCCCACCATATGCAGAGGCGTCCAGGTTCGAGGTCACTAGGAACGTTGTTTGAGTACAATAAATAGACTGGTATGGACAGGCATGCTGTATAAGCACCTTCTTCGAACTGGACACCATGTTCTGTGTGCGTTCCCACCCTCATCTCCCCACCATCTATCCCAGATCAATGACACCGTATGCCGAACCACTCTATGGTTGTTCTACCCACCCAAAACTCCGAATCATAATCATCCCTCTTTCTCAAATATCCCTACAAGAATGCGCACCATCCAATATACATCTGGCACAAGTTCCACGGATCGGTAGCCTGTCCAATCAGCGCATTGACATGTCCTTCTACACTCAACGGCACAGTTTCTCCTCTGAGGAATCCCTTGAGCTTTTGGCTGATCGATTCAAGGACTTCCTGTGGTGTGTCGGGTACACCGGGTGTCGTTCTTTTCTTCTTGCCGATAAAGTCAGTGGTAGGGTCGTGCAAGAATGTCTCGAGAATGTTCATCAAAGTGTCCTGATGTTGTCGGAGCAAGCCCAGTGTCAACTCAGCCGACTTGCGGAATGGACCTTCGTATCCATAGGCTCCCATTGCAGCTATCATATTGTGTGTCAGACGGAATGGTACGAGTTCCGGCTTTTCGAAAGTGAGACCCTTGTCGAAGAGACAGTTAAAGTCGACGTGGAAGACGCCGCCAGTATCTTCTTGGAGCAGAATGTTCTCTCCGTGTCGGTCGCCGAGTCCCAGTACGTGTCCAACCATGGACATCACTGCTGCCGAGCGTGCGTACCTCAGACGAGCTGCAAACCATGAGTCTGGCTCAGGGAACATCTCAGCGAACCATTCGTGCAGGATCGATGGGAACACCTTCAACACCTTCTCGTTGAAGATATCGACGTTTGCTGGACTCGCGCTTGCCTCACTAAGGAAAACTCGGAGTTCGTTGTAGTTGGGTTGAACGCCTTTTCGCTGGTAAAGCTTGAGGAGGATATCGCGCAAAGGCTTGATGCCTTCTACCCACTCAATGGTACCTGACTCTTCACTCAAGGGCGTCACACCATAAGTCTTGATATACAGACGTCGCTTGCTGGACTCGGTGTCTCGTCTAAGAGCTCTATTGATCATCGTGTTGAATTCCATGAGACGCTGATCCTTTCTGAGATCATCTTTCGGCTTGCACAACAGTCCATATTGTTTGCCATCGGAACCTCTCACTGTCAGTTTGCGTGGCCGTTGCAACGAGTTGAGCACCAATACTTCATCACTGAAGTTTTGTATAGTGATGCGCTCCTGTGCAAACGCCACAAACTTCCGGATATGGAAGGCGTCTTGCACAACCGGAGCGTTGGCTGTCAAGGTTGACTCTAGAGGTATGACAAGAGGATTAGGTGCCAACTTGTGGTTGAAATTCAGATCCTTCGACAGACTGACGTTGGCTGATCGCGTTTCGATGTGGATCTCACAGGCCTGTAGCAGACCGTCCGACAACTTCTGACCATGAGTGATCATTACGCGCAAGTCCAAGCTAGCAGATTCGTTCTTGGGCCGAGTCTTCGGGTCTTTAAGCTTGTTGATGATGGCCACACCACGACTTGCTCTGTCTGGCACAGAAGCCTTGCATACCGCTAGCAAGAACCAGAGCGCTTGACTGGGATGTGACGAGACGATCTTTGAGATGATCATTTGCAAGATCTCATAGACTTTTGGGTTCGGATGAGTGATGCGTGAAATCATCTGAGGAAGAGCGTTGTAGAAGATGTAGGGAGGAATTCGGTCAAAGTACTTCCTCATCTGCTTGTGAATCAGATCAAGGAAGTGTGAGCGTTTGGCCGTCACCTCAGCCTGTGCGTCGTTTCTGGTTCTTTGCATGCACTCCATACCAAGATCCAGCCAGAGTGTGATGATCTTTGGAATTGTTTGGTACCAGTACTTGGATCCAAACGGTACCGATCGCAAGTAGTTCTCGATGACGAGCTTGGTCAATTCACCCGTGATGTAATTTTCTGGCTGCTTGGATATGGGGAGAATTTTCGCAGCGTCCAAAAGCATGTTATAATGCTTTCCGAGATAGTAGTGTCCCTTCTCCCATCTCGAGTGGTGTCTAGCCGCATATTGATACTTGCTTGCGATCTTCGTTGCTTGTGTTTGTCCAGAGGCGTCCAGCCATTTCGCGAGCAGCAAATGTGCCCTAGCAGAAAGCATGTTCTGTTTCTGCTGTGCTTCTTCGGGATTGCTAGTATCTACCATTCTTTGGTCGTAAGTTGCGAATGTGTTAGATGCAATAGCGCCCTCGAGACTCTGGATAGCTTGTCTGTGTTGATCGTCCTTCCAGAGAAGTCTGGCGTGTTCAATCTTAGCTGCATCGTCTCCACAGCTGAAAGCGTTGAGTACAGCATAGTGAGCGATGCTCGATACATTTGTCTTTCGAGCAAGACGAGCTGTCGTCAGCCATGAAGTACCGATACTAACATCCGAGAAATCGACACTGGACAGCCGCATGACAGCACGTCGAATTCCAAGCAAGTACTGCTTGTCTGTGATGTATGCTCCCACCACAGCCAAGCGCTTGTCCATGACCCCAAGGATTGATGCAGAGGGTGAATCCTGAGTGCTGGGAACATCGAGCACTCCACTGAGAGCTCCGATCTCATACACAATATGGAGCTTGAGAAGAACGTCGTGGCAAGCCTGGAGCGAACTTCCAGAGACCGAAGTAATGCCTTTGACCACAATGTTACGGAGTTTGTTGATCATAATTGATGTCGAGTCTTGGTCCTTCTCTTGCATGGCGAGGAGCACTTTGCCAACACCGACATTGAAGTCATTTTGGTTTTCCTCTGGCAGACCAGATAGAGTCTCCTTGAGAGTGTCAAACCTTTCAGTGATCCAGCATGCCTCGGTCATGTAAGACAAGAGTGGACTCTTTTCACCAGCATTAGAATTGCCTTTGTAGTAGGATGCATACCGCAAGACTTGATCATACTGGCCAGACTCTCGTAGGCAGCTCAGGAGGTCGATTTGACGATTTGTATTCGAGGGTGACTTGATCAGCTCAAGTTCGTACCAACTTTGTGCCGCTGACCATCTGCCAGTCCTCTGATGTTGGAAAGCTTGTTGTTCAGGACTGAGGATGTTGAGGTGTGCCGAGATGCCGTCGAGACCGTCAGGCTCATCGATTTGAGAGTAGATGGAGTGCAATCGTTGAAACATAGCATCGTGCTCTTTGGCATCTTGGTTTCCTTGCCTCTGAGACTGGTCTCGGATATAGCTCTCCCAATGGAACAAAGCACGTGCATATGAGCCGCACTCCATGGCGCGTTGAGCGATAATGTCTGCAGGTATAGACCTTATCACACTCTCAACACTTTCGATCTGGCCCTTGTCTTTAGCCTCTTCGACTTCTGAGAGGGCATGGCCAGCCCGCATAGCTGCAGTTCGGTGCGCAGCCATGGTTCGCTTCTTTTCCTGTAGCCACTTTGACATATAGTCCAGAACAGTGAAAACATTTTCGCTGCATTGTCGAAGAGCCTCTCGCTCGGACTCGACAAGTGATTCAGACGACAGGACTGTCAACATCTCAATTCCAACGTCTTTGGCCTCCTGTACCGTACCACCAAGGACGATGTTGAGTGCGACGTAAGGTAGTAGGAAGCTGGCAATCGAGATATCATGTCGAGTGATGATTCGGGCTAAAATAGGAAACACCATCTCTGCATTGTCACCTTTGCCCCTCCACAACATGTCGTATGCCCATTCGCGAAGCCATGTGCTGTAGCGTTTTCCAACGGCAAACACTGGGTAATTTCGCTTCCCGGGTTGAACAGACGAGTTGCTATTGAGCAGATATCTTGAGCTCAAGAATGGCGTGAGGGTGTTCCGGACGCTTTCTGTCATCTCAGTCCAGCGATTGTATGCGGGACCAGCTTGTGATGGTCTCAGACGCGCCGCTGCAGCTTCATTGAAACCACAGAAGCGGACCAGCTCTTGCATAACATAAGCCAGAAAGCCCTGATCTCGGGCGTTGGTGGAAGACTTGAACGCTGGAACCAGGACGTCTTCGAGCATAATAGCAACCCAGTTGATAACCTCGGATGCTTTTTCGAAGTTCGAAAGCACAAGCACTTGTCGCTTGCTACTAATCATGTCGATGCGGTTTGGATCCAGACAGCCGATAATTCCAATGCATTGTGCGCTGAGATCAACAACAGCTGAATCAGTATTGGCGTACTTCGTACATACGTCTAAAAGAGCACGCATGATATCTGCTATCGCAGTCTTGGGTTGTTCGCTGACAGCTGCCTCGTGGATGAAGCCTTGGTTCTCGCCGAGCCAGGGAACCAGTTCGCGGAGTCCTTGAGTGACAATAGCGACATTCTCATCGTGCAGTCGCTTGGCAAATGCGCGAAGATGCACTTCTGGACGCTCGTCCTTCTTGAGCCGCTGAATTTCACCACCAATCTTGGACATCAACGGGATTGAAGCTAAGGATGGTATAGTCATAAGCTTCTCTCGAATCACGTTGCTGTGAGTCTTGAGAATTTCGCTTATGGTGTCATGAGTCTTCATCTGTAGAGTTGACGAAAGATCGTTCCAATGTTGAGCAACAAGTGCAAAGGTGTGATCAACCATGTCAGCAACATCATCACCCTCTAGAACGTTGACCATAGTAAGCCAGGCAGACAGTGCCGAATCTTGAAGCTTGGGCTGGTCAATAGCGCTTTGGAGGCATGCCCTTATCTGCATATTTGTGAGCTGCAGATCGATAATGTGCGAAATTGTCTGACCGTACCTGAGGAAGTGCCACGCTGACTTTGCTCTTAGCAAGTATGATCATTTGTTCTATCGCTTTGACACAGCGGAGCTTCTCGGACGAAGATAGCGATAAGGCGTTGTCGATGGAGTTGGAAAACTCGGTCATTATTCCTAAGACATGGGCCTCGAAGAAACTGACAACCATGCGACTAGTTTTCGCGTTGGGCTTGGAATGGCTTGGTTTTCCTTCGACCAACATGGCAAAGATCTGGATTGCCTGCTGTGCCTAGACATCTTTAGCGACTGTGCGAGGTTGTTGAGACGGAGGACTCACCTTTGATGCATTTGACTCGTCTTCATCTCCAGCAGCTTTGAGCATCTCGCATGCGATCAAAACAGGATTCGATCTGACCAGACTTCCTAGATCGCTACTCTGAAATCCAGGAGCCACCTCAGCGAGACATCTGGTCGCATTGCCTTCCACATCGCTGGATGGTTGGAAAAGCAATGTAGATATTACAGCTGCAAGATTAGCTGGCGGCTGAAGACACATATCTTGTATGTTGGTCTCTGCACTACGAGCCGAAGCAATTCGCTGTAGAATATCCTTCTTCCTTGTCAAGACGAGAAAAGGTACAGTGTCTCTTTGTGTCAGTAGCAGAAAGTGGCTCACGCTCATACCTAGAAACTCGGCAAGCTGTTGCGCTTTCTGAGGTTTAGTGGTAAGATCTTGGACGACTGCGACGGCAATGCTGCGATAGAAAGGCTTGAGCAGAGTCTGTGGAGAAAGTGACAGGGTTTCAGCGATATCTTCCAACTCGCTGTATGCAACAGAGCAAACCAGGGAATTCGGATGACCCAAGTAATCGACCAGCCTGAGTAATGCCAGATTGAGTTCCTTTTCTCCGCATACCACTGCTACTCTGCCCCAAGCTAGGATTAGAGTCTCATGCTGACCAACAATGTCTTTCGTTGACAGAGCTCTCAGAAAGTTGAGGGCAAGCTGTCGGTTCTTATTACGGAGATCGACGGGCAATCCCTCGCGGAGAAACGCAGCTAACGTTCGACCTGCGGCGATCCGTAGTTCCCTTGAAGAACTGTGTAAGTATTTCAAGCACCATTCGGCCAAAAACGAATTGCCAAGATCAAGGTAGGTGGGATCTTTATTGTGCAGCACGAGTGACCGGATTGCTAGGATGGCAAGCACTCTATCCCTGTTAGATAGCTGAAGATCTTGACTTTCAAAAAGTTCTGTGAGCAACAAGAACATCTCGGTCCAGTCCTCGGATCTATCGTTCTCTTCCCAGGTGTTTTTGGCAGGTTCTTGGCGTAGACGACGATCGCCATCGCACACCGAACACCTTCCGTTGTGCATGTTGTTCGTAGCAGCACAAGCGCAGGACCCTATCATTCGCCAAAATTTGCTTCGTTGCTCTTCGGGCATGGACGCATAGCATGTTCTGCTCGAAGTCAGTTCCTTGTAGTTGCAGTGTCTTGGGGCGAACTTACACAGCGTCATGTTTCTGGCCACCTGGAGTTGTATCGCTCTCTCTGCCCAGAAGAATGGCAACTCTTCGTTTGAGAGTCTGATAAAGGTCTTCGAATTGGCCGTTTGACATGTGATCAGGCTTGGAAGCGCTCACTAAACCTACGCGCAGAGACCTGGACGAAGGGGCTGGTTGCGAAAATGTCGCTTCATTGGAAGGCAGAGGAGCATCGTCTCTCATTACTGTATCAGCTTGGTCTGCAGAGCCATTCTGTCCAAAGACTTGTCCCTTGGTATCGTGTCTCGACAAATACTTCTCGAGTACTTGCCGCAAAGACTCAGTGGCGGTCTCGAATTTCGACGTGTCGAGAGCAAAAACCCTAATGGAGGGAAGCAGGAACTCCTCGATTATGTACGCATAATCTGAGTTAAGGCGATCGACCAAGAGTTCGAGAGTTGACGCAAGTTCTCGCTGTAGTTCGTTGTCCAGCGGTGATTTGCCTTCGTAAACAATGAGTTTTGAACAAAATTCGCAAAGATTACCGAGCAAATAAGAGATGCGGCTTCGGGGGCTCGCATCAAACGAGCCGTTCAAACAGATATTATGAAGACGCATGATTTGCAGGGCAAACAAAGAAAAGAAAGAATGTTGGTCGAGCCAGGACTTATGCTGAAATAGAATGCGACTCAAGCAGCCGACCGAGTCGAACAGCCATTTGTGCAGCGGCACGGTCGAGGTCTGAAATTGACTGAGCGCTGCTCTTGTCGAGGCAATGTCTCTTAAGGTGGAGACGAGCAGCAGCTGTATTCTGATGGCTGATAGAGCATCATTGGTAATTATTTGATGGCCCAGCAATAGAGCGGATTCGTCTTCTGTTGCGGGCCATGCGTTCGATGTGCTCCTGGCGGGTGGGAGCAATACACCTGGTACTTGTGGCGAAGACTTGGAGAAAATGCGATTATCTTGAAGCAGTAAGAATACGTCAGTAACACAATCGCGAAGCATGTGAAGAACTGCTTTCGCGTGTGGCCACAGATCCAAGGTCTTCGACAAAGCCAAGACTAATGAGGACAAAAGGGAAGCCAAAGAAGCTTGCAGTTGGTCGCCTTTGGAATGCTTCGAAATCATGAGCAGCTTGGGGAAGAGCCAAAGCAAGAGATGTGGATGTTGCTCCAGGTTCGGTTGTGGACCTCCCTGGAACAGGATCTCGGGTTGTCTCTGTATGGTGGATTGGATGACAGCAAGACTGTCGACTGCCTGAGGCAGCAGAAATCCCCATTGAGGAAAAGGATTGTCTTGAAACAGGACATCCAGACCTGCCTCGACAACAACCTTGATCAATTTATGGTTGACTTCGACATCAGTTTCGGGGACTGAGGTCTTGTTCAACAACTCCTGGAGAAGTTGGCGAAATGGGACGGTGGTATCTGGCTGATGGACACCACGAGCAGTCTCGACATGGTTCCTCACAAGCTGAGCGGCAAGCGTAGAAGGTGGTGGAAGATTTGCATCAGTCAAGTCATCGCCACCAAAGACAGCACTGCGACTATGGGTGTGGGCGAGAAGCCTGCCGACCATCTTGCAAGTCGTGATCAAGAGGCGGCCGCAGAAGCAGCAGATGGCTCATCTGGTAAGTGTTTGACGGGGGCAAGTTTGCAGGTTGGAAACATTTCGGCAGGAAGACGCGACCAACGGGCATTCAGAAGGCACGCCGTCACGTGCCCTAAATTGACCCAATTCTCGGAGCAAGGAAGCCTACGAGCGAGGGAGCTGCATGGTCAGCAACCAAATAATCGCCGCTTTTATTGACATCGACCGTCTTCGCTGAAACACATAATCAAAACCAACATTGCGCATCCGGACACACACGCCACGAACAAGCGCACAAGATGGCCGTCTTCCCAGCCAAACGTTTCCGCTCGAGCTCGTACAATGGCACCATGCCCGCCAGATACCGTGCGCTTCTCGCAAAGCACCCTTTCGCCCTCTTCGGTCTTCCCTTCATTGCGACAATGGTCCTGGGCTCTTTCTTCTTGACCCCCGCTACCGCCATCCGATACGAAAAGCACGATCGCAAGGTCAAGCAGTTGACTAAAGAAGAAGAGCTTGGTATCGGAAAGGACAGACGAAGAATAGATCTGAAAGAAGAATACTATGTTCGTACATCCAAAGTGAGCACATGTTTGCTAGACACTGACCCGGAGTACAGAAACTCGCGGCAAAAGATCTCGACAGCTGGGAGCAGAAGAGAGTCAAGAGACTACCCGGCGAGCACGATGGTATCCTCTAGGCTAGCATCCCCCCACCGCTCTCTTATATTTTGCTCTTTCACAGGGTTTGGCGCATCATTATCTCGGGTTATTAGCAAGGCGTTGGTTTGGTGAAACAAAATATGGCATACTCAGTACAGGAGAAACTCCAAATTTGACGACACGCATTGATCGGTTCTGGACCATCGCTCTCCACTTCATCAATGGCACATGTTCAGATCACAAGCACTTTGTACCTCTGCATATCGCTGGCTCATTTGTGCTCGTTACTTTCATCCATCGTTGACCGCCTTTGTCTTTGTTCTATCGTGACCAGAAGCCGAGGCATGGTGTGGAGATAATGACGACGTCATTCTGTTGACCTTCGATACCTTGTCCATCTCGCCTCTTGTCTAACCAGCTTCTTGCGCGTTTACCTTGGACTACCACTTTCAAATCGCTCAACATGGACAACTCAACGTATGGTCTGATCAAATTTTTGTTCCCACGTCTTCCATCGTTGACGAAGACGGCCCTATCACACTCCCTCTCGCTGTCTCCAACATCTTCGAAATGGGACCTCAGGACTGAAATGACAGTTGCATTTTTGCGATCTCTTATGAATGGTGGCCCTTCTCCAGTTGGACAGACTCAAGCTCATACTTTGAACGATCCAGGAGCCAAGGGCAAGGTCTGGACTGCGAAAGTCACTATCCCGGCTCCCGAAGATGAAAGCATTAGAGATGCGACTTTCACTGCTATCGCCGACCTTGGAGATGGCAGCGAAACATACATAAAGCCAGGACTTTCCGACGTCGATGCTGAATGGACGGGCTTTAGACCAGGAGCCGGATCAGACGAGCCTCTGCCAAATATCTCCGAGCAGGAGAAATATCAAAACCTCATGAAAGAACCCTCCAAATCGAGCAAGACGACAATTCTGTATCTTCATGGAGGAGCGTACTATCTCTGCGGTTTTGGTACGCATAGACTGCAAGTGTCGAAGCTGGCCAAGGCTTGCAATGGAAGAGCCTTCAACGTTGCCTATCGTCTTGCACCTCAGGCTGCTTTCCCTTCGCAATTGCTGGATGCGCTGAACGCGTATCTGTATATGTTGTACCCACCTCCTGGTTCTCTTCACGAACCAGTGTCAGCCAGTGATATTGTTTTCGCTGGCGACTCGGCAGGCGGCAACTTGGTTTTCGCACTTCTCCAACTCTTGCTCCAACTCCATCGCACGAAGCTATCAGACGCAAAGAACCCAACTGTCCGCTATCACGGAAAGACAGTCGAAGTGCCTCTTCCAGCAGGAGCATCGGCTAACTCTGGCTGGTTTGATATCACCAGGTCGATGCCTTCATTGGTCAACAACGCAAAGTTCGATTACCTACCACCGGCAGACCATGACGATGCTCTGGGAAGATTCCCCAAGGACAATGTCTGGCCAACGACACCACCGAGAGGTGACTTGTTCTGTGACCTCAGCATGTTGTGTCACCCTCTTGTATCTCCGCTCGCTGCCAAAGACTGGTCCGGCGCACCACCACTCTGGATAGAAACGGGAGAAGAACTTCTTACAGATGAAGATCTGGTGGTGGCTGTCAGAGCATCCACTCAGGGCGTCAAGGTACACTTTGAGCAGTATGAGGCAATGCCTCATTGTTTTGCTATGCTCTTGCCCACGCTTGCCACTAGCAAGAGATGTATGGAATCGTGGGGCAATTTCTGCAGGAATTGTACTGAGGGAAGTGTAGAGACGAGTGGTACATGGATTGCGGCAAAGACAGGTGTCGAGAAAGAGGTAGATGTGACAAAGGTCACGCCTTTGACTGTCGAAGACGCCCTCGAAAGGATGAGAGATGCTCAGAGGAGAAGGTTCGCTGGCTACGAGAAAGAGGGCAAAGCAATGCCGAACCCTAGCTTGTAGGCTTCAAGAGTCGAAGCGAGCAATGTTTGGAGTCGAACATCATCAGAGGCGCTTAGAAAGGGATACTTTCAGACTAGATTTTGCAGACTCGATATCGCATATACATAATAATGCTCTTGACACTTCTTTTCAACTTTAATATCCGAGACCGTTTCCGATGGCTTCGGATGACGGCAGGTCACTTCCGAGCCCCTCTCCAGCCATGACGAAGTGACCCGCCAGAGCACCTTCATCATCTTCAGTTTAGACTGCATTCTATTCATTCCCGATTGCAATTCCAAAGCTGTATTCAGGTTCCAGATCATCTTCCCTCCCACGTCTACCACCAGCTCAACTCTCTTTCGAAAATGCCGTTCGCAAAGGTCAACTACAAGCAAATTTACTACAAGGATTGGTCGCCAAAAGATGGTTCCACTCCTCGAGCAACACTTGTCATGGTAATTCCAGCAAAATAACACTCAGGTGCATCTGCTAAAACAGAAACAGAGCCATGGCTTGGGCTCAAGTAACAACTACTACACCTCAGTGGTACCCTTCTTGACCGAGCAGGGTTACCGCTGTGTCTGTTTCGACATGACAGGATCTGGTCGCTCACCTTACACTCATGTCGAGCAAAGCATTCACACCCTGGCAGGAGATGTGGTTACTCTCATGGATGTCTTATCAATCGACAAAGCAGTGTTCGTCGGACATAGCATGTCAGGAGTGGTCGGTCCTGAGCTAGCTGCTGAATGGCCCGACCGTGTTCGAGGACTCATCTTAGTTGGCCCTGTGTGGCCAAATCCGGAAGTCGCGCCCGTCTTTGAAGACCGCATCAACAAGGTTGCAGAGAAGGGTATGGAAGTCATGGCAGACACTGTGCCATATGCTGCTGTTGGTTCTAAAGCGACTTCCCTACACCACGCTTTCATCCGCGAACTTCTGTCTGGAATGACACCTGCTGGATATATCAGTCTTTGCAGAGTTATTGCCAACGCGTACAAGTCACCACCGAAGTATGAGAAGGTCTCTTGCGCTACTCTTATCATTGCGGGAGAGGAGGATAAGAGTGCTCCTTTGTCCGGCTGCAAGAAGATCATTGAAGCACTTGGCTCGGAGAAGAAGGATATGGTTGTGATGGACAAATGTGGCCACTGGCACTGTATTGAAGGTCCAGAGGAAGTCGGAAAGTTGTCACTGGATTTCTTGAAGCAGATTTCATAAAACAGGAATCGATTCATCGATTAATCCGACAAGATTGCTCGCGATCTTTGACACATGATCTGTAGCTCGACAAGCATATGTGTTGGAGCAACCGATATCGCTGAATGATGCTGGAGAGAAAATTCTGCAGGTACCCGCTTGGTTGAACTACATTGCATAAGTGGTCCGCAAAGCGTGTGTCTGGGTTCCTGAAAACGTAGAGTGTTACAGAAGTAACGAAATTCGGAAAGCCATCATGGTAGAAATGAGAAGAGATAGATCTGATATGATTAGATATCCTACCGTCCGATTATCTTGATCCTACTAACAATTGTTGAGGGAAAAGGGGGTCCTTAAAGGTGCAAGGCGGTGAGAGGTTCAGAACGTGCCCGTCGTCTTATCCGACGTCCAAGTTTCAACAGTCCGAATCCGGTAGTCGCTCTGCCACGTTCTATCTTGATATTCAGACATCCTCGAGGACGAATGATGTACTGTAATTCAGCGACGAAGGATTTGACAGTGTGACATGCACTATGTCGGGTCCCAATCACCGGATAGACCTTGGTTGAGGCTAGAAAAGATCGTACGAGTGTTTCAACATGAAGCAGGATCTTGGCGACAGGCGTTGGATAAGAGCTTGATGGAAGCCCCTGGGCCCTGGGTCTGGGATGGGCTGATTTCCCAAAGACAATTAAAGTGGGAAGAGTATAATTTGACACGCGCGCCGTCCTTGCAACAATCTCGACGTCCATCTTCCTGCCTCTTTCCTTCAATCCAACGCTGCTGTTTCTTTGTTGAGCTTGTTGCTTCGTTGTTTCTTGCTAATATTGTTCTGATACCCTTTTCTACCACACCTTCAATCTTTCAATCTACCCGCCACAATGTCTGAACGCCCCGAGAACATTGGTATCAAGGCCATTGAGCTTTACTTCCCCAGCCAGGTATGCAGCAACAGCTTTCTTCTACTGCATTGCAGTCGCTAACCAGCCAATCTGTAGTGTGTTGATCAGTCTGAACTCGAGAAGTTCGATGGAGTTAGCGCTGGAAAGTACACCATTGGTCTCGGCCAGACCAGAATGAGCTTCTGCGACGACAGAGAGGGTGAGTTTGCGACCGGCACGCATGTTTTTGGACTCTAAGAAAGCTAACGAGAACTGCAGACATCTACTCCCTCGCCCTGACCGCCGTCTCTTCGCTCCTCCGCAAGTACAAGATCGACCCCAAGGACATTGGTCGTCTCGAAGTCGGTACCGAGACCATCCTCGACAAGTCCAAGTCAGTCAAGTCTGTCTTGATGCAGCTTTTCAAAGAGTCGGGTAACACCAATGTTGAGGGTGTCGACACCGTCAACGCTTGCTACGGTGGCACCAACGCACTTTTCAACGCCATTAACTGGGTTGAGTCCTCGGCTTGGGACGGTCGCCTCGCCATTGTCGTGGCTGGTGACATTGCTCTTTACAAGAAGGGTGCCGCCAGACCCACTGGTGGTGCTGGCTGCGTTGCCATGCTGGTTGGCCCTGACGCTCCCCTGGCTTTCGAGCCCGGCCACAGAGGCAGCTACATCACTCACGCCTACGACTTCTACAAGCCCGACCTGACCAGCGAGTACCCCATCGTTGACGGCCAATTCTCCATCAAGTGCTACACCCAGGCCGTTGACGCCTGCTACGAGGCCTACAACACCCGTGAGGCCCAGCTCAAGTCAAAGGCCAACGGTGCTGGCAACGGCAACGGTGTCCACGCTGAGCCCGAGACTCCTCTTGACCGCTTCGACCACATGTGCTTCCACGCCCCTACCTGCAAGCTGGTCTCCAAGTCGTACGCCCGTATGCTCTACAACGACTACAAGCTGAACCCCGAGAACCCCGTCTTCGCCGAGGTCCCCGCCGAGATCAAGGACATGGACCTTGAGAAGTCATACAGCGACAAGACTGTCGAGAAGACCTTCATGGCCCTCTCCAAGAAGCGTTTTGCTGCTCGTGTCCAGCCCTCAATCCAGGTCCCCACCATGTGTGGTAACATGTACTGTGGATCCGTCTACGGCTCTCTCTGCGCTCTTCTCTCCAACGTCTCATCGCAGGACCTCCAGGGCAAGCGTGTCGGTATCTTCTCATACGGATCTGGTCTCGCCTCATCCTTCTTCTCTTTCCGAGTCAAGGGCAGCACCGAGGAGATGCACAAGCAGATTGACCTCCAGAACAGACTCGACTCGCGCAGAGTTGTTGCCCCTGAGGTCTACGATGAGATGTGCAACCTCCGTGAGCGCGCACACTTGAAGAAGGACTACTCGCCTGCAGGCAATCCCGAGACCCTCTTCCCCGGCACATACTACCTGACAAAGGTCGACGACCTGTTCAGAAGAGAGTACGCCATCAAGCAGTAAATGTTTTGATTACTACAGATTGGTGGGGAGAGCATATGATGGCATCGTGGTGGAGACCAGACGTTGGCACAGACGACAGAGCGAACCCGAAAGCCGCCTGTCTTTGTGTTGGCAGAATGCTTCATCGCTCGTGTCTCGGCTCTCGAATTCTTTTTTAATTTCTTCTTCTTTTCTCGAATCACAGATGGAATAGCGGCGGCATACGACTTGTAGTGTACTTTGAAACGTCTTGAAGCCTCGATAGTGAGAGGCCGGACGATAACGAATATGAAAAGCATGCAAATATCAAAAAACTTCAACATCCTTCACGTGTACTGAATCTTTCACCTTCAGCCAACTCCAGCGATCACGCCGGGTGTTATCCGGGCTGCAGAAATGCACAAATGTTTTTGAAATCGGTACGATCGTCCGGAGAGCAGACTTGATTGTTACGTTGCCTCTAACGAGACAGAAATCTTGCAATATTACTGCTGTACGCGTGATAGAGTTTAGCACATGGGGATGATGGAAATGCCAACCAAAACTTGAATGGTGCCAAAAAGTGAGAATTGATTGCCGATATCCAGGTGACGGCAGAGGCGGCTTGGGTCTTGGACCACCTGGTCCGAGTGGGTCCAGGAGACTTCGCTCGTCGCCAAGACGCGAAACAGACTGGCGTTTGCAGGCACGACAAGCCATCGCTCTTGCCTATTATCTTCTGCCTATCCAACACTCGCTACTCGAAAATCGCTCTATCTCATTCTCCGACCCTTTCTTCACCCGTCCGATACCCGAGCCGACAAATCGCGCTCGTTTTGCTGCCGAAACCATCTTCCGAGCCCAGGTGCCGGGCCCCGACGACCGACCACTCGACCGCGTCCCAACAGACGGCCACCGTACAATCGACACTTGTAAATCATGGCCGACTCTCGCGACAATGCCCGCAGGTCGACAGCCGACGTTTTCGACGACGAATTTGCCGTAGACGACTTTGACGGCGTGGCCGACGGTTTCGCTCCTGGCCGTGTCCAGACGGGCGACAGCCGCTGGTCAATCCATTCCGAGGATCCTTCTATTCGCAGCGTTCACGCCCACATGTCAGATGCCCCTCGTTTCTCCACTGGTCCCAGCAGGAATAGCATGCATAAACCGCGGGATACCCAGAATCCCTTCAGTAGCGCCGAGGACGAAGATGACGACAGCCACGACGAGCGTTCGGCACTTCAGCGCTCTCATAGCATACAATCCACCTCGACCGCCCAGTATGCCCCTGGCATTGCTCACAGGCTCAGCACCGCCTCATCAGCGAGGACCTTCGCCCGTACCGCAAGCCCTCTGCACGGTACAAGCGGTCCTAGCCACCCTTATTCGATGTACCCTCAGGATACCAATCTAGCCCGTACGCCATCTATCTCGACGACTACATCTACTATCCGTGCTGCTCAAACTAGCAATGTATCACACCAACGACCCACTCATCCTTACAGCATGTATCCCCAAAACGTTTCTGCACATGATGAGGAAGCCGATACTTCCGTGGCTCCGCCGAGCCATGCCCAGACAGTGATCCCTGTTGGCTTTCCAGGAAGAAACCAAGCCTTTGTACGAACGCGAGGACCAGAAGACGAAGAACAGGACATCATCGGCGTTGATGGCCATTCTGAACAACTTCCCCCGTATTCTGAATATCCCGAGGACGGTGTCCCGAAACCGATTGTCGCCCCAGCACAAGCTGCTACACCTCCTAGTACCACTCAGATCCATCTGCCTTTGATGCAACAACAACGCCAACCTCAAAGCATGTCGGATCAGGCCGATGCGCATGGCTTTGCCGAAATGCAGCAGCTAAACTCGATCGACTCAAACGACACTCCTTCAGAGGCCAAGAGTTGGAGCGAAAAATCGTGGAAAGAGAAACGCAAGACTCGTTTCTGTGGCATTCCCTTCTGGTGGATATTGCTGTCCCTCTGCGTGCTGGCATTCATTGCCATTGTTCTCGGTGCTGCAATTGGTGGTATCTTTGCCAGTGCTCGTAAAGAAGCCGAAAAGGCCAACAAGTAAGTCGTTATGGCTGCCCGTTCTCTCACTAGTCTCTAACATTGTACTCAGTCACCGTGGTCCTACGACTACTCTATTGGATGCATCGCCCATCCCAACCTCTTCCATTGGAGCACCACCACCAACTGGTGTCTATGCTCTGGACTTCGGCCCTCCAAGAGCTACTCAGTCGGCTTGTATCACCAACCAAAACTACTCTGCCGCTTGGGCTTGCAACATATATGGTACGCCGCAGATGGCCATCAACATCGGCTCCCCTCCAGATGGAAGTGACAGTGAGGGCGCCTGTCTATATGGTTTCAACAATGCTACGGGCATCAACTACGGCACACAACCTCCCAACACTCATTTCGCTCCTTTCATTTCAGTAGAAGACGACGACGAGCCCTACCGAGGACCTGCTTTCTATTTCCAAACATACTACGACAAGTTCGTCGTCGTTCCGGAGAGCTCTCTTCCTGCCAGTAACGCCGCCAGCCAGCAGAAGCGCTCCTACGTCAACTCCAATTGGTTCACTCAGCACCAAGTTCAGGCTGGAGATAAGCCATGGTTCTGCTGGTTCAACCAAACCTTCCTCGAAGGCTTTGTCTACGCCAACAACTACACGCTGCCGAGTGACTCAGCTTCTTCATCCTCAATGGCGTCGTCGTCATACTCCAAATCACCAAAAACATCGTCGGCTCCGTTGACCACTTCTACTATAATTGAAGTCTCTGGTCCTTCGACGACAGCCACCCTGACTTCTGCCTCTCAATCTACAGCTTATGCCCATCCAGTTTCCAACCTTTACACGCACACGTCGAATGGAAGACGAGCAAAGCGCAGTTGGCAGCTGGAGAAGCGTGGTTGGACGTTCGCTGAGTTATCTTCTTTCGGATATGTCGTCAAGATTGAAGAACGTCGTGCCCCGAATAGCCCAGAGCCATACTGCCAGCAGTTCCAAATATTGGATAATGGCATGGCGGGCGCTCTGCAGGACCCAAGCACTGGCCAGCAGATAACCATCACCCTTGAAGAAACGGATCCCGACCTCAGTGCTTACACACCAGAGACGACGGACGGATCTCCATCGGGATCTTCGAAGGTCAAGCGCGATCCTATCAATGGCGCGTGCCATTGTGAATGGTGGAGTGGATCTTCATCGAGCTATGGATCTTCATCGGACTATTAATCTTCTTTGTTACATTCTTCGTGTTTATGATTTTCTTCCCTTTTCTGGTAACCAGGGAGATATCTTGTTTCCTTTGTTCTATTCTGTTCTTTTCGCAAGGCGAGCCTAGACAGTGCAACGGCGTTAATTATTGTGACGAGGGTCAGATTGCGGATTGGTTTAGGGAGCGATTTTGATTTTGTCTTGTTCGGGAAAGTAAATGGAAGTGTTGGTGTTTTCGCTCAGGGAGGCGTGGTGTTGGTTTGGAGCGGTGTCTTGTCTTTTATACAGCAAAGTAGCCTGATAGTTTCTTCGTTTGAGTTAGGTTATTCATGAGAACATGCAATTTACATGAGCAACACTCTACTTTCACTTGCCTTGCCGTTTGCCTTGTGAACCATGTCTCGCTCGTCCTTTTGCGTCCGTCGTCGGCTTGGCGTTGCAAAAACCGGCCACCGCTCAGTCGCACCTTCCTTGTGTTGTGCCTTCCACTTCTGCTCACGGTGTAAAACAAAAACCATAGCAATATTCTTCAAGATGTTTTCTACCGACTATCCATCATCGCCCACCCCGTCCGAAGCAGACATGGATGCCATGACAGCTCATGTCGAAAACAGGCCCTATCACGAGGCTTTCATGCGCGAGGCTATCAAAATGGTACGCTGCGAGCCCCTCCTGGAAACCCGACTGCACAATTTTCATCAGATCTTTTCAAAACTCTCATACAACAAGGTCGCTGACAATATGTTCCGCCATCTAGGCCGAGCTGGCACTCGCCTCTGACGAGACACCTGTGGGCTGTGTCTTCGTCCACGATGGAAAGGTCATCGCCCAAGGCATGAACGGAACCAATGTCACCATGAACGTAAGCTATCATTCTCGGATTTACACCCTTCGGAACCATGCCCTCGGACAAACAATATTCGCTGCATCTCAACGACATCGCTCGCCTTGACCGGACATCATCTTCTCCACTCCAGCAAATCATGGTCTGACATGTTTGCTTCTAGGGAACACGCCATGCCGAGTTCGTGGCTCTGAGTCAGATCATCGCTGAGAATCCGCCTTCGATTCTCCAGGAGACGGACCTTTACGTCACCGTCGAGCCATGCATCATGTGCGCTTCCGTCCTGCGCCAATTCCGTATTCGCGCCGTCTACTTTGGCTGCCTCAACGACCGCTTCGGTGGCTGTGGTGGCGTCATGCGCATCTGCGATGAGTGAGTCCTGCCAGTCACGCTATTCAATGGTCGACTATACTGATGACGATACAGTCCTGGCGTTGAGCCTGCCTACAAGATCTTTGGTGGCATCTACAGAGCTGAGGCCATCATGCTGCTCCGTCGCTTCTACGTTCAGGAGAACGAGAAGGGTATGTTGATCCTTCCAGCTCATGTCTTTGTGACATCTACTGACCATACCTTTTCAGCCCCCGAGCCCAAGCAGAAGAAGAACAGAGAGCTCAAGACCGACATCATGCCCCTGGTCAACATGAAGAACCCCGAAGGTTGAAAGGACCAACGCCATCATCAACCCAACTCAACTCATCCACCACATCCCATCCACTGCGCTACCACCCTCCCTGCTGGTCCTGGAGACGGGTCGACTTTCACGCATGTCATAACATGATACGCAGCACATGATTACAACAAGACAGACCGGTCACACCAGCAGTTTTAACCAGCCCCTACTTTGTTGACCCGAGAGATGGAAAGACCGATGCGCTTTTCAATAGATTTTAACCAACATTGTACTTGGCATGCATGCATCGGACTATGCCAAAGACGCGCTACGGGCTTGTCAAGAAGCGAGCAGCATAGATTAACAAACCGTATACTTGAGAACAAATACCAAGTTGTTCAACCCATTCTCCCCGATGCCAACCCAGTCTCATCCTTCGTGTTTTCATAAAACCATCTTACCGATATACAGTACTCAAATCATCCGCCATTCAACCCCTTCAATAACCCAAAAACTCACTACAGCGATGATATTAGAAACATCAACATGAGACGGAGAATAAATCAGACCTCTACGCCTCAGAACCTCATATTCAGCCCAGGACCATGCCCCCCCAAACAAACCCCATCTGTCAAAAGGCAAGATATTTTCGTCTCAACACCCATCTTTTTATCCTCGGAAATCGCTTATCTAGTGACTTCTTTGGTCATATCACATTGAACTTGGGAATTTGAAGTTGTAAAGCGTCTTTGCGTTTTGATGGGGATGGGTGAGGGTAAGACGTCTTGACTTGGTGTGTAAGGTCTCGATGGGGGTTTCCTCGGGTTTATGTTGGTTGATATGTGTGTTGATAAATGTGAGGTATAGAAGCGATGTTGACATCATGGCTCATACTGTGTCGGAGACTTTGGTGTGTTTTTCTCTTTTCTTTTTTTTTCTTCCCTTTTTTAGAATAACATTCGCGGATCGCGAGAATTATAATAGAGCATGAGGCGTGTGATGGCGATGGAAATTGGTCGTCTAGTTGCATTCGTTGTTGTTGAAACCCATCTACGAAGGAATCAATAGAGGGAAATGAAGACGACGGAGGTCAGAAGAAAAAACATCAAGAGGCAATTACAAAAGGGAAAATAAGGGAAAAGAAGAGGAAAAATCACTTTTTTCTGTCATGTTCTTGTTGGATTCTTCGGAAAAGATGGTCTGCATAAAAAAAACCCGAATTGCTTGGACGGGTGTGTCTCTCCTTTCCTGTTCTTCCCATCTCTTCAACTGTCATGGGCCATCCTTCAATCCTTCCTCATGACGACCCAGCCCCTTTCGTCCAATGTGTCCAGCTCGTTTGTGAATACCTATTCGTCTTCCATTCTGATTCCATCCTAATCGAACACTCATACACCAAAAGCAGTACTCAAGTCAGAAAGAGCCACCCCTAGCAGGAGGGGCCCAACATTCAATTTAGGGGTACGGAGGGAAGGATGCTTGGGCCCGGGAGATGTTGGAGATTCGGGTCATCCAGTTTGACCAGAGGCGATAGACGTCCTGGGTCGTGAGATAACCGTAAGCGTAGAGGAGCCGCTTCGTTTGACAGGCCATGACTTCGGGTCGTTGTTGTTGTTGGATAGGTTCGTGTTACACTTGCAAAGAAAAGAGAGAAAACAAAATCAATGTGTCCAGGTCTTTCGGGCTCATCAGGCCCAGCTGCCTCCGCCAGAGCCGCCGTTGTTCCCGCCGGTCCACCCTTCTTCCAAAGTGCGATCTTCCAACTGGCGGACGAAATTTGTCTGGCTTCGAGCATCTCTTGGTCCTCTGCTCATGCGCCTCCTGCCACCAACATTGCCGACATCGCCCGTTTGCTCGTTGGGTGGAGGGTAGTAGGCTGGACTTGGCTGCAAGCGGATAGGTGCGTTGGGGTCGAGGTGAGTTGCGACTCGTTGCAAAGTCGAGGGAATGCCGTTTGCCAAATCCATAGTTGATGCACGTTGGCGGCCAGCTCGCGTCGTCGCTTGAGCATACAGAGATGACTGAGGCTGGTTGTGTTGGTAGCCGTGTGGCTGCGCCTGTTGGCCGTGCATGGTGGCAGTTGGCGGAGGTTGCTGCAGCATTGGCGCTTGGTTGTAAACGTTGGGGACAGCGGCCGAGGGGTAAGGTGGCGGGGCTTGCTGTTGTGTGGGAGGGTACATGTTGGAGTACATGGGCGATTGCTGAGCATGAGGAGAGGTTGGGTACCCAGGGGGACCTTGTTGCATGTGCATGCCGGCATAAGCAGCATTGGCAGCAGATTGAGCCTGCTGCTGCTGGTGCTGTTGTTGCTGAGCAGCTTGAGCACGTTGCTTTGACAAAGCTTCTGCCTGTTGCTGTTGTTGAACGCCAGGAGCAGGCGAGCGCGATGTAGTGGACTTGAGATGCATTCCAGGCTGGAAGGGGCCGGTGAACTTTGACTGAGTAATGAAAGGATGGGTTCGAGCTTGTTGTGGCGTCCATCGCTCCAGGGGGTTGATGTTCAATAGGCCATGCACAAAGTCGATGAAAGCGACTCGGTTGTTCATTTCTGGTACATGTTAGTGGTCTGCGGTAAGTTTCACCAAAGAAGACATACCTCGGTCGATCTCGGCTTGCTTCATGCCTTTACGCGGCATGGGGTAGTTGCGAATAATCTCAGGGAGCGTCGTGGCCGAGAAGTACTTCTTGCTAGGCTGTTCCTTGGTGCCGTGCTCCCTTGAGTACTGGTCCATTGGCTTCAGGCGGTATGTCTTACGACCAAACTCATCGTGTGCTTTCTCGAAGAATTCACCAGACTGCTTGCCGACTTCTAGCATCCATGTAGGCGGAAGGCCCAGCATTTCTGTAATTCTTGACACCTGGTTGTATTCGGACGAGCCTGGAAACAGAGGCAGGCCGAGGAAAAGCTCGACAACAATGCAGCCCAGAGACCACATGTCGATGGCGGCCGAGTAGGGTAGGCCTAGCAGTACCTCGGGAGATCTGTAGAAGCGTGACTGGATGTAGGTATAGACTGTCTGGCGCTCATCGCAGGCCGACCCGAAATCGATTATTTTGATGATGGGACTTTCCAGACTGTGTGGCTGTTAGCTGTACTGCAAGGTAGCAAGGGCATGGAGGAGACACACTTCTTGAGCAGAATATTTTCTGGCTTTAGATCACAGTGGATCAGGCGGGCTTTGCTGAGCAAACATAGGCCGGCCAACAGTTGCTGGGCAAAGACTCTCACAAGAGTGGTGCTCAATCCTCGGAATTGATTTTGCTTGATGAGCTCGTACAAGTTGACAGACAACAGCTCGAAGACTAGACACAAGTGCTGTCTGTGGATAAATGTGTCCTTGAGTCGGAGGATGTGGTGATCGTCGTTCTTGTCCATACGGCCGTTGAGCTGTGAGTCTGTGATTAGCCAATGCGAGTGTGTCTAAGCGACAGCTGCTTGTTGCTTACCAGGTCCAGAACAGAGACCTCCATCATACTCTGATTGAAGTATGCAGTACGGTTCTTCACCACCTTGACCGCAACGACCTCCTGCGTCTTGAGGTTCTGACATTTGACGACCTGGCCAAAGGTACCTTGACCCAGAACATCGAGGATGAGGTAGCGATTCTTGTTGTTGGTGTCGTCACTGCCGAGGATGTCATTGACGTACAGGATGTAATCGCTGTCCTCGTTGTCATAGCCGTCATTCTTCGAACCCTTGGAGGGCTTTGTGAGGACTCTGCGTGGGTTTCTCGAACTCTCATATTGGAAGTTGGGATTGCAGATTCTGTATGTTGCTGGCAATTGTGTCGTCAAGGCGTGCAAAGGAGAGATGAAACCTCCCTCGGGGTTGGCTCTGCGGAACGGAGGTTGGCCATTGACTCGGGGCTGCAGGTCGGCGACGTTATCGCATTTGGTGAAGACGGGAACAGGACCGCGGGTGGGTGGCTCGGACTGGGATGGAGGAGGCAGACGGGGAGATTGAGGACCGCTCTGATTGAATGGTGAGGGATAGAAGTCGGCGTTTGATTGAATGGGAGGGAGCTGGTTCGGACGCGGTTGGGTCGGCGACGAGTACATTTGGCGCGTGGGTGAGCTCGTCAAGTAGGGCGAGGTGTTCATGGGAGAATAGCGACGAGCGGCATTCGAGTCCAGCTTCTGGGTGGGTGTTCTGGCCGAGCTGTACTTGTTCCTGTTGTAAGGGTCGGCGTCTTCCATGATTCTGTCACCGTCCGTGTCGCCGTTGTTGGATTGCGACGACGGACGCGCCTGGCGTGGCAGTGATGTGTAAGCTTCGTACTTGGGAGCGGGCGCTTGTTGCTGCGACGCCATTGCGCTATGCCACTGCGCCGCACTCTGCTGCTGCTGTGATTGCTGTTGCGAATCCATCACTGCTGTTTGCAGTGCTAGCCTTTGGCGTGATGACGGCTGACTCTGCGAGGGATGGGACGGATGAGAGGATGGGTGAGACGATCAACGACAGAGCAAGAACTCGCTGCCCGTCCAAGTTTGCACGATCGCGCCTGCTTCAGAGAGCTTCTCGATCGAATGTTGGCATGCGCCGCGAACGTCTGAGTACTTGTTGCGACCTTCTGCCAAGTCGTCAACGACAGGAGTTCGCTCAAGTCGGGTGTCAACGCTCACGAACAGCTGCCTCGACCGACCCCACCCACGCCGACATCTACGCCATCCTTCACTTCCATACGCGCCTGTTATTTAATCAATTTCTCCTAAATTAATCCTGCCAATCTTTTGATAATCGACCAGCCATTTGAGATGTCGATTCAGCCTTGATTGCATTCAAGTCGTCGCCTTGCATACTAAACAATCTGTGAAGCTCTCTGTGCTCCCGCGCAATGACGCATTTATGTTTCTACCCCTGTAGCATTGCACAATCACAACAATCATTCCTTGGGTTATTCTGCTTTACTCATCAATTGCGATGGCAGACTCTAGAAATCTCATCAATAACAACTTTACCACAAATTAGACATTTTCAACACAACAAACTCGAGTCTCTGAAGTAGGTACGTTCTTTTTGCCATTGCATCGTGCGATCTAGGGGGATAAGATAAAGAGGAAAACTTGAAAACGAAACAACATTGCAATCCTGTCCCGGCTTTTGATGTCGTTGTGCGTTTCCCAAAATCCACCAGAAGGCTTGGGGTAACGTACAGAAAATGTGTCACTATGAGAAGAACGCCAGACCCATCCGCAACATCCACTGAATTGCCATCAAACGCTTAAGATCTGATGGCATTGCCGAGAACACCGCCCTGGAAACCACCACCGCCTCTTCTGATGCCCTGGCCGCCGCCTCTGCCTCCACGACCACCTCTGGCACCGCCTCTGCCACCTCTCTGTGCGCCTTGTCTCTCGAAGGCGTTGGCAGTGCCTTGTGTTCTCTGCTCCAGAGTTTTCTCGTTGCTCTCGATGAGACCGCTGGCCTTGTCGCTGAGGGTAAGGGCCAAGCTCTGCAGTCTGCTGAGCTCAACACCCTTTCTGAAGATGATGGCTCCGTTGACCTGGTCAAGGGCAGCAGCAAGCTCCTCGTGGCTGATCATCTTGCTGACAATGGCAGAAACCTTGCGTTCAGAAAGCTCGAACATCGAGGCGAGCTTGTCAATGGCAAGGGTGTCATAGAAGGGGGCGTAGGTGAAAAGGTAAGTACGGAGACCCTCCTCTTGGATCTGCTCCTCAAGCATGGTCTTGATCTTAGATGCTTGCGGCAGGAGATCCCAGATCTTGATGGCAGTGATGAACTCGGCAGCCTTGCGCCATTCTCCTTGTGCGAGAGCCTTACTTGCCTGCATGACGTGGTCGCGAGTATTCTCCGGAGGGCCGGTGAAGATCTGGCGCTCATGGTACTCGAGCATACGGCGGTAAGACTTGCTAATGACACGCTTCTTGAGGTCGGGCGAAGAGCCAACCTGGGCAAGAAGAGGAATCTCGAGCAGCATAGAACAGGTGAGGTAGACACACTCGAGAAGCTCGAGGTTGACGTGCATGTGGAAGGGAAGCTGGCGTTGGCGCTCGATACGCTCCTGCTCAGGGGTGATTTGAGAGTAGCGCTGCATCTGCAGACCTTGAGCGAGCAACTCCTTCTGTCTTTGAGAGCCGCAGATGTCCTGGAGTGAGTTCTGAGCCTCGTAGACGAGACCAGCGCGGAAGGCACAGAGACCGACCTGGGTCAAGGTACGGTTGAAAAGAATCTGGGTGTTGACATCAAATCCAGAGATAGTCTCCTGCAAATGCGACATGAGGAGCATGTCACGGGCCTTGAAGTACTGGTCGTGAAGAGCGAGATAGTATACTTGGCAAAGCATAGCGCGGGCGCGGATGATACCCTCGCTGTGAGTGTAGAGGTAGGTGCAGATGGCGGTGACCAGGGTCGAGCTGTCACCAGCTGCGGAGCGGGGAGTAATGGAGGAGTCGAGGGATGAGGGGAGGGCCTTCCAGACGTTCTCCTCGAGGATGTTAATGACCTGCGAAGGCTTGAAGTAGATGTGCTCGAGTCTGCGCATGGCAATGCGGTTGGCGGTCTCCTGGACAAAGTTGAGTTTCTCGTCCTTTGCTAGGCGCTCGCAGTACAACTGAGTGCGGACAATGTTAGTGTAGAGAGAAGCCTCGTCACTGAGACGCTCGACGTATTCGGCGGTATGCGGGTCAACTTGCTGCAGGACGCGAGTAAGCTCATCGTCCAAGCGCTCAACCAGGGAGACAATGCTGCCGGGAATCTTGAAAGTCTCGTCGGAAGAGATGGTGGGGTGCTTCTCATCGTCCTCCCAGTCCTCGGCGCTCTCGATAACAACCAGGTAAGGGTGCTCCTCAAGAAGGGCCAAGAGAGCAGCAAGTTCCTGCTGAACCAACTTCCACTGTTCCTGTGCCATAGTGTTGCCGCTGCCGCTGGTCAAGTCGAAACGGGTCGAAACAAGGGTCAGGAGCACGCGAGCCTTCTGGTACTCGGTAGCAGCAACATCGAGCAGTTTCTCAAGAGTGCGGATTTGCTCCAAGCGGTCGGTGTTCTTGCGTCCTCTGGATTCGACAATGGTACGGAGGTGCTTGAGAATACCCTCGGGGGTGTAGGTCATGGCCTTGCCGCCAGCACCAACCATGGTGAAGCCGTCGTCGTCAGCGCCAGCAACGGACTCGTCCAGCAGAGCCTTCTTGGCCTTCTTGGGGCCGGTAGCGGTGGGTTCCTCAACAACATCATCCTTCATGAAGTCGTCGGGGCTGTCGCGGTATGCCTTGATGTCGGCATCGTGGTCACGGTTGTTCTTGCGGATCTTCTGGCGCATGGCGTTGAGACCCTTGGCGGCGATGGGGTTCATCTTCTTTGACTTTTGCTTCTCCAGAGCCTCGAGCATGGAGGTTTCAAGGTCGGCAATGGTCTTGATGTACATCTTGGGGGCCTTGCCATCGTTGTCGCGCTGGAGGACGGGCAGCTGGCGGTTGAGTTTGTCATAGTCTGGACATGTATGTTAGCCACCATCTCGGACTGTGAGTAGTGAAGACATTGGCGGACGTACTGTCGTTGATAACACTCCAGTCGTTGATCTTCTGGGCGTTCTCGATCAGGCGGATGGTGCCCTCGAGCTCATCGAAGCGCTTGTCCTTTGCACTCTTGACCACGGTGCGGTCGTCCTCCTCGTCGCTCTCATCCTCGCTGGACTCGTCGCGCAAGAAACGGTTGGCACCAGTCTTGCCACCCTCCTCATCGCTGGAATCGGAATCCGAATCATCCTCGTCCTCAGACTCTTCCTCGCTTGACTCCTCTTCGGGCTTCTGTGCCTCCTCCTCTTCGCTGTAAAGCTCCTCCTCGTCGGAAGAGGACTCGCTGGAGCTGTCGCTGCCGTAGAAAAAGCGAGACATGTTGGCTTGTAGACGCTGACGCTGAGAATACACAGAGTCGGGTCGCGGGGCGCGTTGTGGGTAGGGCGAGAGCTTTTTCTCGTCGGCGCTGGCTGCTGTCTGTTTGCCAGCCCCAAAAAGTGCGTCTTTGCCAAGCCCCGCCTTTCGACGCTAACGCTCGACTTCGTCCACGGTCCTTTCCGAATGTGTGAGGCCTTGGGTAAACCTCGGTTGCCGCTCTACATGGACCATCTATCTTGCTTCACCTTGTGCAATCAATCGAGAAGTCTCACTCGCCATGTCCGGGCGCGCCTCTATCCAGCTAACAACTGCGCGCTGGCGTGCACCCAGTATAATCACCTCTGCGCGTAACTTTTCAACCAGCCCGTGGTCCTTCCAAGGAACTGCCGACACTCGCTCTAGTCAAGATGTGGACATCATCCGCCGCCTGCGCAAGCACGAACGCTCTACCGCAGCTGCTTTGAATGCCGACCTAGACGACTTCCTGGATCGCTTCGATCGTTTCTATAAACCCAAGTCCACCGTGGATGAGGGCGTTCAAACCGCATTACGGCAGAACAAATATATCTCTACAGAACGCTTGAGACATGACGAGACTGTAGCCACCATCGGGAAAGATGTTGTTGAGCAATATGAGGAGTTCAGGAAGCACCTCAAGGATTACGAGGAAGAACCATACCCTGAGTGGCAACCCGGCGATTCAGACGTCGTCACTCGTCAATTGTCTCAGTCCAGTCGAAAGCTCCAGGATTACGAGGACGAGAAAAAAATCACTGCCAAGGACGCAAACCGTGGTCTCGACAAGGACGAGGAACACTACCAAGCTCTGCTCAGGACCAGAGATGCTCTACGTGAAAAGGGTCTCGGGGCTGCTGAGAGGGTCGCCAACGGTTTCATCAACTCCAATCGGTCGGTTTACGCTCATGTAAGCGCTACTCTGGATCCTGTTGATCTTGACAGCATATCGGAGGACGTTCAAACATACTCGCCCCTCAAGAAGAAAAGCTCCGTCAAGCGGTCGTAATACCAACCACATTCCAATGATACGTCTCGAAGCCCTTTCAATGCTGATGTCGATATTCGGTCGTGGCGATCATTCGCCTGTGGCGTGCTATTTCTGATAAACTTTTCAAGTCTCCAAAAAGCAATGGTCTGGTTTACCGTTCCATTAAATCACTAGTTATGCAGTCTCCAGTCGATCTCCAGATACTCAGGCGCATTCGAAGGCACGGATCAATTCGATGACCAATGAATGACCAGCAGTACCACCTTTGTCACAGCATCAGACAGGAGGGAGGTGTTTTTGGAACCGGAATGGCGCATTTCAATCCAGCAATTCTCGCCCACGAAGCATGACACTGCCATTTGGACCCTTCCAACGAGATCTTTCAAATCATCCTTCACGAACATTGTTGCTTGCCTCGGCTCACACGGCCATCAACATGTGCAAGAGGGGCACACTTTGAGGTTCATAAGGACAAAGAGTATCTGCACGAAATACTTTGGGAAGTTGCACTCCCAGGAAATAGAGCTGTTCGCAAACAGTTGTAAGTGTACAAAATGGACCATGCGTATACGAGTATAGAACAGCAAGGAAGTGTATAGAGACCAGGTATGCTCTCATAACTTGCTCACTCCGTCCGAAACCAACGCAAACTGCCCCACCCGCTACCAACCAGGCCTCGCAGCTAAGATATATATTTCTTAGAAGTTCATACCCTGGTGCCGAGTAGCTCAGCAATAGTCGAGTGGGCATGGAAACATGCTAACTTCCCCGGAGTGGGCGTCATAGTACTCGAGGTTCGAACCTCGGGCTGAGCAAAAGACCATACGCAACCGAGAACGTCTCTTTGGACGACCCTTCGGGTGAATCCAATAAACGTAGATCGGGACTTGCGTCTATTCAAATGGTCAAGCTTGCTTTTTTCATCCTCTTACTCTGGATTATATTGTTGCTAGAGAGGACGATTGTAATTAGATGCTCCTACTGTTCAATCCAGGAAACTCCTTTCTCTACCTTCCCTTGTTATGGGTTTGAAACGACATTGAGCTGGCTACATCGCTGCTGTGTAAGGTCTCCGATGCTTTCTTCTCTGAGCTTTGCTTGTGAAAGCTCTCTCGCTCATATCGCCGCCAAACTGCATGTCATCAACCACTACAATATTACTATCTACGTCTCACCACCAGCTATTGTACCTTTGCATCCTACTCGCAAACGTGAGCGCTATCCTTGATAAATCTCGCCCGAATCCCTCGATTAAAACAACCAAAAAGGCATACAAATCAACCAACAATATCAGGGCCTCTCATGTTGCAAAGAGGGTGTCACCAAACGGTAAGAACGAAGTTGAGGAAGAAATTGGAAGCCGATGCATTCATATTTTTCATTTCCTCTTTTCATTATATGATGGGACACATCGCTACGTAGCAAGTCAATCCCATTTCGTTTCTTTCTGCTCAATGCCCATCATTGGACAGAGCGAGTGGCCAGCAAAGCTAAAGCAGACGCAGCAGTACTTGGAAATTAATCAAAGGCACATTTGGCCTGTCTGACTTTTCTCTTCTTTTTTGTCTTTCTCCTTTTTGGCAGGGATGTCAAAACCGACTGCCGTATCCCGTCCATATGGCAGTCCTAAGAAGCAACCAGAGTGACTCTTCTTGTCTCTTGATTGGTGGTATCGCGCAGAAATCAGATTATCAAATTTCAAAAACTTTCCGCTTCCTCAAAATGCCGGTCTCGCGGCGGCTTCCTTCTTGAGACGCTTTTCCTTCTTAAGGCGATGTACTTGATCTTCGGCCTCGGTCTTCTAGGTCGTTGGCTTGACAAGTTTGCTCACATCGGCGCCTCTTTCGATCGATTTGGGCGTGATGAGGATGTCCTTATCGTTGTACAAGTCCTTGTAAGCGTTTCGGATCGTACTGTCACTAACTCCTGCGATCTCGGCGATGGCCTTGGGAGATCTGATGTTGTTCTGGAGCAAGCTAGCCATGTAGATACAAGCGGCTGCTGCAGACAAGGGCGAGCGACCTGCAAGAGCTCCAATTCTGACCATGCCGGCTGCAATATCCTTTGCGACTTCGGTTGTCTTAAAGTCCAAGCCGAGCTGAGTGCAGTAGCGACCGCAAACGTCTTCGGGGTTAGTGGATACAGTTGATCTGTAGCCTTCTTGCATACCGACAACACCGTTGCCCATGACCTTTGCCTTGCCTGCATTGTTCTTTTCTTGACCTGCCAGCATTTGCTCGAGCAATTTGAAAGTACGGCCGATCTCTTTCTTAGAGACATGAGTCATGGCGTAGATTTCGCGGAAGGTACGGGGGAACTTGTTGCGTCGACAAGCGATGAAGATGCATCCTGCTATAATGGCTTCGGTTGACTTGCCTTTGAAATTTTTCGAGTCTTCCGCATCCTTGAAGATGTGCTTAGCTGCGTCGGCGACAACGTTCGGTAGGTCATAAGAGTCACAGTATGCACCGATCTGCTTGAAGGCTTGCAACAAGTTCTTGTTTCCCTTGTCGGCATTGGATTTGCTTTGTGCGCGGTGGAGCTCCTTGCTCCTAAGAGAGCCATCGCCGAAAGCAATGTTGGTCTGCAGCTGACTACCGTTCAGCAGGAGGTTGGGACCATCACCGACACGAGAAGGATCATCGTTGCCTTGGTCATCGTTTGCGAATGTACGCCATTCGGCGCGCTGGTCAATGCCACGTTGTGAGAGAACCATGCCGCAGTCTTCGCAGATGACATCTGCTGCTTGGGGGTCTTCGACAAGATTGGGCGGGTCTTCCTTGCAGTCAGGGCAAACCATGCGGACACTGAGGTTCTGGCGCCATTCCTCATCAGTGGGCTCGATTTGAGGCTCGACATCGGGGATGGCACCCGGCGATAAAGTGTAGCTCATGGTGATGTTCGATTTTACTTGCGAAGTTCGACGCAGGGCTTGACGGCGCTTGACGGCTCGTGCTGTTACTTTGAGATTGTATTGTTTTGCGCAGCAACGGATGAAGAGCGGAGAATACACTTTGGCGACGAGCGACTTATTGAAGACTGGTCAGACAACTAGGGTGAAAAGGTTAGCTTGGAGTAAGTGACAGCGAGACGACGTGACGAGGGTGTGAGAGGCCAAGTTGAGTGGCGACTCGAGGTGCTATGCTAGTGTAACGCAAAGCATCGCGGCTTACCCAAACATCTAGCGGCAGATGGCCCTTATCAGGTGTCTGGGAAAGTGACTGTCGCTGTCGTTCGTTGTCTTGTCGCAGGCGACGGGCAAGAGAAGGCAGCAAGAGCCTTCTGTTATGAGTACCGGGACAAATGCGCAGGCGGACTCGAGATGTTGGTGCGCGGACGAGGGACGGGTGCCGGCAGAGGTAGTTGATAAAGGAGAGACGGTGGTCGATGACAGAGAACAGGGTCGATCAAGACGGAAGTGACTTGACAAGGCGTGGAATGCTGAGTGTCGCTGCCTCTGCTTTGAAGCAGCGTCGCCGGCGGAGGAGAGGGCACGGGCCACAAATCACGGGACCAAACGACAGCCGGCGAGTGAATTGGGGCGCCGACAGCGAAAGAGTCGTTTGGCAGTAGCTAGAGAAGGAAGCCTATCACATCCACACTCCACTCAATCGCCATGCTCGGTCAATCTCTCAGGGCCTCGGTATGCCACTGCTCACCCCCTGCTGAATGCGCTATTGCGGATCCCACCCGCTGACTCCTTCCACAGCGCCAGTCGCTCGCTCGTCTTGCTAAGCAGCAGTCGGCCATCACTTTCCGCCGCACCTTTGTCACTCCCACCGCTGTGCGCCAAGGTACTTGATATGCCATACCGTCGACCTACACTTGCGAACATCTACTCATTGATTCCCTCCGCACAGCCGACCTCGTCCAGGACCTCTACCTCCGCGAGCTCAAGGCCTACAAGCCTCCCACCGTCAAGGCCTCTGACTCCGAAGGTCAGGTCCAGAAGTTCGCCCTTCCCCAGGCTCCCGCTTCCCCCGAGGAGGCCGACATTGCCAGCCAACTCAGCGCATACGAGACCCAGGAGGTTGAGGTTGAGGGTCAATCTACCGAGGCCGGTGCCCCCGTTGAGGACTGGTACTACTCCCATCTCTCTCCTTGTCAAGAGCATCGTCCACTGACTATGACATCCCAGGTTCGATGAGAGCGAGCTTGCCGACGAGGAGCCTGCCCACCACTAAGCCCTTGTAATCACCCGCCATGTATAACAGTGTGAAAATGCATTCAAGAGCTTGACCTTCTCATTTTCCATCTTCCGCCTCCTTCCCGTATTTACGGACTCATAGAAATCAACAAATAAATGATTAAGAATGACCCTACAACATCCACGTTCCTCTACCCGCTCGATTGTCTAGGAACTCGCTTGCAAAATCTACTTTCAAGATACAAGACATGACTGCTTCAACAAAGCATATATCGTTTTGACATAGGGGCCCCTGATCTCAGCATGTCTGATTGACTCTTTCTCCGTAAGACTGAACAATCTATCTTGCAATGCTCCGGTCGCCGATCAATCTTATGTGATATCGTCTCCAGAGGGTGATTAAAGCTTAGATGAACAGTTCTCCTGTCTCTGATATTGCAAGATTAAGACTTGCCCATTTTGCAATCAGCAATTGGATCTAGAAAAATGTTCTTCACGTGCTGGGTTGACGGCAATTCGAGATGACTTTATACAGGCTGTGCAATGTCGAGCCGCTCTAAGTCATGAGCTGCACTGTTCAATCGTACCTTTCACTTTACAAAATGCTGAATCATGAAGCGACAGACGCTCGTTGACCGCTCACTAGCCAGCACTCGGAAACGGGGATCCCAGTCCCTGTGGGTGTGAATGTGTAACAATCCGCATAACATGTCACATCTTCTGCCAACCAACAGCCGGCATCTTGTCAGATCAATTCGGAGGCACGCAGCCGCGCAAACAAGGGCCTATTAACTTTGACATGCATGGCTGGTAGCTAAAAGGATCAAACCACGTCCTGCAGCTGTATCATGTAAATATTGTGCATATACTATCGAGATAATGCATGAACAGCTTGGCTAACGCTTCGCCAAACGTGATCTGAGTGCGACTCCGTAGATGCGGGTTTGTACTCGAGTCTCAAGACGTCCGTCGGCACGCCGTTGCAAGCATGCAGATCAAAGGAAAGTCGAGGACGCGTACTAGCACGGCGAAGATATCCGGACTCTCCTAATTCAAGATGCAATTCCATGCCACGACGAGTACGAGTCGTCAGCTTTGTGCTCGTACCTGCTTCGATGGCGCCATGCCCTTCTCAGATTAACGTTGAGATTGAGAGAAAAGAGGCGGCTTCCACTCTACAGCGAAGGAGTATTTCCCGCGAGCGCGATTTCTGTTGGCGGGAAGCGAGCAACGGCAGTTCGCCGGAGCAGCGACTCGGACTAGGATCTTCTGCGCATAGTACAGTACTCAACCAGATCAACCCAAAATCAACCAGGGGTGTTGGAGTTGGATGGCCTTGGCATAAGACATGCTTCCACAGCAGACTCGCTGATCACCGCCATTCCGTGCCGGGCTACGGAGTGTTGTTCAACAACGAAGAGATCAGAGTCAGACCGCAAGAGTGACAGCAAGTCATGAACGAGACGTGCTCTGGCAGTCTGAAGATGCTAACAAGTCGCGGAATGACGCTTGTTGAGCTTTGAACCATTAACGAGCTTTTTATGGAAACGCCAATGAGAGCTCGTGCATATTCGACGGGCGCCAAGTCCTGACTGTTGCGCGCATGCCGACAAGATTCGGGATTGCTCTGGATCTGCCTCTGGGCTGGCCGTGTCAGCCATCCAACTTGATGCATATAGAACTAGCTGCTGGTGCAATGCTGCGCGTAACAGGCATAGACGGCGAGTCGGACAACAGGGATTCTCCAAACTCTAAACGTCATTGCCAAAGAAGCGAAGACAGTGGTTGCTGGAATGGTGGCCAGGACCGTGGACGCAGGTTAGTGACTTGACCTGAGCATAGATGCCCCGTGCCGAACAATGCCCTGTAATAGTTCAACCCGTTTGAAACTGCGCGCCATCTTTTAGCTGAATCTCCCCTCTCCGTCTCGTCTCACATTGTTCTGCGCCCTTCTTCGTTCTTTCCTCTTGGACGTTGTCTTATCCCGTCGTCTCCCATACCTGCACCCTTCTGCTCATTGCCGCCTATCGTTGTATACCGTCACTACTACTATTCCCAAACGACTTCTAACCCGCCTTGAAGAAGTACCGAGACCTACGAGCTTCCGTTCCGGTCTGTGCTCGTCAGCACGCGTACGCAAAACGACAGCGACCCAACTTGTCTTGGACGACCCGGAACATATTTGCGCCCTCTTTGCTGCCCCTTGACATGGCTGGATTGTAATCACACCCCTCAGTGTCGGATCAGCTCTTCCTAAGTGGAAGTCGGTGGAAGAGAACGAGAACGAGAACCAATATTGGAATAGAATACCACGCAACTGTTCGAAAGGAAAGACAACACACCTTGGAGTGGAACAATAGCCATCTTGAAGATTGATCGAGCACAAATGTCGACCATGACGACCGTCGCCAACAACTACCGCGGCCACGAGGATGCCATCACAAATGCAAGAGCAAGGAGATCATACGTCGAGGCGTCAACCCCGTCAGACTTCCAGCGTAGCGCTAGTTACACCTTCCTAGGGAATGCGGCAACAAAGAATCCCGCTTACAATGCTCCGAGTCCTTTGGCCATCACCGACAGAGGCAGCTTCTGTGAACAGGACTTGATTGCGGGGTTGGATGAGAGCACGGATACATCGCCTCCTGAATCATCTGGCTGGTCGACCCCTGCTGACGACCAAGTCATGCCCCAGGGCCTGCCCCAAGACCTTGTCGCTGAGCTTCACAAAAGTCCTAAAATCACTGTAACAGCAGACAGCGAGCACACCCCAAGTCCGCCTGTGTCCCTGAAGGACGGAACCTCGAGCATAGATTCGGCCAAAGTCCTCCCTGCTCCCGTGCATCACGAACGCTCCCGCTCCACTTCCAAATCAAGATCGCTCGCAAAACGCTTGAGCCGGAGACTGTCCAGCGCACCTCCGTCACGCTCTCCTTCGCCTTCGAATCGAACCTCTGATCAAAAGTCCGATGCACCTGTGCAAGACGTTGTAGTCGAATCCCCGCCAGTGGTCAGCCGTCCGGTCGCTACACGTAGGAAATCGATCTTCCGAAGACGAGATTCGGAGAAGAACAAGGATGAGAAAAAGCAAGAGGATGATACAGACACAACAGAGAGCGGTGGCTTTCTGGCAAGGAGGGGCACTGTTTTGAAGAGACGATCGCTCAAGCCAGTCGCTCCAACAGTGAGAGCCTCCATGGAAGAGCCCAAATCAACTCCCCCGATGCCTCAACTACCGAAGTCATTTTCGACAGACCGACTACAGACCACCTCACATTTGCACCCAAGCCGCGCGAACCCTATGCCTCCATTGGCATCAACTGAAAAGTATCAGACCCTGCCCGCCCTGACCCTCCCCCGGAAGAAGGACGAGCTGTGGAGTGTTTTCAGATCGCTTGACGGCGACTACACCAAGTAAGTATATCCTCAACTGCCTACATTCTAGATCTAACAGGCTTCAGGTTCCAATCTAAATCAAGCACTTTGAAAGCAAACGTGGTCAGATCCTCGTTGTTACCTTTCTTACGAAACTATGCAGACCATGCATCCAACCTATCACTACGAGCAGAAGACCTGGATAGGCGTACCAACATCCTGAACAAATGGTGGACTGGTCTCCTTGACATGCTCCACGGAAGAAACAATCAGTCCATCTCAGGCACAGACCGGCCAGCCATCTTGGACGGCATATCAGGTATCATGGACCGTCAGGAATGGCGACTCTCACCCTCTCCTCTGTGCCCACTCGATCGAAGAAATGTGCACATGATTCCTTCGAGAAATAACACAACAACATCCTTGTCATCGACCGGAATCGACTTTTTGACCGAGTCTGTTCACCATAACGTACGAAACATGTTTGTCCAGAACCTCAATTCGCAGATGGCTTTCGTGGTTGACAGGATGTCTTTGAAAAACGCATCTGCCAGTCTGGTCACGTTTTGCGGCAAGGCCACCGCGTATGCATTCTTCTTCTGCCCAGGCATTGCAGAAGTTCTTGTCCGTCTGTGGGATGCGCCAACAGAAGTAATGCGAAGGGTCCTTGCCGAAAGCGGCGTCAGCAGGTTCGACAACCTTGGTGAAACGGCCGCAAGGATCAACTCTGCATTCCCTCCCTCCATGCAATCTTTGGGATTCGTCTCTCTAGGAAAGCTACTCAAACACCTCAGAAAACAGACACCACTACCGCTTGGAACGGCCAACATTCAGTGGTATGGCTACTGGCTTGAGCGTTGGTCGGGTCGCGAGAGTGATCTATTCTTCGCCTTCGTCAAGCACTTCCATATCCTGGTCGCCGACTATCTGCCATCAGATGCTACCAAAAAGGAAAGAGTCTGCGTTCCCGGTCTCATCTTTGTGCATTCTCAGATTTTGGTCAACCTCGACTCCACTATTCACCGTGATGCAGGTCAATTGCACGGTGACCCATCAAATAATCCTTCTCCCACTTTCGACGATGTTCTGGTTGATCCAGATGCAGTTGCGTCGACTTTACCTTTACCACCTACTAATGCTATCCGAATAATGGCGGAAAACCGTCTGATAATGCTAATCAGAGACTTTCTCTCAGAGAGAGCCTCAGAGCATCCTTTTGCTCGACAACTTTTCGCAGAGTCTTTTGCATGCCTGCTACAAGCAGGCGCTCGTGGCATCTCGATTTATAGTCATCTCGCCTGTTACACTCTTTGCGACTTCTTGGAAGAGGCATTTCCGATCATCGTCCGCTACGAACAGATGCATCCCTCTCAGCAATGTCTCATCAACACAGATTTCTGGATAGAAGTGTGCAAGAAAATGGTTCTCAGCCAAAACACGATGACCGAAATCAGATTGTTCGCCTTCCTCTTCACAATCTGGAGCACAGTCAATAGCAGTCCGGAACGCAAGAATAAGATCTGTGTTGAGCTTTTGCTCGATCAGGAGGTCTTCGAGAAGACCTTTACTCATTGGTGCCCTATGGTGCGGGCTTACTACATGCGATTGCTCTGCTGGCGCCTTGGCCGCTACGACGGGGAGGGATCCTCGGGCGATAGGTACGTGCACTATTCCAATGTGATGTCTGACCGAATTGCTAACTCGTGCCGTTTTAGATTGATCTTTGAGACACTGCTGCAGCGTCTCCAGGCCGTCTGGTCTCACTTCTTGTGGCAAAGACAGCAAGCCGCTCAAGGGAAAATGCTGCCTCCCTCGACGACTCCATGCAACCCTGCTCCTGGTAGACGTCTGTTGATCATTCGTACCGATACTCAGGTTGCACCAGGTGGCTCTTTCCTGGCTTTTGACGGAATCATGCCTCCTCATCCATCAGCACCTATTGGAACTCCCAGTCAGGCGTGGAAGAGAGATTCAGTCATCTCGCAAGCAGCTTCGTTAGACATTCGACCCACATCATCGGCATCTTCTGATTTCAATACTGAAGTTGAGCGCGAAGGTGGACTACGCGGTTTCCTACGCAGCATCATGGGAGGCAAGAGCCGCAAAGCACCACCTCTCAAGACCACGTCATCATCAGCTTCTTTGCCACCAGCGCCAGAGACTACATTGCCTGCTGGCAAACTGACCCGATCGCCGACTACTGCTACGCAAGCGCCACGTTCGCGTGCCTCTGCCACGAAGCCATCGCCTCAGACCACCCCTCTCGCAAGCAGAGGTCCATCACCAATCAGACACCGCAACTTCTGCTTCAAATTCTCTCTTGAGATGCATCCCAAGGCTCACCATCCCACTGCTATGCGTTTGCAGCCGCCCAGACTGCCGCTAGCCGCACAACTTTATCTCCAAGACGGTGATAGCGAGGACACAATCGTCAAAGCTGTCGAACCCGTCGGCGAGTCCAAGGCACAAGCAACTTACTCTGGTCGCGCTTTGGCCGAATGGACATGCATCCTCATGGAATGTCAAGGCTTCTTCGAGCGCAGAAAGGGCGAAGGAGTCCCCACCAACAAGCACGTCGAGACACCAACTCTGGGTGTCGAAGTCTTTAGCAAATCCAGATGATCTGTGTTGCAAGAAAGCGGCTGCAAACCGACTTTCGTCTTGTTCATTCTATCCCATTTTCCTGTCGAAAGATTTCCCGTTTGTTTTATTTCCGTACATAGTCGAGCATTTTTTTTTTTCTGTTGGCATGTGGTGTTCTTTTTCATTGCTTCGCATTTCATTGCATAGGTCGGTCAATTTTTCATTGCATCTGGGGGCATTGGTTGTCCTCGTCAGAGGAATTGGGTTCATATCGGGTTTTGTTTTGGAAATTCAAATCGTGTTTTTAGAGCAGCTGGAATAAACGCTGTGGTTTCGACGAATTCGTTCTTTCCATCTCTTTCTCTTATTTTCGCATCCTCGCTTCTTTATTCGTGTATCGTTCTTTTTTCCCTTTTTCCACCGCCATTGTCTGTTTGCTCTAATACACAGCTACAAGGACAAAACACTCGACCAGTCCACACATGCGTTTTGAAATGCAAAGAGGGAAAAAAGTAACAGGGGGAAAGAATGGGATTATTAGAATAAGAGCGGGTCGATGGTAGTATTCGACCCATACACAACTTTCGACATCTTGGACACCTCACCACCAAGACCAAGGCCGCGAATCACGCAACCTGGGCTTATCCTCCTCAGAACACGCAAGACGCAGTGCTTCTAATTCATCTTCAGGCAATGTCAAACCACGCTTTCGAAACGGACCTCGTTTGAAAGCGTCCAATCGAGACACGATAGTCACGTCTGCAGAGATGGTCATGACATCCACTCCTTCATGGGCGGAGATCTACTCCGCCAACACCATTCTAAGCATAGTGATAAACCCTTCTCTCATCTTTGTGACTTCCACGATATCAGGCTTGACAGGTTCGCCGGCATTCCTCCTGAGGAAGTCTTGGCGTCTGGCTCTTCTCTTCCGTTCGGCGGCGATGGGGTCGGCGTCTTCCTCGTCGTCGTCTGTGGAACTGTATTCATCGTCGTCGTCATTGAGATCTTGGATGTCCAGAGCGTTGAGGCCGAAATCGTCGGGTTTGAAGGAGGATATGAGATCGGAGGCGCCGCTGTCGGGCATGTTGGAAGCGGAAGGTGCGTCGCCTGTTGCCATCTTTTGTCGTGTCTTGTCTTGATGCCACTTCTTGCGTTTTTCTTGCCACTTGATGAGAGAATTGATTTCGCGAACGGCGACGTCCTTGTCGATCTGTCGCATCTCGACGGCACCTTGGAAGAGTGCATTCATGTCTAGTTTACCACCACCGCGGGGACCGTTGCGGAGGAATGAGAGGATGTTCTCGATCCAACCCATGAGTTGATCGAAGAGGCCATTGTCATGAAGATGTACTTCGTGCACGAACTTGTAGAATGAGTCTTCGTGTCTTGCGCACAGGTCAATAAAGGCTTGGACCGTCTGGTTAGGATCGGCGGATACGTCTTGCCGTTGAGACTTCTCCACGACAGAGATCATGTCGTCCATGAAGCGTGCGAAATCAGAAATGCTGTTGTAGACGTTGGCAGACTTGTAAACTCGGACAAGAGGCTCGTAGAAGATGGTGAAAAGGTCGCGGAAGAGCTGTAGAGTCGTGGGCTCTTCAATCATTCGCAACATCATAGTCTTATCCCGTTGACGAGTGTAGAGCTTCAACAATTGCTTCAGATGAGCAAAGGTCTCAGCACCTGATCTCAACTCTTCATCGATCTGTATCTTGGTCAGTAAGAAATTCTGTAATCTTTCGGTTGTAGCACTCACGTTCTCGACAGCACTGTTCCAGGCCACATAGGCATTGAAAGCTTTGCCGATCTCCTCAGGCTTCAACTCCGGTTTGATATCTTCACTGCGTAGAATTGCGACCAAGAGATCGATATCATCTTGAGCGGCTTCCAATCGAATAGCGTCCTTAAGGTCTTGATCGCATTGGTTGTAGTTCTTGATTTTCTCACAGAAGACGGGCTCGTTGATCTTGGCCGTGAGTCCATCGATGCTCTTCTGGACGGTCCTGATGCTGTCGCCGAGGGCCAAGGAGAATATTCGTTGAAGCAACGATTTAGCGCCGAAGGGCTGGGCAAGGAACAAGTCGAGTACGCCAGCCATGACGGCAGCTGGGTTTGCGAAGCGGATAACTTGCTTCAGGGCTGTGTAGGGTATCAATGAGTGGATGCGTTTGGCTTGGGCGAACAGTTCCGGGCTGTTGTCTTCGGCCAGGAACAAGTGATATATCACGGCTGCCACCCTAGTTTATGGTGTCAGTCTTCAGATTTCAAACCCAGGTTTCGTACAAACATACTCAATACGGAGCCACTCGGCAAACTTCTTGTACTCGGGAGACAGTTCTGCAATCGTGTTCTTCTGTTTGATCTCGGTGAAAAGCTTAGTCAATCCATCTGGAATGTGTTAGTGAACGTGCTCGAGTAGGCTTCGTTACGCAGACCCAAGAAACTTACTGCTTTCGACGACGTCTCTTCTGAACTTCTCCATGTGAACATCGAGCTCTCTTGCTCTTTGACGTGCAATCTCGTAGAAACGCCGTTGTTCTTCAATACGCTTCTCATCCATTTCGATGCGTCTTCGAACATCATCCATCTCTTCTTCATTCAGCCTGATGATGTTGCCAGTCAAGAAGTCGTTCATAGCGTTACTGTGGGCAATGCTTTCATTCTGCAGGAAGTTGCGCAGGAAAGCGCGTAATGAGACACGCTGTTCTTCTCGGTATAACACTTTGGGTGGTGAGTGGTCTCTGTGGTAGTCACCAGATTTACGAGCGAATCTCGACGTCGAAGACGCGTCCATGGAAGCTCGAGGAGAGGATGTTTGCTGTGATGACCTTGAGGCAGTACGACGATGACCACCTCCGAAGGGGTTGGGAAGGTAGCTGCGGAAACCACTGGCAGCTGGTGCCGGCTCGTCTAAAGCAGCCTCCTTTACGTCCTGGGTCGAAACAGAAGAGATGGAGTCATCATCGTCATCGTCCTTGGTGTACAATGAGTTGGAGTGGTTCTTGCGAGGTAGCGGCGGTAGGACCTTTCCGGGGATCTCAAGACGTAGCCTCTTGTGCATCTGTGCAAATTCGCTGTACCTCCTTCCAACGTAGATCTCAGGCTGACCTTGACGCTTGACGCGGAGCAAGAACTCTGCATGGGCATGATGGCGTACGTGTCTCTTGACACTGGTTGTTCGCACCGAGGCGACGTTGACATCCCAGCCGTTTATTTGGTGACCTTCCGGTACGTTCATAGCAAGACCCTGCTCGTTGGCTTGTCGATCAACCACCTCCATTTCCGAGAAGCGAATGCGCTCTTCGTATCCAGATGCAGTGGGCAATCCAGACACCATCATCAACTCAACCAGCTTCTGTGCTTTTACTGCAAGCTTGCGGCGTTTCGTTTCTTCTAGACGGTCTTCGGATGAGGATATGCGCTTGGTCGCAAACGATTCGAGGAACTGGGAGGGAGAAGGTCAGCTTGTGCTTTTGCTTGTACTTGAGAGGCTGTCCCAACTCACCGTCTGCAATTTGTCTTGCCAGAACTCCTTCTCTCTTGCCCTATCGAGGAAAGGGAAGTTGCGGACATGGTGAACGAACATGTAGCGCAACAAAGGCAACTCCGAGTCCTCTGGAGCGACCTCACCAGCATCTGATTTGAAGGGAGCGCCGAACCGCTGTAGAGCCGTCTCCGAGGCCAGCTCCGAGATCTCCCATTCTGTCTGTTGTGAGATGAGTTCGCGCTTGAGGTCTGGGGCACGTCAGCGTCATGGTGGGGTGGTTAGAGGAATGGCATCGACATACAGTGCTCTTGTTTGCCGGTGAGGACAGAGCCGGGCGGCGGTATCGAGTGCTTTGAGATGGCCGAGTAGGTGGAAGCGGACGAGCGGTTCATATTGATGCGCGAAGATTGTGGTGACACGGCGACTGGCTGCACCAGGCCTTCTTCTATGGGATCTTCTGGCGCCGTGTTGAAGCGCTCAAGTCGTGGCTGAAATGAGGCGGAGTTTGGCCCTGAGCTATTCATGGTGTCGTGCTAGGTTGCTAGATTAATGTGTGCAATCGACAAGGTGCGTGCGGCTGCCTTGGTCTTTCTACTACAATAAACTAAATGTTGTTACGCTGGGAGAGCGTATGCATGATACGCGTACGCAGCCTTATGACGATGTTCCGAGAGCACCATGCAGAGGTAGAAAAGCCCCTCTTCCCGAAGCCCACCCTTGACCTTCTCACGCTATCGCAGGGCGCAGTCGTATCACGACCCAATCACTCTGACAGGAGAGTCGGCGTGATTCTTTCTTAGACAGACCTCCTGACTGTTGGGCGACTATTTTCAGGTCGTCTGTGCCTCTCTTCGAATCAATGTCTGCCTTTGTAAATAGCTGAGATGCTCAACTGTAGGCCTGCCTACCAGCTCGGCCTCAGGCTAAACACCCGTTTGGCCGCTGCTTCCAGCCAAGACTCACCTTGGAATCATCTTCCCAAGGATGACGACGCAGCTGACAGCAAATTCTTTGTCCACATGGTCCGGAGCATTGATTCTTCTCGGGATGTTTTTATTGCGTCTCACTTTCCATGGAATCTCGTGGTTGTTTATCGCTCAACTTGAAACCAGAAGCTTTTGTAACCATCTCCAATTGCTTTGTAGATCCCTCGCATCTCCGCTTCTGCAAATCATCTTTGAACTGCCACGATTTCAACCTCACCAGCCACAGCAAGCACACATCTCACAAACACCCCCACCAAAAAAGCTTGGTTGCACAGGGGTCAGAGATCCGAAAGGGTCCGCCAGAAAAAAATACATCACCTTTGTCCCGCGGCTGCCGAGCCCTTGCTATCACCAAAAACTTGGAACGTCAAGAAATGTTTCCGTCTGGGCACGATCTTCTAGAAACATGATATAAAGTAATACGATGCATGGTCTGCCGGAAAACCGTGGGTTTGCACTTGGCGGAAATAAGAGCTCTTCGTGAAGCTGTCGAGAAGTTTGTGACCGAAGCTTCGAGCCAGGGTCGCACCCAAAACGTTGTTTGGAAAGACCATCAACGAGATTACAGCACCGCAAGGCGAGTTGTCGCTTTTTACGGATGATTGACCCTATCCCATAGTTCTCATCTTGCTGAAGGCTTGTGTCTAGTGTGGTGAAAGGGATTCGTTGCTGTGTAACATCGATTCCAGACTTTTCATAATCGATCCTCAGACAACTGAATCAGTTTCGCAATGAGACCATAGCCTCGTCCAATTTTGGGAAATCCGTTGAACATTGAGACTTGAGAATCAGTGAAGGGAAATGATGAAATACAGGCGAAAGGTTCAAAGAGATATTCTCATTTTGATCTGGGAGAACCCGATCTGCAGTCAGCTATATATGCCCTGTTTTAGTAGTTCAGCTCTTCTGCTCCTCCAGCACTGCCAGCTGCATCAAGGTCATTGTAACTCTTCATTGTGCGACCCTCAACTGCTTGCCTAGGCCCAACTGTGTGCTCTCCTCCTTCCATGAACATGCCTCTACGAGGGGGCGTCAGACGGCCACTGATGCTACGTCGTGGCTCAGCTCTCATGCCACCACGGTCGTATGGACCTGGCGCACGAGCGTTGTTAGTGCGCATACCGCCAGTTCTCATTGGACCAGTGCCACGGTCGCCGCCCTGCATGCTCCAACCAGGCACAGTGACTGGGAATTGTCCAGCAACGAAAGGATTGAACCCAGGAGGACCAGCTGCGTTCGGCATAGGCATACCGTTAGGGAAGAACGGCATGCTGTTCAAGCTAAAGTTGCGAGGTGTGCCGGTAGGCATGTTGTTGTTGACAGGGAAGTGTCCGTTGCTGCTGGCATCATTGCGTCCCTGTGCAAGTCTCGCTGGGTCGAGGACATAGCGGTTGACAAGCTCAATCTGTGCGTCTGTGTCAGTGAACCGTCCATGACAGGAGATAATGTTGCTTACGTCTTCCTTGAGTTTGTCATGCCAATCTTGATGTCTCTTTTCCACATGCTTCTTCCAGAAGTTTTCACCCTTGAAGAGCTTTGTGCAGTCCGGAACCTTGCACCTGAACTTGAACTCGTCCTCCTGTTTAACGAACTTGATCATGTCTTCCTCCAGACCCTCTTCCACAGGCTTGCCGCCGAGCTTTCTGAGATCGACGTTCTCGGGCTCAAGAATCATGAGCAGCTTCTCTTCGAAAGTCTTGACCCAGTTGTATGCCTTCTGAAGCTGGTTCTTACCGTAAGCTCGAGGAGCAGACTTTCTTTCCTCGACCGGTGAGCCGTCTTCGCCATCTCCAAGACCGCCTTCTTGGCGCTTGAGTGGGAACGGTTCTCCGTTGGCAGTCGCTCTAGCAGTCTCTTTGGCCGCTGAAGTCAAACTTGCGCGAGGACGACGAAGATGCCCTCCTGCACATTTGCGCTGCAACTCATGGACTGAGTCACACTCAAACACGCAGTAGAAGCAGAAGTTGAAAACGCGACGAAGATACTCGACGAGCAGATCGAGCTTCTTCTTCTTGATCAACAGGTCCTCGTCATCGACGTCTTCATCGATGCCACCTTCATCCTCTTCTCCTTCTTCCATCTCGCCTTCGTCGACATCTTCATCTTTGACGACCTTGGGAGCCGGAATAGGTGGTTGCAGATAGCCCTTGCCAGCCAGTTCGTCAATACGCTGCTCGATTCTTGCAACACCATCATAGTCTTCACCCATCTCGGAGTCGAGTTTCCTGACCAAGCGGAGAGCAAGATCCAGATCGCGTTCGACACGTTCCGGGGCAGAGAAGAGGTCCCACAAAGCTTTCTTCCTCGGGGTTTCCTGTGGGTGATGAATGCCGACATGGACAGTAAAGTCGCCCTTCTCGGGGTCTTGAATTGTCTTGTTGTTGATCTCGTTCAGCGCTCTTTCGCAAACGGTCTGCGTGTGATTTGGCTTGTCTTGGTCCATGGCACCTCCTTCGGCGTCTTGGTCGTCGTCATCCCGGCTTCCGCGTCGCTTGGAGTCCTCCTCGGGTACATCAGATGCAGGGTTGAGCATGATCCAACCAAGACGGTGGAACTTCTTTCCTGGATTCGGGTCGCTCAGGCTCAGCCACTTGTAGCCACCTTCACCCTCACCAAGATGCTCTTTGCAGAACTCCTCCATCCTTTCGCGTGACACGGCTGGAGTGATAGTCTTGACGAGTAACGTCGGCTGGAAGGCCACAGGGTCACGTACATCTCCGCCTTTGGATGGCAATAGATCAGAGACAGCCAAGACCTCCGCTGCAGCGCTGGTCTCGCCTTCCTCCCTTTCAACGATACCACCAGCACCATTACTTTCGCTCTTGTAGATACCTTCGAGGGTGAACTCGTCGAAGGTACCAGCCGTCAAGTCCGAGTCCCATCGAGCAAAGAGGTCGCGTCTGAAATCAAGAACCTTCTGGCGCAACGGATCGCGAACCTCTGGTACATAGCGTTCGCGGAACCATGTGTCATACTTGTGACCATGCACAAAGAGCTTCGCCATTCGGGTGTTCCAGTTCAGTTTGTACTGATCGTAGGCGTTCTGTATCTTTGATCGCTGTTCGCTGTGTGATTCCTTGACCGGCTCGGGACGACGACCTCCATTCTTTTGACGGTCGCGTTGTTGTTTGATATCTTGCTCGGCTTTCCACCACTCGGCAAAGTAGCTGAAACCGACCTGTGAAGCTTCCAACAGAGGGTCCCTGAGTTGGTTCACTGGAATGACATTGTCCGGAACGTAACGGTCGATGCTTTTCGGGCCGCCTGGTTGGATTTGAGGAGACGAGCGGCGTCTGTCGCGGGGATAGTCTTCACGTCCGCGGTAGTAATCGTCACGGGAACGATCAGGCTGGTAGCGGTCAATTTGGGTGGGAGAGCGGGAGCGGTTACGGCCAGCAACGCGAGCACGTCGGTCCGAGTCTGTGAAGATGGTGTGAGCGTGTGGCCGAGTGTGCAAAAGTGAGGTTGCATCAACGTACTCGGCGACCTGCGTCTCTCTCGGTACGGCTCTCTGTCGCGAGAGGTATAAGACTCGCGCTCATAGCTGTCGACTCTTGAAAGATCGTTGGGCGAATTTGCGCCGTAGGTATCAAAAGCGTCCATGATGTTGACTCGAGAAGGTGGTGTAGAAGCGGCTCAACAAAGCGACTGAAGCGCACTGTTTACGGCCATGGCATGTTAGACGGGATTCAGGAGGTGGTGAAGAAGTGGGAAACGAGACAAGGAATACGAGGGGTACAAAGAGACTGCAGGTAGAGGGGCATATTGTAATGAGGTTGAAGTAACGATGAGCCGAGTTGGCAGGTGCATGGTGATAGGGAGGTTGAGCGGACGCGACAACGAGACGAGATCGAAGAGAAGGTGATGGTCTCGCAACAAGAAGAGAGAGACGATACGAACAATTTGGGCAATACAGAAGCCGAGAGACGGCGACGCATCAATGAACAATGAGATGCTGTCGACCAGAAGTGTAGAAGGAGAAGGGACCGACCGCGACGGACGCTGCTGCTCAGCGCTCACGACTCGCTGCACAGCGGAGGGAGTCGGCGCTAACTACGCCAAGCCACTATATCCTGACAGGCACGGGCCCGCCGTTGTCGCATCTTTTCGTGGGGAAAGCTACTCTAGTACTCGGGCAAAGACGCTCCCGTTTCATCATCAAGTCAATTGAAGGACTTATAGTTGAGTCTGTTCTTTCATGATACAGATACATGAGAGATGGTGATGAAGATGGAGCGAGGTGATAGACAGGAAATCTCGAGTAGGTTGATGCGGTTCAACTGTGCAGCGTGTTGGCGGTCTTCAAGTCCGATCAAGGGCTTCAATATGCCTTGGCCGGGGTAGGGGCGTCATGGTCGATTCGCGTGTCTGTCGCGAAATGGCGATTGCTGCCGATGCGATTGATGAAGCAGAGGTGAGCAACAAAGAGTCTCCCACTCTTGAACCAGTCGTTCCCCCTGCATCATCACACTCAACATGACTTCCTACATCCCCCACCTGACACTCCCTTCGTTCATCTTCGAGAAGCCGGCCGTCTCCGTGTTGCTGCCCGTCGCACTCGGAACCGCTGTTGGCTACTCGACCAGACGTGAGTTGACACATGCCCTGCAGACGTCTGTCAGATTGGGACTGACCACCGCCCTTCTCTAGCCAAGGAGACGCAGAAAACCTATCTCGCCCTGCGTCAGCCTCCCCTTCGCCCTCCGCCATGGGTCTTCGGCCCGGTATGGACTCTGTTGTACGGTGCCATGGGATACGCCGCTTTCCGCGCCTGGTCGACCGCTATGGATTCGTTTGATGCAAAGAAGGTTCTGCTCGCAAAGGTACTCACACACCCCTCTTGACGGTTGGCAACCAACAACGTACCGATACTGACTCCGTCACAGCAAGGCGCAACTCTTTACACCATCCAACTCGGTCTTAACCTCATCTGGATGCCCCTCTTCTTCTCCCTGAAGCGCCCGATTGCTGCTACCGTTGATATCGTTGCTCTTACTGGCGTCACCGGATACCTTGCCTACATTTGGGGCCAAGTCGACGAAGTCGCTGCGTGGACTCTTGTTCCCTACCTCGGCTGGCTTAGTTTCGCAACCTATCTGTCGGCAGGTTGCGGCTACTTGAACAACTGGGACTTCGAGAGCAAGGAACGTTCGACTGCTGGCAAGCCTAAGGACACCAACAAGTTTGTTGATGAGAAGAGAGAGTAGGCAACTTTTGGCGACTACAAGATACCCAGTTCTGTCAGGAGAGACCAAGGCTGTAGGTGATCATGCAACATTCGTCATGGTTTTTGGCCCTTTCGAGCTGGCAGCATAACTGTCATGCACCTTCTGTTTGCGCAGCATCCGTCCGACATGCTCTAAAATCCCATCCCGTCCATGTCAGTAAAAGCTATATACAAAGAAGTTGTACGTTGGATGCAGCGTCTTTTCAAATCACTTGCTTATCCTGGATTTCATGGAGTGTTGAACAAGTTTGACCAACAGCCAATCGGCACCCATTCCAGCCTGCCATGTCACGATTCTCCAGTGTGGATGCAACCTCATGATCCCGGACCCCACCTTGAAACACTCCGAGTATTCCAAGTCCTTGTCGCGACACCTGTTTTCAACAGCATGGTCGGGCCGTTGTCTGGTACTTCTGTTGAGCTACTTACTGCTTCTATATAAGTCTGCACGCGGATACATGACACCACAACTCTGAACCAGCTTGAGTTAAAAGCACCAATTAACCCCGTCCAGATTCAACACCGCCTCTCCGCACAGCCCCGCCTATTGCCTTGATATTTTGCCTACAAGATCCCTCCAACAACTCGACCGTTCCAGTGCGTACATAGACTTGTACAGATGGGTTCCTTTTTCGAGTCAAACGATTATCTCATGGCAAGTCGCGCCTGAAATGCTTTTGGATACTTGCACAACCCATCAACGGCTGTGCCTGTAGATCCCCTTCTTTGTATGAGCGGTTGTACGAGGGACACGCTAACACATCTCAAAGGATTCATTCGAAAGACCATACCCGATCTCTCAAGATGAAGGAGATCTGACCGAAGACCCCCTGAGCGGCATCCACGTGGATCCGTCAATCTATGCTGGACTGTTCTATGATGGAAGTGGCCTTGAAACGACTGGACCCTTCCACGCCCATTATGGGTTCACGAGTGAAGCGACAGTTCAGTACAACGAAGACTTCGTACAGAAACGTGTAGCGGAAAGCGCGTACGCGGAGCCTTGGTCTGGATTGAACAGCCAATCTGCCATTTTCTCATCCACGTCGACACTGTCGCAAACAATAATTGCCGCACAGCCTGACATGATGAACGTTCAAGTGGATGTATCGGACTCCGGATATAACTCGTTGCCCTGCAAGCCCCTGGTCTGTCCGCAGTGCGGCAAGGCTTTCAAGAACAAGGCCGAAGAAAAGTACGATGTCTGTGTGCAGTGCTGTGAGACAAGGAGACTGACTCTATATAGGAAACACTCTTCCACCCATAGTCGACCCTTTAAATGTCAGATAAAAAATTGCACCAACCTGAAGGGCTTCGCAACATCCAATGATCTGGAAAGACACCAGAAGGATATTCATCTCATCCGACCGAAGCACGGCCCTCAGGCTTACTACAGATGCGTGCTACCAACATGTTCGAAACGAGAGAAGATATGGACTCGAAAAGACAATTTCAAAGCCCATATCACACGAATGCACAAGAACATGGGCATCGACATTGACCACTTGATCGGAAGGTAAGTGCACAGTCTCACCCCGATAAGTTGCAAGGTGCTGAGAGCTGTGCTTCAAGATCGGAGATGAATCCCACAGCGGCAGAGTTGGAACAACTAGCCCGCGCTAAGAATGCTCAAATCCACAACAAGAACAAGGGGAAGCAGCGTGCCAGCAATCAATCCAAGCAGGCGATGATGCAAGAGTACGGCGACACGTCTTCAGAGCCTGACGCATCTCAAGCAGCTATTCCGTTATGGCAGACTCATGTACCGGAATATCTTGACGACGTGCCTCAAGAGGCGGCAGAGATGGTGACTGCGTACAGTACGCGCAGAGTGGCGAACACGAATGTGCCGAATGTTGTTCTGAAGTATCCTGATGGGATACCTGTCAACACTTACGGGTATATCCAGCCCAACAGCAGACACAACAGTGCAGATGGAGCTTGGGACGAGATGTCAGATACGAGTTTCGCGTATTCTCATGAGAGTTCGGCGTTCGGTGGAGGGACAAGTGATTTTGGTTGATAGACAGGTCGAGCAATTCCATCTTTCCAACGTTCGAACAGACATCAGCACTGCATGGTAGCCACCCTCTCGGAGGACTTGAATGAGTATATTTATGTCTGTGACTTGCAGCAACTTGCAACAAGATAGCAGAGACGAATGGACAAGGGATGGAGTCTCGAGGCGGGAGAGATGCGGAGCTGACACGGACTTTGCCGGCAGATCGGGGGTCGGGACAGATTGACGCGTGGTGCTAGCAGGTGGTGCTGGAAGCTTAGGTGTCCGCTTGTGCTTGTGCCTGCCAGCTTTCCAATACCATTCAAGTATAGACAGCACCATGGCAGCAAGCGTGGGAAGCAGTTTCTTCAAGGGAGAGACTGGCCGCAACACCAGAGGTCTGCTGCGATTGATCATTCTGGTCCTGATCGCAGCAACCGCTGTTGCATCCCGTCTCTTCTCCGTCATCCGCTTTGAGAGCATCATTCACGAATGTACGTCAATTCTCGACTGTCATACACCCAGCTCCTTCCTCGATGGCCAGTCTAGCAGCTTGCCTTACGACCAATCGCCATCAACTCGAGTTCCGACTCTTGCAGCATCATAGACACGCTTAGATTGGTCCCGAAGCACAGGAGCACCAGGAACTCAATGCACGCAGTCGCTAACTAGACTCTACCACAGTCGACCCCTGGTTCAACTTCCGCGCAACCAAATACCTCGTACAAAATGGCTTCTCAAGCTTCTGGGACTGGTTCGACGACCGAACATGGCACCCTCTCGGCCGTGTCACTGGCGGTACCCTCTACCCCGGCCTCATGGTCACCAGCGGCGCCATCTACCACTTCCTCCGTCTCTTGACCTTCCCTGTCGACATCCGTAACATCTGTGTCATGCTGGCTCCCGCCTGCTCTGGCTTGACCGCTTTCGCCAGTTACCTCCTGACCTCCGAAATGTCCGACTCGCCCTCAGCCGGTCTCCTTGCCGCCATCTTCATGGGCATTGCCCCCGGTTACATCTCGCGTTCAGTTGCTGGAAGTTACGACAACGAGGCCATTGCCATCTTCCTCCTCGTCTTCACTTTCTACCTGTGGATCAAGAGTGTCAAGCTGGGTTCCGTCATGTGGGGCGCTTTCACCGCACTGTTTTATGGATACATGGTCTCGGCCTGGGGTGGATACGTCTTCATCACCAACTTGCTTCCTCTCCACGTCTTTGTCCTGCTGTGCATGGGCAGATACAGCCCTCGTCTGTACGTCAGCTACACGAGTTGGTATTCTCTGGGCACGCTTGCCAGCATGCAGATTCCCTTTGTCGGTTTCTTGCCCATTCGCAACAGCGATCACATGGCTGCTCTCGGTATGTGAAATCTTGCTTGTCTTCTATCGCTTTATTCTAATCCCTCTGCAGGTGTTTTCGGTCTCCTCCAGCTTGTTGGATTCGTCGAGTTTGTGCGCCAGACTCTGCCTAGCAAGCAGTTCCAGACTCTGCTTCGTGCCTTCGTCCTGGTCGTCTTCCTTGCAGCCTTCGGTGTTCTCGTCCTCCTCACCTTCTCGGGCGTCGTTGCTCCTTGGAGTGGTCGTTTCTACTCGCTCTGGGACACCGGTTACGCCAAGATTCACATTCCCATCATTGCATCCGTCTCTGAGCACCAGCCTACCGCCTGGCCCGCCTTCTTCTTCGATCTCAACCTGTTGATCTGGCTCTTCCCTGCCGGTGTCTACATGTGCTTCCGCAACCTCAAGGACGAACAGGTCTTCGTCGTCATCTACGCTGTCCTGGCCAGTTACTTCGCTGGTGTCATGGTCCGTTTGATGCTCACTTTGACCCCTGTTGTCTGTGTTGCCGCAGCTCTTGCTCTTTCGCAGATCCTCGACACCTTCCTCGTTACCAAGACTCCTGTCGCCCCCGCTGCTCAGGCCAACGGCAACGCCGACTCAGCCAAGACTGCTGCTTCTCTCATCCCTGACACCCTCCGCTCTACCCAGAAGCCCCTTGTCGGCATCTACTCCACCTTCTCCAAGTTCGCCATGACCGGTACCATCACCGCCTACCTCTTGCTCTTCGTTCTTCACTGCACCTGGGTCACCTCGAACGCCTACTCCTCTCCCTCGGTCGTTCTGGCTTCTCGCATGGCCGATGGCTCGCAGCACATCATCGATGACTACCGTGAGGCCTACTACTGGCTTCGCCAAAACACTGAGCAGAACGCCAAGATTATGTCGTGGTGGGACTACGGTTACCAAATTGGTGGTATGGCCGACCGCCCTACCCTCGTCGACAACAACACTTGGAACAACACCCACATTGCCACTGTCGGTAAGGCAATGAGCTCGCGCGAGGAAGTCAGTTACCCCATCATGAGACAACACGAAGTCGATTATGTTCTCGTTGTCTTCGGTGGTCTGATCGGCTACTCTGGTGACGACATCAACAAGTTCTTGTGGATGGTCCGTATCGCCGAGGGTATCTGGCCCGACGAGATCAAGGAGCGTGATTACTTCACCGCTCGCGGCGAGTACCGCATCGACGACCAAGCCTCCGACACCATGAAGAACAGCTTGATGTACAAGATGTCGTACTACAACTACAACTCCCTCTTCCCTGCTGGCCAGGCCACCGACCGCGTCCGCGGCTCCAAGCTTCCCGCCGAGGGCCCCGAGCTCTCAACTCTGGAGGAAGCTTTCACCAGTGAGAACTGGATCATCAGAATCTACAAGGTCAAGGACCTCGACAACCTCAACAGAGACCACCAGAGCGCCATGGCGTTTGAAAAGGGCAACAAGAGAAAGAAGACCAGCAAGCGCAAGGGACCTAGAGTCTTGCGTGTTGATTAGATGTAAAGCTTTACTTTCTACATGAGAAAAGTTTGTCATGGTTTCTTCTAGAAAGTGTCCTTTCTTTTTCTGTATATCGATTATCTCTGAAATGATAAAAAGCGTTTGAGCGAATAGCTTTTGGTGTGTTTCGTGTTTTGTGATTGAGCTGGTGAATGTAGTGATGTCTCCTTTGATTTATCTCTTGCTGATTTTCTCATCTTGCCTCGCTTCAGGGTGTGTTTTGGAATATCAGGTGCCGAAGCTGGGATGGATAATGTCAGGCTGGGCACTTCATTCCTGTATACGTCGACCTGGGCTCCCCACATGCGGTCCTGGATAGCTGATGTTAGTGTGATGGCCGCCATGAAGCATAATAGTTATGCGAGAGCGATAGGAGTCAAAGACCAGGCAGAGTACAGTACGTAAGAGTAAAAAGTTAAGCCCATCCGTCCTCCATCTCCTGCACTAGGGAGAAACCACACCTTCTGCCTACACGCATATACGAATCCCCTTTTTCAATCGATTGGCTTGCCGAGCAGTGAGGATAGAGAATTTGTACATCGACCGGAATACTCAATGCAGGACGCAACACGAGCGACTTCTTGGGACTTGTGAGGGGGACATTTTCGTGGTTTGGTTGGGTTCCACGCCATGCGATGGATAGGAAGAGAAGAAGAAGAAGAACATCGTTTGGGATGGTTGAGGAAGTGGGGGTTTTCGTAGCTACAACGGAGGGGCAAGGGGGGGGAGCAAAGTGAGAAGAGGGGGATAACGAAGTAAAAACGAATGTAATGGTATCCTGTCCATCACTTTGCACATTTTCACAATTCTCTGATACGGGGAAAAGCAATGGGCCAAATCCAAACACTTTGGCCATTGTATTTGGTATTTTCGTTTCGTGGGGTTTCATCATCATCATCGAATGTGTGATTTCTGATTCATCATAATCTAAGGTGAAGTGCTGACTTTATCTCTAGCTCAATCTTCCACCTTGGAAATCAGGTCTGAATGCCGTAACTCCACCCTTTGTCAATTCGCGCAAAGCCATGGTGGCGTATTGACTGCTGCCCAATTGCATCTTGATGACGACGGCCAGCTTTTGCTGCTCCTCGGTGCCATCGGCCATTTTGGTGTCTTCTTGTGTCTTGTCGTCGAGTGATTTCTCGAGAGACTTGTCGGAGCCGAGGAGAGCTTCGGCGCCGCCTAGGGCATCTGCGTTACCCTCTTCCTTTGCTTTGGCGATGAGTTTGTCAAGGTCGGTTTGGATGAGTTGCTCGTCGTCCTGGAAGTATGGCTTGACTTCCCAATCTAGGCCTTGAGGCTTGGCCATGAGCTTGCGGTATGAACCTGAGAGAGAAACGTCCTTCCACTTTCTGCGCATGTCGCGAGGGTTGAGTTTGCCGCCGACTTCTGAGCCCATGTATTCGGTGTAGAAGGCACCCAGCTCGTTGGAAGGGTACATGACGTCGAAACCAGGGAGAGGGAGGACCAAGTCGAAGATTGTGTATTTGCCGCTTGCCGCTTCTTCAGGTGTGAGGGCGCGGGCACGTTCAAACTTATCTTCGAGGGAGGTAGCGGTGTCGTGAGCGGCGGGACGGACGATGATTTCGCCTGCGTCGTCAATGGTCTCTTCGTCTTCTTGCTTGTAGGCTTCCTTATCTTTGTGTTCGTGGACGAGGACGAGGTCACCGGCGACGACTTTGTTGCCGTAGAGCTCGTAACGACGACCAGCAACAGTGTTCCAAACGAGCGATTGGTAGGCGTGAACGTACATAAGACGGAGGTTGCGAGGAATGTTTTGAAGAGCACCCTGCCAATCCTTTGCGCGTAGCAAGTCACCACTCTTGCGGTCTACCCAACCCAAATGTCTGATCAGAGCGTTCTCAGCCTGGAAACGACGAGGCAATTTGTCAAGAGCTGCACCCGACTTCTTGGTTGTCTTCCAAATGTGTAGAGCTTCGGCACGGGCAATATCGTCGTGTGAAATCTTGGTTGATGCTTGATCGGGGTTGTCGGCGGCTGCCAGGGCTTCGGGGCTGAAAGACAGGATATCCTCGACTGCACTCTCCAGGTCACCACGCAACATCTTTCTGCCGATAGTATCGGTGGAGATGGCGAAGGTGCCGAAACGTTGAAGACCGTAGTAGTTGATGAAACCACGTTCTTGGAACTGCGAGACAGCATCACCAACGATCTTCTTTGCAAGTTCGAATTGAGCTGCTGCATCTCCCTGTTGGCCAGGGAATGTGCATTCACGGAGAGTGATGGTGAACTCGTTTCCGTACAGGTCACCCAGATCAAGACCTTGCGGCATGTACTTGAAACCACCAAGTCTGGCTTGTCTGAGGGTAGGGTTGACACCCTGGAGACGGTCTGCGGCAATGCGGTAGGCACTTACACGCTGAACAGTGACACCTCTACGGTCCTTTGTTCCAGCGAATTGGAAGTTCTTGACATGAAGCTTGAGCTGACTGGCAATCCAGTAGAGGACTTCCATGGTATCCTTGTTTTCCTTGTACAGAGTGAAGTGTAGGTGCTCACCACCAAGCTCATCCCAGCCGACCTTGCCCTTGGGACGGTTGTTCTTTCCTTTTGACCCAGGCAGAGCACGAGCGTTGGGGTGGTTGTTGGCAGCAGCAGCAATCTTGATGGCAATGGTGTTGTCGTCGTTGGTCATGGTGTCGACTCTTCCGCTAAAGATGCGACGGACGTTGATGTGCGCATCGGTACGCATCTGCTTGTCTCCAATAACTTCTGATTGCAGACTGCCATGGTCTCTCGTCTTGCGTTCCGGGCGGGCGATTGACTTTGCGTAGAGGTTGCAGATGTCTGATGTCGTCTTTTCGCCAAAGATGTTCTTGAGGATGTCCATGTCGGCAGTGGCAATCTAGGCCTTGTAAGCAGCTATCAATTCGTGTCGGCAAGATAACATACCGAAGCAAGAGCTTCTTCCATGCGCTCCTTGATTGCCGTCTCTGCATTGTCCTGCTCGGGGGCCTCCGTCACGGCCACGGGCTCGGGCTTGGGCGCCTCAGGAGCCTTCTCTTTCTCTGCCGCCTGAGCTTCCTTCTCTTCAGCTTCGGCTTCCTTCTCGACCTTCTTGACAGCTTTGATGGCGGGTCCAGTCAATTCGTCCAGGTGGTATACGGTGCCAGATGTCGAAATCTCGTTGACCAGGAAATCCGTATATCTCTTCTTCACGAGGCCTCCGAATCCAGCGGCTTGCGATGCGAAAACAGTGATCCCGGCATTCTTTTCCTGCTCCAGTTGTGCTGCGACGGGATCGAATTCTGGCAGCGATGTCGAGGCCGACTCATCAGGACCCGTCAAGCGGACCTTCTTGCGTGGTTGTTCGTCCGACATGATCGCAACTATATACGATCGACGGTGAATATGAAATTTCGAGAAAGAGCGTAGATATCTTCAAACAATTATCAAACCATCGAGTCTTCGAGTCCGCGACTGGTCAGCACTTTTTTCGAGTTTGCTCTGTTTGTCTTCGATGACGACGGAACATCTCAAGGGCGTTCGACCTTTCACATTCTCGACTTCACCTCTCTATTTCTTTCCCATGTGAACCTACATCCATCGCGATACACGATCGCCCTGGTGAACACAGTAGATTGGCATATCCAGAACCTCTACGAGTGGAAGGTAGGACGAGGTACGTGTTGAATGCTGCCTGTCGCCTCGAAGAAGCCATCGCTTCCTTTTTGGAGCTTTGGCAGAAGCAGTCCTTTTCGATTTGGTAGGTGAAGCGCTGTCTTTGAATATGAGATTGTCAGAAAGTAAAACTTGCATCGTCGCAGTTAGATGAGTGAGTTTTCGCGATTTTCTCGTGTCGTGAGACTGAATTGAAGTGTTGCCTGGATTGCTCTTGCTCCTTTTGTCGCTGGAGTGTTTCCAACACAAACACAAACACCAACTCTTTGAGCAATCCGTTTTGTCTCGCCATTTCGTCTCACTTCCATCCAATCTCGATCATCCGTTTGCACCCTCGTCAACGCATCATCCCTGTTCTTTCCGCCAATCTTCTCTGCACTTGCCATCGTCGATTCATCAATTCGGCAACAATCATGCCTCCCAAACTCGCCGCTCAGAAGGAGCACAACGTCTATCTCACCACCTCAGTCACTTTCGACAACAAGAAAGACGACTTTGGAAGACTCCAAGTCTATCAAGCCTTTGCATCACTCGACGAGGCCAACGAGTTTTGTGAGGCTAAAGCTGATGAGCTCGCCGTCATGCTGGGCGTTGAATGCCCAGATCCAACACTTGAAAACTACGGCAGAGATGGCGCCTTCAGAATGGAACTGCCTTTGGAGCATCGCAACAGAGATATGATCGTCGAAACTGTCATCATGCCTCTCATGGGCGGTACCATAAGCCACAATAAGACTGTCTCATGTAAGACTGCAGCAAAACCAACCAAGGCCATCAAAGCCAAACCACAGAAGAGAAGAACAAACGTCAAGAAAGCACAAAGCTCCGACGAGGAAGAGGAGGACTATGTTTCGAGCGACGAGATGAAAGATGAGCCTCCTTCACCCAGGACCAAACCAACCAAAGCTCGCAAGGCAATCAAAGCTGAAGACTCAGACCTGGACTCCACCGCTGCCCGCTCGGAAAACCTCGACGTTGTGCATCGTGATTCTGTTGTCGATTCTAGCGCCGTCACTGCAGCCGATATTGCTGCGGCTCCCTCGGGTTCTCCTGACTGTCTCCAATACGGCTCATACTTTGTGGTTGGACATCACGAGCATTGGAGCGAGGAACAGATCAAGGTCATCATCAAGACGTTCGGAGGCACACTCAGGGATAAGATGCCCGTGTACAACACCGATAACACCTTCTCCGTTGTGCTCGGATACAAGGCCCCTGGAGTGGCTTTGCGCAGGATCAGACAGAAGGAGTTCCAGACCTACCCGCCGAAGGTCATCCTCGCTCGCATTGGTGGTCCCGAGGGTCCTACAAAGATCACCAAAGAGGAGGTCGCCAAACTCTGCAAACAAGCCCCAAGCAAACCCAAAGAAGAGACGGATAGCGAGGAGGAGCTCTAAAGCCCTGGGCCCGGGTAAAGAGACCTTGTGTCTTGACCGACATAAAAGGGAGAGAGAGAAAGCCGGAAGATGCACAAGGCTGGACACGGGGTGTTCTGATCAAGCTCTCACTGGAGAGCATCGGATGTGAAGAAACAATCATGCCATACGGCAACGTCGATGGTTGAGACTGATTCACTGGGAGAAGGGCTCGTACAAACTAAAGCCGTCGCTTTTCAATGGCCATTGCAAGAAAGCAAATTGCTATCGTACAATACAGTTACATGCCTTGCTACCGAGTATCTCTGTGCCCTCTCCATTTCGTGAAGTGACATTGTAATGCCTCAAGATCAGCAAATAAAATATGGAGACGATGTCGATGGTTCAGATCTGATTCTGCACGCTTGCGTCATGATCCGATTTTCGATCGGCGCATCCGCAACCTTGACCCTGAAGTTTTTCTTTCAACGTTCCGTCTTCTGCTCTGTCCTCTTTAGGATGATGCTCGGACTCTTGTCCAAAAAGTACGCGTCTGCCATTTCTTTTGAACAGGGCATGGGAGGTGTCAGTAAGGTGGCTGTCGTCAATGGCTTTTCGGGGTCTTCTGTTTGCAGGGATGCCGCTTCGGCTTCGGCTTCATGTGCTTGTTGACTCAACATTCACCGCCGACCGAGCTTCGAGAAGAAAACTGTTGACATGACTGCTGCAAGATGGCATGTTACACAACTCCTGTATCACATTAAACCTCGGTATGCGCTGTATGTCGCATGTACCTTTCCGCCATGATAGGATATCGGAGAGCGATGTTGCAAGGACTTTTCGTACGAAAGAGTGGATGCTGACGCATCTCGTCACTATCTCGGTGGATCGTTGATAAACCGAAGTTTTGAAGCTGTTCCATCTTTGGAGAACGCACCTTGCAGATCCGGAGATCTGTTGAAGGTCACAGCTCTTCTATCATCTACTTCAACAACGAGCAACCTCTTCTCTCCTGTTTAGCCCTCGTTTCTGCTGTTTTCGTCTCTACATAATCTCTGGCATTTCTGAGCAGTCGACACTCCGACTTCGCCAATCAGACTAAGCCACTATATTGTTCCAATTCGGAATAATTTTCGAAATTGCTGGTGCTCACAAACCTGAATATCTGCCATCATGGCCAACACAACGGATGAATATCGCTCTCCCTCGCCAGAGACACCCGCAGAAGGTCTGCCGACACCTGGAGAACATGCTCGTCTACACCACCTCCTCGCCATGGTCGATGAACCCGAACAGCCACCTTTCATGCGATCTCGCATGCACTCAACGACTCCCACGCTATACGAGGACTACAACGACCGACGTAGCTCCAAAACCACAACCCAACGACACTCTTTCAACTCAATGAACGAGAAAGAAGTCGACAACCGTGAGCACATGATTCAGCAAAAGTATGCCGAACGCCTCTGCTCCAAATGTAAACACCTGGACCGTGACCAAGAAGCCGCCTTGGGCGCCATGCAAATCGTACCGCCCGAGAAGGAAGAGAATAATAAGATAGTTTCTTGGGATGGAGAACACGATCCCAAGAAACCGATGAACATGCCTGAGCATCGCAAGTGGATGATTGTCATCTCGACCGGGTTGATGACTTTCTGTGTCTCTTTTGCTAGTTCGGTTTTCTCAACCACGACTTTCGTTACGGCAGAGTTGTTTGGTGTTAGCAGCGAGGTCATGATCCTCGGTCTTTCGCTATACGTGCTCGGCTTTGCATTCGGTAAGTTTCGTATCACTCCTGTCGCACAATCTGGGTGCTAATATGACTATAGGACCTCTTGTTTGGGGACCGCTTTCTGAAGCCTTTGGACGTACACGACCTCTATTCGCTGGCATGATCATTTTCTGTATCTTCCAGGTTCCTGTCGCAGTAGCTCAAAACCTGCAAACGATCTTCATCTGCAGATTCCTCGGTGGTGTTGCAGGCTCTGCTCCTTTGGCAATCATTGGCGGTATGTATGTCGACTTTATGGAACCTATCAACCGTGGTGTGGCTACGAGCGTCTTCGCTGGAGCTGTCTTTGCAGGTCCGGTCGCTGGGCCTGTCGTAGGTTCATTCATCACCTACAGCTATCTTGGCTGGAGATGGACCGCTTGGATCACTCTCATCATGTCTGCTTTCTTCACCATCATCGCCTACCTGTTGACTCCCGAGACCTACGAACCGGTCTTGCTTGCTTGGAAGGCCGACAAACTTCGCCATGAGACCAAGGACTGGGCTCTGCACTCGAAAAGTGAAGAGGACCCCCTCAACTACGACACCATTGTGAACAAGTATCTCATGAAGCCTCTTGTGATGATTGTCAAGGAGCCTATTCTCATCATTTTGACTCTGTATATGAGTCTGGTCTACGGTATCTTGTACTTGACGTTCGAAGCCTACCCCATCAGCTTCGAGATGGACCGTGGTTGGTCTCCTGGTCTTGCCTCCTTGCCTTTCATCGCCATCTTTATCGGTGTCGTCCTTGCCTGTGCCATCATTGGTGGTTTCTCCAAGACTTGGTATGCCAAGCGCTTGATTGCTTCTGGCAAGCTCAACCCCGAAGATCGTCTCCCTCCCATGATCGCTGGCTCCTTGATCCTCCCTGTTGGCCTTTTCTGGTTCGCTTGGACTTCTCACCCCGACACTCACTGGGCAGCCCAAGTCGTCTCGGGTATCTTCATCGGCCTCGGTATCATCCTCATCTTTATGAGCGGTGTCACTTATATGGTTGATGTATACCTTCTCAACGCCAACAGTGCTATCGCCATCAACACTTTCATCAGATCTGCAGTGGCAGCTGGCTTTCCGATGTTCGCTACATATCTCTATGATGGGCTTGGTGTCGACTGGGCCACCTCGTTGCTTGCATTTGTTTGCATCGCTCTCATTCCTTTCCCCTTCGTCTTTTGGTTCTATGGCAAGAAGATCAGAAGCTGGAGCAAGTTTGCCTTCAACCTTGGCTAGAAATCCCACCAACGCTGTACCTCACGTACACTAACTTTGTCACGGTGGCGAAAGGTGCATGAAGAACAACACATCCCATAAACGAATTTACGAATACTCATTGTACATAGAACGATTCCTTAAAAGCTGTATATATTCAATATCAAACATTGCTTGACATTCAAGGGTAAAGACTCATATTTCTATAACAACAATCACTGCTCAATGCCATGAAATCTCAGCCATTGCCGCCAACGCCTCTCGTCAAAATCAATCCCATCTCCACGATCTGACATCCATCATCCACATGCCTAGAACATCCAACAAATATCACAATCTCACTTAGGAAGCCCACACTCCTCGTTAAATGATCGAATCCACACTATTCAAAGTCGTCAGCAGACCTTTTTATGCAAAACAAACAATGGCGATATCCACGAACCTGGTCTCAAATGTTTACCCTCAGGACACCCTTTTCTGTAACAATTCCCTACTCTGTGCACCCAATTTTCCTTTTGTTCTCTGGAGCAGAATTTTGCAGAGGTCATGGTTGTGCGGTAGATTTTGTGTTCTAGGGCGTTGAAGCAGGATTGCTGGAGATGGGGTTAAGTCGTGTGCGTAGCCAGATGTGGGATATTTTTGCCTACGATACAAGGAGGTAAGGGGGATATGTCTAGGATTTCGAGGGTTTCTGATGTGGTTGGTTTGGCGTGCGCGGGTGCAGAAATAGCACCGAGGGCGATGAGGAAGTGGAAAAGACGCATTTTTGGAAGGTTCAGGATGAGATGAGAAAGAGGAAATATTGTGCGAGGCATGGAGTAGTTGTGTGGAGAATCATAGGTAAATGAGCTTTCACATTCAAAAATGGATATTTGAGGTCTTTTGAGGCCGATTCAAAAAGGAGTCATACACACGAGTGGCTTAAAACCCTTCAAGCGCCACGAACAGACGCAGAATATCTCAGATACCGGGTTCCGAGTCACAAGAGCTCCCAAAATGGCTCGAGCATATCCAATCCTTCTACGATGATAACAGGCCACCGCTCAAAGGCCATCTCCAAGGTATGGCTTGCAAAGATTGTCAAACCAGTCATCAAGACCTGCAAAAATGTCATCAGCAATCCGTCAAAATCATTAGGATACCGTCTGTACTTACGCTTGTCAATTTCGGCAGTAGGCTCGCATCTGTTCCTCGAGCAGTACTTATTGCTGCACCGCAGGATATAGTTACCTCAAATGCTTCGCATCTTCTTCTTGGGCTTCGTGCAGAACTCTTGATGGCTCATTTTCTTCTAATGCCAGTGGATAAGTCCATGATCGTATTTGTTCATGCAATTTTACTAAAAGGAAGAAAATGAGTCGGCAGGGACAATCTAGGAAGAGGTTTGACGACTTACGATGGTGTGTGGGAGGCGAAATATCAATCCCAGCGTTGACGCAGAGCAAAACACCTCCGAAAAGGAGAATGTGTATAAGACAGAGTGTGTGCCTGTTTAGAAGACGAAGATGAAGAAGGTGGATATTTGGAAGCGACGGTGCAAGAAAGCTGAAAAGCTTGTGAGAGAAAATAGACAGACGCGCCAAGGAAGCTCACTTTCTGATTCAATCCGTGTTTCGGAGCATCGAATCCCACTGGAGTAAATCTCCCAGCCTCCCAAGATGACCCCCTGAGTCCATGTCAAAATGCACAATGTATTCCTGGCGACGCATCGTAGCCAGTGAGAGTGGCAACTTGACACACTCTCTCTGGTCCATCGCATCGAAGACAAAATTATCTTGCCTTTTGACGGGGATTTGGCTGCTGTTGCCGAGGGAGGAGAGACCGACCAAAATGAAGCTGAGTACATCACGACCGAAGTGAAGTGAATGCGCAAGACAACAAACAACAAACAACAAACCTTAATTCAGACAAACCTCAGCTTCACAAATTTCTTCCAAAACCAACCTTGGACATCCATCAGTCTTCATCATTGCGCATTGTTTTCTTACCTCTCCTCGCACCAGAACAACCGCGCATTCATTCACAATGGTATGTTCCTGGCAGCGCGCCTCCTTTTTTTCACGCGCGATCTAATGGCAGAATAGGCACCCGTCGAGACTCCCAAGGGGCTGTTTCTCAGGGTCAACCGAGCAGTCGATCAGGACCAGGCCCTCGACTTCTTGCTCAACGTCAAGATGGTCGCCAATACGCTCAGAGGTGAGTCTGATGCGCAGAGCGATGTCGTTCAGACACAGCTCGCCCTCTTGCAGGAGTACGAGGCCCATTACAGGGCCGAGGTACACAGATTGTCGGTTTCCGCCGTGGCATTCTCACCCTCAGCCGCCACCACAAATTCGGCGCCTGTGCTTGACACGCATCAGGATGGTAGCTCGCGTTCTGACAGCCAGGGTCAGGGCCTCTACCCCTGTCCTGACCACAAGAAGCCCTCCTATACTCACAGTCAAGGTCAGTGTCGCAACCCGTGGCAACCAAAACCCGAGGCACATCAGGAATACCAGCCCACGCGCCGCGCCGCTCAACGCGATGGTAACTCCATCGCCTCACATGTTGACGACTCTGGCCGAGTCTCCAAGTCAGGTCCCAAGCCAAAGAGGATGAACAAGAACTGGACTCCTCAGGGCGGTGACAGGAAGTAAAGTGCTAGCTCTGAGCACGGTGGGAGACAACCCAGCCTTAAATAAACGGCAGGAGAAAACCTGGTCTCAAGAAAAACGGCAGGAGACAACCTGTTCTCAAGAAAAACACCCGGTGGTTCGCTTTGTACACAGGCGTACCCGGGGCCCCCGACAAACAGCTCGCACCTTTACGTGGTGTTGGGGATAAGTATGCATTTGCAGAAACCAAGTCGAGCTGAACCCTTTGTTTTTCCATTGTTTCTTCGGTCAGCGACCGGGATATGAAGGAGAGAGACTGCACAATGAAAGAAATACGGAGTTTGTGACTCACTCATACGGAAACACGCTGCTGTATGTTGTCCTGGCATGAGGCGGCGCGAAGTTGTATAAGTCGGTGAATGAGGCACTCGAAGGTCGAGGTGAGATGAGGTGACGTTGGGCCATACCACGACTTTTGGCCATTCGTGCAACTTGTCTAGCAGCATGTTTTATACATCCGTTCGCAACATCCTCTCCTATCTTCCTCGCTAGCTCCGTATGCCAGATCGCATCACTTTTATGATGGCGAAAATGCACAATGATTTTCTGAACCAGAGCTAGGTCCAAAGAGAAAAGCGCCAGTAATCGCTCTCTTTGGACGACGTGCTCTTGCTAAAAAGAATCGTGCATATTGATGGATACATCCTGGACATCGCTGCGACAGAACAGAGGTGCGTGTGGATATTGCACGTTAGATACATGCTCTATATCATAGATTTATTTACCACGGCACCTGTTCTCCACTGTATGTCCAGAACGATGCAGTATCGTCCTTTTTGAGCCCGTGCAACACCTTGAGCATCCCACTGATACTCTCATGAGCCTCGATCAAAGCACCCTCACCACCCATGCGAGTCTTGACCCAACCAGGATCCATGCTGATGACAACAGCACCGGGGAGCTTCTCTCGCAGTTCCTCGCCTTGGTGTACCGTGAGCATATTCAACGCGGCCTTGCTGATGCTGTATGTGGTACACTTTCTCGGCTTGATGCCTATGCTGATTTTCATGCTGCCAAGTCCAGATGTCATGTTCAAGATCCTCACATCCGAGGACAGCAAGTCGGCTTTGTAGAAGCCTTCAGTTGTTTTTGCAGGTCCGAGAACATTGATGTTGATGTGCTGGTTCATATCGCTTTCGGTTATTGAGAGTGAGCTCTGCTCTGGGACAGCATTGATGCCGCTGTTGTTGAGGAGGTAGTCGATCTTCCTGCCCTCAAGAGTCTTGCCACATGATTCAACGAAGGATGTGATGCTAGATGCTTCTCCAGTGTCACATTCCAGGATGTGTATATTGTTGTTCTTGTTGAGTGATTTCAAGTCGGTCAAATCGTTTGACATTGAGCGCACTGCTCCAATCACTGTGTTGGAGCCATCTGCCGAGAGTTGACGGACGAATTCGAGACCAAGGCCTCTGTTGGCACCAGTGAGCACGTAGACAGGCATGATGAGTGGATTTTGCGATAATTTGAGAATAAAAGGCAGTACCTGAGATAACAATTGCAACCAAGGCACATAGGCATTTATAGTCGCGATGAAGGAGGGGGCGGGGTGCAGGAGGCGGCTAAAAGTCAATGGCGGTTAAATCCCGAGAAGGTGCGATGACGTTTCGAAAAATCTCCCGTTTCCAAACTCTTACGAAGTATTCTGGCTGACATACATTCCACTGCCCACCGAGCTCGATGGCATGAACGTACTCTAGTTCTGATCGTACACAAGTCGTGCGTGAGTTCTTGCAACGAGATTGCGCGAACTAAAGCCCGCCGAGAATCGGACAATGCCTTCAGGAACAACCCATTGTCTGTTTTCTAGGTCCCAATAGCTGAGGTCTCTTCTCATCAGTTCGAATCTCGCTTCTCTTCTCTCTCCAGCCTTGAGATGCAGCTTTTCAAATCCTCTCAAGACCTTATGTGGCGTACCGGGAGGAGTGGTGTCTTAAGGAAGTGAGACGTAAAGCTGCGGTACTGCCAGAGTTAACTATGGATGGATTGATAATCCAATCCACTGGATAATCCAGTACTGGATTGGACTAGATTAGATTAGTATAGGCATTGGACTAGATTAGATTAGGTTGGCCCCTAATCTAGTACTCTAGTGGATTCTTAGCCCTATGCTAAGCCGCCTTCTAATTAGCCTACGGAGATATCCGGCGGCCTATAAGGCCTCCGATTAGTTAACTCTAACGTTAACAAAAATCCTTACGAGTGTAGAGCTAGGCGCGTCTCCCAACTTTTTACATTACTACCCCTAATTATTATAAACGACACCGCATCTAACGTACTATCTTCTATACTAAATACCTCCGTAATTAACGTACCTACCTACCTCTAACGATCCGACGACTTTAGAAGTACTACCCCTAAGGCGCGCGAAGTAGAAGGTACTAACACCGAGTACTATAAATACGTCGACTAGTCCTCCCTCTTATAGTACGAGGGCGTACCTAACGGTAAGGGTATAAGCAAGAGCCCTATCTAGAAGTACGGTTAGCGTATTTAGAAAAAAGCTACAGTTCCTACAAAATTCTTCTAGGTCTATACTAACTGCTATAAGTCTCGTGCTTATCGCACCTATATCTATAACATTACTAATGGCACGGATAGCGCCGCTAACTACCTCTTAGTAGTTTATAACATCGATAACGATAGCCTAAGGAAGCGCCCTCGAAGTATTATAGACTAGGTCTTAAGTTAACCCGCCTTATCTTTATACGGTTAAGACATAGAGCGATATAGGACGGTCTTTAACGAAGCTACATAGAAGGGAGCAGTTACTACGCTAATTGTTTATAAGAACCTTACCTTCCGTCTTCTTAAGTCCCTATATATGTAGAACTGTCTAATAATGCTTAATCTAGTAGTAGACTTAAGGGGATGTCTCCTATAGTATAGGACTATGCGCCGGTAGATTTCTTAAGTCTATAATAGTTACCTTAGAGTAGTAACCGAAATACTGTACTTAGCGTCCTCTACTATCTACTTCTCCTTCGACCTTTAGACGTCTCGTAATCTTAAGGCACTCTACGGCATTAATATTCACTTTATAGATAAATACGGCAACCTTAAGACCTTCCTTCTAGCCCTTCTATAGTAGGAAGGTAAGCATACTAGTACTAACATTGCTAATACTATTACTAAGATTATTAGTCGCTTCTTACTTAATAAGAAGATTAGGTTCTTTATTACTAATAACGCATCGAACAATAATACCTATATCTCCGCCCTTACTAATAAGTTCTACTTTAATACTATTTAAAGACGACTACGCTACGCCGGACATATCTTTAACCTTATTACGCGCGCATTACTCTAGGGTATTAACGAGGACGCCTTCCTTATAGAGCTAGCCGGCGTAGAGGTAATAGAGTAAGAGCTCGAGTGCTAGTAATGTTAAGGACCTATTAGTAAAGTTAGAAACACTATTATCTACATCCGCGCCTCGCCTTAGCGAAATGAGGAATTTAAGAAGGCTTAGAAGGCTTACCTACTACTTACTAAGGTTACTAAGCTATATACGTTTAACGACACTCGCTAGAACTCGGTGTTTAATGCGCTCTAAGTCTTTATCTTAGTACGCCCTACTATCGATGATTTCTATTAAAAAACCATAAAGGATTAGTAGGATTATGTTAATATTAAGACTAATTTTAGGACTAAGCTATGCCCTAAGAAGATGCGTAAGAAACTAGTAATACTAAATAACCGCATTACCTAAGACGACTAGGCATTACTAACTTAATATTACGAGATCCTCAAGCTAGTATAGCAATTTACCTAGCGCCTTAAGGGTCGAGGCACTAGTGCTAGCTATAGGGTAGTCTAGTAGGTAATACTAGTAATGGAGCGCTTGTTCTCGCACTTTAAGAAGCTTAAAAATTAGTATACCATTGTTAAGCCTATATAGAACTACTCTACCGTCCCTTTACTAACTAGTTAAGTCCCTACCTCTTAGAGTATAGTAATATTGCAATTATAGACCTAAAATATCGACCTTGACGACGACCTTCCTATTTCCCGACCCCTACGTAAGGCCGTTAAGACTACTTAAGGACGACGAGCTAATATTGCTTTAGTATCCTTGCTAATGCTACCGCCTATTACCCCTCTCCTATCGTCGATACTAGCACCCGCTGTACCTACCGAGTAGACTCTAGAATATTGCATATTAGCTACTAGGGTTAACTTAGCTTAGAAAAAATTGAACGAATACTATTAAATAACTAATTAGTCGCCTATATACGTCGCGGCAGTTATGCTTTATCTAGCTTACACCTAGAGATAGTTAAGATTAAAGTAGAGAGGGCGATAGGATTAGCTCGTAATGTTAGAGAAGTTAGTACGTAACTTCTAGCTATCCTCCTACTCTTAACTTATTATAGAGACTACCCCTCTTAAGGACGATCGTGCGCCCGATATAATAGCATAGATAGACGCTATACTTACCTTAGATAAGGAGGACACTAACATTAGCAGCCCTAAGACTAATAAATACGCTAGATAGTGTGTTAAAGGGCGTGTCCCTAACGTCTACTATCCTCTTAAATTCTAGTCGAAACTACGCATTAAACACTCCTATCCTAGGCTCTCTCGTATGGCCTATAATCTTTTTATAATACTAGCTATGTCTAATGAGCTAGAGCGGGTATTTTTAAGCTACGGAAACATAGTAACACCCTAGAGGGGAAAGCTTACTAGCGAGGCAATAGAGGAAGCATAATGCATTAAGAGTTAGATAAGATATAGTATTATAACTAATCTCGGAGCGACATTTAAGTTAATGGCATAGGCACTAGAGGAAGCGCCGGAGGCGCAGATGTACTGAACAAACAAAGCAAACGTCAAACTATCTGCTAAATCTGTGTTTTATCGCGTTTTTGAACGACTTAGACCATTTCCGAGAGAGTGCAAAAAGAATAATTGACCGTCACGACTGAGGCTCGAACGGTGGTCCGTGGTCTATACTAATCCACTGGACTCCATGGATTGGATCCACTGGATTGGACTGGATGCTAAGGCCGACTAGACTGGATTGGATCAGAGGGTTAATCCAGTCCAATCCATCCATGGTCTACTCTGGGTACTGCTGAGCTAGCTCTGTGGCCTGAATTTGTCACTTCAACCTTCAACACAGCAACAACATTCCACAGGTCGGCCAATCCGCCTGGAACTGTCCCTTGAGATTGATCAGGGAGCGTACTCAATGAGCCGTCAATGAGCTCGAAAGACATATTACTCGACATCGTAAAGCTGGAGTACGAGAGGCCGAATCCGAACTCATACAGCGCCTCCGTGCCGTTTGCGTCGAATTGCCGATAATCAATCATTTGGCCTTCGGTAAAATCAACTTGCCATGCGTTCGGATCTGTTGCATTGGCTACAGAACTGAGGATGGGTGGGCCATAATCTGAAGAGTTCCGCGGGATCGAGTACGGAAGCCGACCGGAGGGCTCGACAGCGCCCCAAAGCACGTCCACCAGGGCGTTTCCTGACTCCTCTCCTGGATAATGCGCTGCCAGGATGGCCGTCACATTTGGGTTGTCCGCCCAAGGCATGGCTACAACGCCTGGTCCATGAGTCACGACAATGGTGTTCGGACAGAATGCCGCTGTACTTTCCACCACTGCTGTAGCGTTCCATTGAAGATCTGGGGACGCTCGATCCGTTCCTTCGGTGGCGAAAGCTTTTAGAAAGACCAAGCAGGCCTGAGGTCTTGGGTATATGGTTCGGAATAGACCCTCGGCGACCTCTTTATTGTCGAACAGCTTTTGCACCCGGATACCCAACTTGCGCGCCTTTCTCTCGATAGCTTCCTCTGGAGTAGAAAAGCTCGTATGTCTAACGGTTCCGGATCCTCCGCCGATGTCAAGTGTGCCCATCTCGTAACCTTCCGCATTGTCGTAGTCCAAGTGAACGGAGCCGATTGTTGGATAGGACACATCGTTTCCTAAAAGCCCGATGTTGGTCTCGTGAGTCAGAGGCAATGCACCATTCGTGTTTTTGAGCAACACAGTGCCAGCAGCACCAATTCTGCGAATGATCTTTGCATGATCTGCACGAACATCTCGAGCATCGACAGCAGGATATACACTTGACAGAGGCGAGTTGTAGCCATATTGATATTTCAAGAAGACACCTCCACTTGCAGGATCTGGTTCGGGAAAGTCCTGGTCTTGGCCGAGAAGATAGTATGGCATCATGACCCGTGTCACCATATCGTTGAGCCGATCCAACGACACGGTACCATTGTTGACTGCCGCAAGGAGCGAATCGCCAAAGTACGAGACTCCAGAAACACTCTGCGTCCCTGGCATTTCCATGTCCAGTCCTCCATTTGCGGATAGTTCTGTTGAGTGTGTGGCATCCCAGTCGGAGAGAACATACCCTGGGAATGCTAGCTCATCTTTGAGAATCCTGTTAAGTATATCCGGATTCGCGCACGTGTAATTACCGTTGACGCGGTTGTAGCCACACATGACTGATGCAGTCCCAGCATGCACCGCGTTGGCCTGTTCCAAACGAACGAAAAGAGTCAGCAAGATATATTAGGCGCCGTATCGAGTCACAGACTTGACACTTACGAAAGGCCACAGATATAGCTCGTGTAGCGTGCGGTCATCAATATTGGCCGATACCGCATCTATGACGGTTCCGTTGCTGACTGTGAGTCCACCGCTGAGGGTAGAAGACCCGCGCTGGGTCTCTTGCTCATTGCCGATATAATGTTTTGAAGACGCCTGGACGCCAGCGGCTTGTATACCGGTGACCGAAGCGTTCGTCGCGACACCGGCTAAGTACGGATCGGGGCCGAGCCCTTCCCAGTTCCTCCCGGCAACAATGCTGCGACCCAGAGGCCCAGGAGAAGGCCTGAATGGTGATTAGCTAGGACGAGATGTACGTATCGCGTCAGGTGGATCATACCCCAGGTGTACATGAGCACCCTTAGCTCTGAACTCCTCTCCAATAGCTAAAGCGCGTTGGTACATGAGATCCCTGTCCCATGTCGCTGCCACAGTGATACCAGAAGGGAACACACTGACGCCATCAGAGCGAGCATACCCAGTCGGCCCATCGGAGTAACAAAGACCGCTGAAGTTGAGACGTGGGATACCCGAGATCGTACCAACGCAGGGTAGCACTGGACCGGGACCGTAACTTCCAGTGACAAGACCTATCTTTTCGGCTGTATCAAGTTGAGAGAGGAAGGATCTGGCCTTCTCCATGGCAGTGCATTGAGCTTTGGAATGGTCAGCCAGACAGACTCTTGATGTGAAGCATAAGCAGCGAGATAACGAGCTTACCCGAATTGTTTCTTGGAGGTACATTGAGGCTAAGAGTGAGCGGCAAAGTTACTGCAAGACATGCGGTGCTCGCTGTCTTGATGAACATAGTGTGGAAGAAAACAATCAAAGGTTGTGAGTGGACTTCTCATAAAAGTCAAAAGGCAAGAACAGCATACATGGTGAGTGCGTCCTCTTATAGTGTTGATCGGAAGGGATTTGCATCAAGCATGACGCGCATCTTAGTACCCTAGAGTGCGAGCTCATACCTTCCCGGCACATAGATCCAACACGACGTGTACAAGGGATGTGCTCTCCACAGCTCTGGACTTGGTGGGGGACCTTGAGCGAGGAAACCATATCCAGAGCCGAGAGAGTCAATACGGCGTGTTATACGATACGATCGAATACGACGCAGGCGTAAACGAAATACGACCACTATGATAAGAGCTCAAACGTAACACAACACACGACTGATTAAGCTTGATATCTGCATGACGAAGAAGAATAGGCAGCGAGACGCAAGTCGTTTGCCATAAGCGTAGAAACTGTGAAAGCTTGATCAGATCGTGGACTATGTGAGTTCCGCTTGGAGATTTCCAGCTGACAAACCTTGTCTAGACTCTTCTTCTGAGATGAGAATATTACATCGAGACAAAGACACAATTCAAAGTGGACAAGGATAGCAAACAAGAATCTGGTCTCAGAAAGAAGGGACAAAGGCAATCTGGAAAAGCAAGTGTTAATATCGGTTGAGCATACTTACCACACATGGTGGCACATATCTAGGAGCGTTCCTCAACATTCTTTAGAGTGTCGAGGCCATAATAAAACCATCACACCGAGTCGCCCCTTCGAGCTTCAACAAACTGACTACGAGCAAAGACGCACCGCGCCACAACACCCAGGATCTTCACCTCTGCACATTCTCGTTCTGATACAACCACCCACAAAGCTCATACAAACCTCTGACGAAAAACGACCATAAGAAAAGGATAAGAAACTTTCTGGTATCATAGTCAGGAAGCTCAAGTTCGTTGAGGATGATGCGGACCCTGACGAGAAGAATGCAGAAGTTGAAGAGGATCGTGCTCATCATTATACACACACAGCAGAAAGTTATCCTGTCGTCAACTCCCGGTTCACTTACAAGAAAGTATATGGAAGCGAGGATTGTGAGTATGAGCAAGATATCGGCCATATCGATCATCGTGGTGTTTTGTGTGTGCGGTAGTGGCTCGATGTGACTGATGTGGATGGAAGATGATCAGTTTCTGCGAATCAGAAGGAGCATCATATAATTTTCTCCCGTCGACTCTGTGAGAACCAAAGGGGCAGGATGAAGACAATAAGATTGTTGTAAAAACAAAGAAAATGGATTGCTAGATGTACTCAGACAAAGAAGGTGACATTTCTGCGAAAGAAAAGATAATAGAATGTAAAAGATGCTTACTCTGAAAAATCCGCGTAAGGCTCCCCACACAGCCATTGATGAAGCTCATACAAGCTTCTGATCAACAAAGACCAGATAAGAACAATGTAGATCTTTTTTATGTCAATGTATGAAGTGGTCAAGGTCTCAGTAACGCAGATTTCTATGAGGAGAGAGGCGAAGTTGAGGATGATTATCAGGATTGCGACAATCGTGATGATGACAGTTAGCGCGTGTTCCGGATCCGATTCCTGCAGTAATTTAGTGAATGTGACAGCTACTAATAATGTGAGAAACTAACAGATGATATCAAACATTGCTGGGTTGTTTCGTGTGGTTGATTATTTGGTGGAGGGGGGTTGATCTGGTTAAAAAGAGATTGGCCGATCTTTGATGATGGAGAGGAGGATTATAAACAACATTTTGTCGACTCCATTGAAGTTAGAGAGCGAAACAAGAACAATGATATCTCAAACGTACAAAGAGGCGAAACGTGTTGCGAACAATTGCACAAAGAATGCGGCATGGTCGCAGAAAAGAGCACAAAGGTCATCAAAGAGCGAGCCGAAATGAATCAGTCACCCATGTGCTACGAATGCAGCATCTTGGGACAGAGAAATGTTGGATGCATTGTTAAAGTAGGAGAGGTTGAATATCTTGTTTGGCCACCCTCTAGTATTCTTGGTGAGGGCGAATAACTTGGATCTGGTTCTAAACTGTCGAGCGTCTCGTATATCTCCCAAGTTGTCGGCCAGTCGCCTTGTATCATAGGTGCGTCAAGCTTTACCGAGAGCTTGGATGTATCGTAGAGAAGATACTGCAACATCGACAGCATCTTGCAGCCGAGCTGCTTCTGCTAGAAGCACCACTCGCCGATGCGTTCATTGAGGAGACTGTCCCATGCTCTGTTCGAGTTCTCTCTCGAGCTCCTCACGTGCCTTCTTCAGCCACTCGCTAAGGTTGGCATTCAGGACAGCAAGCTCTTCCTTGGTAATGCATCTCTTCTATAACATTTAGCAAAGCCCGTTCGCGGTCTCGGAAATGTCACATGTGAACCAACCTTGCTTGTGTCGCCGGCGTTTTCCTTCTCGTCCTTATCGATGGTCTGCTTTTGCGATTCGGCCGAGGGGGCGGCGCTGTTCGTTTTCTTCTTCATGGCGGGCTGCTTGATTGAGTGTTAGCGGTTGTGATTAGAGAGGCAGGGTACTACGGGTCTACCTGAAGGGTTGCTTGGTTTGAAGAATTTTGAGCACGTCGTGAACGTACTCGATGAAAAGCTGTTGGATAAACGCGGATTGGTGAAATGGTGTTGGAACCTTTTTGTTGGCTTGGATAGAGAGCTCGGAGTGAGACGGAAGAGGAAGAGTGACGCGCAGCGCCGGTTGATGTATGGCTCGCCCCAGAGGCTCACTGATTGCGTGCATTCGGGGTGGTGATGGTCCAGTCTGCGCGTACTGATGTGTCGATATCGTCAAGTGCGTCATGCAGGTAGTCCACGAGTATCCAAGAATGTGATGGTCCATCCTGCATGCACCTGTGTGTTGATGAAGTGAGTTCCTCAAACAGCCCATCAGCGCACGCTGCGAGTGAAGCCACTTTCTCAGTGACATGCTATATGTTGCATAAATTTGAGACCCCTTCCAGAGGAGAATCCGGTTGTTTAGCCCAAGCGGCAACACGCCTCTTTACGGGGTTTCGCTCTGAATTACCAACAACCCGAACAGGCGCAACTGGTGTCAGAGTCATCCCCCTACAGAACCCTCCTGAATTGACCAACAACCCGAACAGGCGCAACTGGTGTCAGGTAGCCTTCAACTCCTCTTTTTGCTCTTTTGCCCAAGTAAGGGCGGCAGTGTGATTGATGTTTCTCTTTGTGTTGGCAACGAGGTGTGTAAGCCGACTTTGTTTTTGATACCGAGCAGCAGGGGTTCAATTCACTGCTTGGAGCTGCTCTTTTTGCACCACAACGCGTCAAAGAAATCCGTCAACGCCAAGGCAACGAAAACACCACCAACGCGTTCATATTCCCACGATGTGTCCAATTCTCTGTAGTTGGGTCAGTTAGTGTGAAGGCTACAGGCTTGCATGCCTATACCCAAGACACCGGTTCGATCCCTGTCTGGACCGCTACGGCTGTACAATGTTCTCTGTTCGCATTGATCGTGATTTATCAAGGTCAATCGGCGGAGCGCAGTGTACGGCCACCTTTTGCCCTTTTTGTTCTGTGTTTCTTGCGACAGCTCCGCTGAATTGAATTGTTGACGGATGGTCCATGGAAGGGCGCCTTTTCTGTTTTGCTCTTTTTTTCTTTTCAAAAGACAAGCAAGAAATTTTACTTACTTTGTATACATTGCACTTGTTTTGCGACCAGTAACCATTCTACACACGTTTTTGGGGATCTTGTACCTCGAGAATGTCGAGCTAGAAGACTGACCCATTCTACACTTGGGTGGAACAGAGTGATTGGGGGAAAAGGAAAATGACATTGATACTTACCTAAACCTCAAACACAAGTCTCAGAGAAACGTCGCCTCTAGGACTCTACTTCACCAGCAAAATCTACAAACTATCACAGTTAGTCGTACAGTATAGCGTGTTCATGTTGGAGGGAGTGAGGTTGGGAAGGAGCGAATCACATGAGAGGTTGGTCATCTTGCCGCACTGACCATTTTGGTGTGGGGTAGCAAACTCTCTCCAAAACATCTCAAGTCGACACCAGCTCATTTTCTACATGAAAGGTACACCGAAAGCGGGTATTGCGGATGGAGAACAGATGAAGCTTCTCGCACTTCCGACAAGTCCTTTTCATAGTGCTTGAAGAGTAGAAAAGGGTAAAGAAAAGACTCGGGCGGAGATGTGCCGAGGATGAAATGAAAGGCTAACTCCGCATTTGGGCCGTTCTGAGTGGAGGCACAGGAAGATGCTATGCAGCAGCGGCTGAAGTTCCCTTGTTCCGATGGTGGTGAGAACTGCGATCGGGAGCGGTACCGACTGCCTTTAACCCGCTGTCGCCCTCGCTCTTCTTCTCGACCTCCGGCTTGACACGCTTTCCGTGCCTCTTCCCTTCGATCTGCCATCGCAAGCTGCCCCGGGCACAATCCTCAGACCCCGCATCACATAGCTACTGGACCAAGACGCGTACACATCTAAGATGAACCACCCAAGCAACGACACGCAGGCGGTCAAATTGACTGGCGAAGAGGTGGCCAAGCACAACAATGGCGACTCATGCTGGGTCATCGTTCACGGCCGAGCCTACGACGTGACCGAGTTCCTGCCCGAGCATCCTGGTGGTCCCAAGATCATCCTCAAGTATGCCGGAAAGGATGCCACCGAAGAGTACGAGCCCATCCACCCACCGGACACACTCGACAAGTTCCTGGACAAGAGCAAGCACTTGGGCGAGGTCGACATGAACACTGTCCAGCAAGAAGCCAAGGAGGAAGACCCAGATGAGGCCGAGAGACAAGAAAGAATCAAGCGCATGCCCATCCTTGAGCAATGCTACAACCTGATGGACTTCGAGGCTGTGGCCAGAAGAGTCATGAAGAAGACTGCTTGGGCCTACTACTCGAGTGGTGCCGATGATGAAATTGTGAGATGCTCCATACCTGACCACGCGACCTGCCACTGACCAACATAACAGACAATGAGAGAGAACCACAGCGCCTTCCACAGAATCTGGTTCCGACCAAAGATCCTCGTCGATGTCGAGAAGGTTGACATGTCGACCACAATGCTGGGCACCAAAGTCAGCATGCCCTTCTACGTAACAGCCACCGCTCTGGGCAAGCTTGGAAACCCTGAAGGTGAAGTCGTCCTTACTCGTGGAGCCAAGAAGCACAATGTCATCCAGATGATTCCCACCCTGGCCTCTTGCTCCTTCGATGAGATTATGGACGCTGCCGAGGGCGATCAAGTACAGTGGCTCCAACTCTACGTACGTCGAATCTTCCTGTTTACCACAGCGAGCAGCACTAACAACATCCATAGGTCAACAAGAACAGAGAAATCACCAAGCGCATCATCGAGCACGCCGAGAAGCGCGGCTGCAAGGGTCTCTTCATCACCGTCGACGCCCCTCAACTTGGCCGCCGCGAAAAGGATATGCGCTCCAAGTTCTCAGATGTCGGCAGCAACGTCCAAGACACCAGCGGTGACAACGTTGACCGTAGTCAAGGTGCAGCTCGTGCAATCTCGTCGTTCATTGATCCTTCGCTGTCCTGGAAGGATATCCCTTGGTTCAAAAGTGTCACCAAGATGCCCATCCTGCTCAAAGGTGTACAAAGAGTCGAAGATGTCATTAGAGCTGTTGCTGCCGGCGTTGATGGCGTCGTACTATCAAATCATGGCGGCAGGCAACTCGAAACTTCGAGATCCGGCATCGAGGTGCTCGCCGAGACCATGCCCGAGTTGCGTCGCCTGGGTCTCGAAAACAAAATCGAGATCTACATCGATGGTGGTATCCGCCGTGCCACAGACATCCTTAAAGCTTTGTGTCTCGGTGCAAAGGGCGTGGGAATCGGTCGTCCGTTCCTATACGCGATGTCGGCTTACGGTCTGCCTGGCGTTGATCGCGCTATGCAGCTTCTCAAGGATGAGATGGAGATGAACATGCGTCTGATTGGCTGCACCAGCGTCGACCAGTTGACTCCTGAACTTTTGGATATCAGAAGTGTGCACACACATACTGCATCTGTGGCGCCAGACACGCTCAGTATCGCTGCCTACGATCCTTTGGCTGGACCCAAGGAGAGGCTGGCCAAGCTGTGAGAGGTTTATCTTGTAGGTTCTATCTGTTTGTATATTGTCATGCATCATGAAACGTTTTCGCTTCTGCCGACCAATATCCAGAATCTGCTTTTGAACACGAAGGTGTCAAAGGAATATCAAAGCGTGCCCATTCCTTCTTCTAACCTTCCACTTCTCGCCTATTGTATCGCATGAAGACACCTCTAGTCATACCAGCTGTTCTGAGCGCCCTGTTCGAATTTCGCAAAAAAAAAAAGAATGACGAAAAGTTGCTTAGCTATGCTAGCTTCGTACCTTGAACCTTCCAACGCTATATGATTCTGTTATTCGAAGAAGCCACGTCTCATTGCACAGGTGTATCTGTGAGCTTTTACAGAAGTTATCTCAAGGAATTTGGCCACACTCGCTCTCCCACTAGATCAGATGACTCATCTCAAGCCTGGGTTCCAGAGAGCAAGATACAATTGGGTGATTCTGTACCCGATGATCTCTTCAGCTGAAGTCTCTCAAAACTGGTCACATCGCCGACTTAGCGCGCTCGTATGCTGGACACCGCTTAGTGGCCAGCTTAGGGTGTGGAAGTCACCACCTCTATTTTGACCCCCTTCTATAAGCATACATCGCCGCCAGAATGAAGGTCGTCGTGTGTTCCACAGATGAATTCAGATTCTTCGTGACCCAAGCTTATCATGGAAACCACTTTGTTCCATCTCAATCGACGAATCGGAAGGGCGCATCGCCATAGGTTCGCCCTTAACCTATTTTCTCAAATAGCGATCTTAGGGCGATTCACGCCTAAGCATGAGTTACTTTAGATCCAACCATTTGCTGCCGAATGGTCTATAGTCCTGCTGACTCATTCTACGTGAGTATTGCAGCGATTTTGCTGGCTAATGCTGGGATATATATGTGATCCAAATCTTTGTTCGCCCTTCACTTCTTTCCATTCACTGCCAAACCATCTTGACGAGCTGCAATTTCAAACATCAAACGCAAGCACCCGCATTTACTTTTCACCTGACCACTCCACCGTCAACCTCATCACAAAACATCAAGATGTCTTCCACCAAAACTTACAACATGGAAAGCCTGCGTCGCGAGCTCAACAACATTCCTACCACTACTGCACCAGCCTCCATGCCCGTCGTGGTGCGTCAACTCGCCAATATCTACGACATCGAAAGCATTCGCCGCGAGCTTGACAACATCGCCGCCACTTTTGTTTCGGCACCTATCTCGATGCCTATCAGACTTCGTCACGTCAACATCACACAGAACCAAAGCAAAGAGACACAGAAGGCACAGAAGGGATCCAGCGAAAAAGCTATCCCGCCAGTCTCATCAACATCAACATCCCTGCGTGTCGCCAAGACCGCAGAAGAAAGTTATAGCAACAAAGAGGTCGGCACATCATCGCCGCCTCCAGCATCAACACCAGTATCCCTGCCTGTCATCAAGACCGCAGAAGAAAGCCATATCAACAAAGAGGCCAGCACATCATCGCTGCCTTCAGCATCAACACCAAATCCTCTCTATTCCGTCAAGAAGGCAGGAAAAAACCAAATCAACATGGCGCAATCAACCAAGCAGGATGATCTCATCAAGACTTCCACCGCTCCGAAGCCAATCAAGCCTCGCCGTAGCATCTTCGACTCTACATGGGCAGATGAAATATCAACATCACCCGAACCGAAACAGACATCCAACAAGCCGGACGATCACATCAAGACGATTACCGCTCCGAAGTCAATCAAGCCTCGCAGCAGCATCTTCGACTCCACATGGGCAGGTGAAACATCACCATCACCAGAACCACAAAAGACTTCCACCAAATCACGTCGTCGCAGCTCTAAAGCCGCAAAGCAACAAAAGCAAGCATCACCATTACAAGAAACTCCTGCTCAACCCCAAAAAGCAGCAGCGGCACCAAAAGCTACAACTCCTAAGCCGGCACCAAAAGTCATCGACATCGTCGCACCTCAAGTCCAACCCACCGATGCCATCAAGACTGCACCCAAAATCATCCTCACCGATGCTTCTAAGCCGGCACCCAAGATCACCATCACCGCCGCACCTCAAACCAAAACCCCCGATGCTATCAAGCCGGCACCAAAGATCACCGCCGCAACTCAAACCAAGCCAACAGTCACAAACAAATACTCCATCTTCGCGTCTGCATATGCGAACTAAAGCTTCCAGACACTTCCACTACTCTTTTTACCCACAGGGTTTTTAACGAGAGTGGGATTAGGAGATTTTGGAGTGTATACTCTTTTTCACTTAGACAGCATAGTTTTGAACTCATGAAAGCATTTGGTTTTTGTCTTTTGTCTTTTGTTTTTGTTTTTTTGATGTGTGTGATGTGTGATTTGTGATATGTGATATGTGGTAACTTGTGATGATTGCATCGAGACGATATAGCTGACCTCTTAAGCTGATACTCAATTGGCTACAGCTTTTTCAACATCGTGTTAGTTGCTTCATGATGGCGGCTTTGTATACTCTTCTCTCGGTCGTCGCTTCTTGGATAGAAAATCTTGGAAAGGGGATTTACGTTGTAATCATAGGTTGTCCTTTTTTTTTTCTGCACTTCCCTCGAACGTGATTCGAGATTGCTATTATGCCCGCCGTTGACGTTGATATCTCTCAGACAGCTGAGAAGGTGTGATCGAAACGTCATTTTCCGTAAGAAAACACGTCTCATTGCAGATCTCCTGTTGACGAGTGGACGAACAGGCATTCCATGTACGAGCCTCGAAAAGAAGATTGGTAATGTGGTCGTCATGCTGCTTGTGTGGGTTGTTTTACCCGACGTACACATATATACGCAAGCGATATCTTCGTGGCTATCGACTTCAAGAGTCATCGAACACGGCCAACTAAAGAGGTCTGTCGCTGTCTGCCGAAAGATTGAATGCGTTGGGGCTACCAGAAGAATTACCAGCAATTGAATCCTCTAGAATCGATCAAAGCATTCCTGCTAATCAGACTATTACATCTTTTGTTCTAGCTGGAGAGATTCGCCCTTTTTTGTGCGTAGTAGTGGCTGGTTGATGAGATGATATGTGTTGCACTTTATCATCCAAAGTTGCCATTTTTGTTTCCTTATACGATTCCGCTTTGCTGATTCAATGAATGACCAACGAAGAGCATCAGGGAAAAAGGGTCAGGTAATTACCAAGAGTGCATAATAGGAATACTGGCATTCGATGCTTACATGGCTTCACTCAAGAGATGAACAGATACAGACCCTTTATGTCGATGAGTGATGAAGATGCGGCCCATAAACATTCTATCTTCATCAAAAAGCTGCTGTATCGCTTTGATCGAAACGGAAGATGTGTTTTATGGTGAGAAGAGCGTGAGACGATATCTCGCTTGCTCACTGGTTTGATGTGTCATCTTTTGATTTTTTCGAGGGAGGAGCAATGAAGATCGTGTTGTTTTCCGTGGTGAACTTAATTGCCTAGCACATGGTTTCCAACATCCACATTGGGTGACCTACCCTCTAGCAAAGAAACTATTATTCAGGCAATAAGTTTTCAATCGATCACTCGTCAATGTCGCATATCCGCACACGACTCCCTACCTAAAGTGAGCATCATCACTGTAAATTTCCTTTCCCACATCCACTATAAAAGACACTCCAAGGTCAATCACAGCTAGTTAGCAAGACGTACACCAGTATTGCATGTGTGGAGAGAACGGCTGTTTCGACACTTGGACAAGGCAATCAGCAGATAGCCCGCGAGAGGAAAGAGAAGGGATGGCAAGGAAGAGTCTGAGGCTACTGATTCTTTGATCTCCTAGATCGTATCTCCCAGCCGCTGTGGAAGTACTACGTTGTCTGCAATGTTTCAGGGGTTAAGGGGGTTATGCTGGAGGAGTCGAGACGGAGGAGCTGACGGTGACCTAATGCTTGTGTGCTGATGCCTGCTGATGAGGGGGCAGCCATAAGACATGGCTCGCGGACTTGCTTCTTGCTTCTCTTGCAGATCGCTCAGCGGCGGGGTAATGTGTGTCTGAGAACTGTTAGGCCAGGAGTTGCTCTTAAACTAACACCCCTCATGACTTTGTGAGAGGGAAAACGTGAATACTTCATATTTCCACACCAGTACAAAATTAACAGCATGCACAGCGAGGGCAAATGAAGCATAGGTCATAAAAATTTCGAATATCAAGATGGCGTTCATCCAACAAATGGAACAAACAAAAGAAGTAAAACCACATCTCTCTCCCATACAAACCACAAACTACCAAGGCTTACCACTTCTCCTTCAGCCCAATCATCCACCTTCACATATCACTCGATAGCTCAACCTATTTATTTGGAGTTGAAGACACCAGCGATACACTTGGTGAGAATAGCCTGATCGGTGTACGAACCAGCACTGCCGGTAGGAACCTCGGAAAGGACGTAGTTGGAAGCGAACATGCCGGCAGACCAGCCGGTCCAACCGAGGTAGACGTCAGAGTTGGTCATGAGGTAGTTGAGCATGGTGCAAACGTTGGTCAAGCAAGACTGGTCGTTGGAGCCACCGGCCTCGGTCAGGATGGCTTGACGGCCGTTGGCGCGGAGCCAGGTGGCGAGGGTGGTGAATCCGGCGACGTTATCGGTGGTGCAAGCGCTGTTGGTGCCAGAGCCGTCGGAGTCGGAGTACTGGTGAACATCGAAGACGAGGTTGGTCTTGCTGCCGTCCAAGTTGGTGATCTTGTTGAGAGCAGCAGCAGAGCCGTTGTCGACAAACTGGGCAGCGTGGGTCCAGTCATTGCCGGGCAGCAGAATCAAGTTCTGGGTGGCTCCGGCCTTGCGGATGGCGGTGACAGCAGCCTGGACGGTGGTGGCCCAGGTGTTGATGTCCTGGAGATCATGGGGCTCGTTCATGATACCGAAAGCGACCTTGGGCTTAGAAGCGTACTTGGTGGCCAATTGCGACCAGACGGAGGCGAATTGGGCGTTGGTGGGGCCGCCGCTGCTGCCGACGATGGCACCGTTCCAGCGGGCGTAGTTGTGGAGGTCGATGATACACAGCTCAGCGCCGGAGTTCAGGCAGTATGTAACTTGGGCGTCGTACTTGGAAAAGAACGAGCTGTCGAGGTTGCCACCGAGGGTGTTGCCAACAAGGTATTGCCAGCCGACGGGGAGACGGAAGGCATTGAGCTTATCGTCCTTGACGAAGTGGTTCATCTGGGACTGACCAGTGGTGCCGGGGTCTTGGTAAGTGCCCGAGCCGCCGTTGGTATCAATACCGAAGTCGAAGCCAGCGATGTTGACACCGGCGTACTTCACCTTGCCCTTTGAAGAAGCGACCGAGCTGGTGGCAGCCTTGCTGGTGGTCGAGGCACGGCTGGCGGCAGTGGTGACGGGGGCCTTGCTTGCAGCGGCGGTAGTGGTAGCCTTGATGGAGGTCGCGGCCTTGGTGGTGGTAGGCTTGACAGAAGTAACGACCTTGGTGGTCTGGGGAGCAGAGCTGCCAGCACCGGGAACACACTGGGAGTACCAGTCATTCTGGGCGGCGCAGTGGTAGCCAGAGACACAGGCAGTAGCACCAGTCCATCCTTGGCCACCCTGAGAGGAGTTAGTATTCAGGTAATGGAACAATGCAAGAAGTCTGCACATACACATTGGCCGTATGCGGGAGCAGAAGCGGCTGCGGCAGTACCAGCTGCGGCAGCGACAACGAAAGTGGAGTACTTCATCTTGATATAAAAGAGAAAAGAGCGCGAAAAGAATGGCACGCTAGTGGGGTGAAAGAAGGGGAGGAAGGAGAATGAACGGAAGACAAGAAACTGTCAAGAGTGCTTGTTGGAAGAGAAGAGAGTAGTAGGATAGCCTCAAGGCTTTATATCCCAATGCTTACACTGCCGGAGTGGATGTCACGGCTGGAGATGGCGACTACAAACCTGATTAAGCATGGGTCGACTGTCTGAAATATATTGACGAAGCAACGCTAAGATCTGGAGAGGGGCGATGGAAGGGTACGGTCCTGCGACACAGGCTAAAGCCCTAGAAGCCTAAACGTTGATAAAGACGAGACAAGCATTTTGACGTTAGCTTGAACCTGGTCGTGGATCGGGATGAGCATCGCATGGTATCGCGTGGGAAAATTGAAACACATGGATGGTGCAATATGTCTCAGTCCAGGTGATTACAAGATGGGGTTCGTCGTGCACATTTGACGCGAGCTGTGATTGAATGGGAAGGATCGCAAGGTGGCAGACGTCGATGCGGGTTAGAGCATAAACACCATGGCAAAGGCGTGTCCGAAATGACATGAAGCAGGGGAGGACGGATCCACCGGTGTTGTTCGAGATGGGTTCTTTGTATCCGTAAGCGAGCAGCGGGAGTGGCGCAACTTTATATGGAGCCTGAAACAGAAGCACAGCAGGTCTTGGCTTTCTAGACTTTGGGTTTTGGTATATGAAACTCGCACGTACTCACCCTTATGACTTCAAGCCCACATTCTGCCTATTCGATTCGGTATTTGTTGGCAAAAACGTCAGCTGTTCGATCTCGCGTGCAAGTAGAATTGTTGATGCAAGGGTTTTTGCTCCTCATGCGAAAGGACGGAACAGAAGCAAGAAGCAGGAGAATGTAAAACGGTCGACGGGCCGGCACGCCGCCAGTGCTAGAAATCTTAGTAAAGTGTTCTCGCCTGAGGGTTCCTCTGATTGTTCATCATCACCCGAGGCGAGATCGAATCTGAAAGGTCGTGTTGTGGTTTTCGGTGATTTTTCTCTTTTCTTCAACACAGCCGAAAATCAAGATGAGATGTGTTTCGGGACAGTGACAAGGATGGTGATGATGGCGAGCAAAGGAGGAGTTTTGGTTCGTTTTCCCGACCGAGATAAAAATACAGCTATATACACAGGTGATGTTTGTACATTCAATTTCGCATAGCTTACGAGTCACGCATTTGAGTCTCGTATCTCTTGCCCCTGAAGGCCCAAACACCCCAGTTTCCAGCGCTGACGTCCTGAGGGTCGAGGTCGTTGAGATCCCAGCGTAGACTGCGGAAACGGTTCTCGCCTGGCTCGAGCAGGATATCCATCTCGTCGCCGACGGTATCGCGTACCCAGTCAATATCACGCTTCATGTCGTAGTCAGTGTAGCCGGTGGCAATGATGGGCACTTTAGTGTCCAATAGTGGACGGATAGTGTCTTGCCATTCATGAGAGCTTGCGGGGTGGCCTAGACCGGGGTGGAAGAGAACAAAGGCGTCGAAGTATGGATCATATGGGTAAAAGGCCTGGGCGTTGTGCAAGGTGTGAAAGTACTCGACGTAAGTGGTGACCTTAAGCTGGTGGCTAATGCGGTCTTCAACAATAGCGCCAAAGGGATTCTGAGGAGTGCGGGGAGGAAGAGGATATTCATCGTCTCGGTTAGCCATGCTTTCTGGACCGATGAAGATCAGGTGGAAGGTTGAGCGGGGGAACAGCCAAGCTAGTTGCTGCCATACCTCGCGTGGCAGCGACGACTCGGCGCGAGCGCCAATACAGAAGAGGCGAACGGGAGGAGCGGTGGGACGAAGGCCCTTGATTCCGTCGCCAGCACCCGAGCGAGGAGGGTGCAATGTATATTGGAGGGCAGTGAAACTCTTGAGACCCTCGGGTGTGAGGCGGTTCCGCACGTTGTAGGGACTCAATTCGTGGAGGATACTGCCGACCGTGGCAGGGTATGTGAGGAGACGAGTAGCCTGGCGGAGACTGCGCTCGTCGTTGATGGCGTTGAACTCGCGCGAGTACAGCATGGTGTCCCAGTTGGTCAAGTTGACCTGAGCCTCATCGATCTGCGGGCCGGGGTATTCGAACTCGGGGAAGAAGCGGCCAGAGACGAGGTCGTGGTCATCCTCGTTGATCTCGCGCAGGGTATCGCAGATGGCCAAGTGGGCCTCGTAGTCGTCGGCCAAGTGCTCTTCACAGCATGCTACGGGAACACCACAGTCGGGACATTCGTAGCGGACATGTGCTGGAGGCATAGTGCCTGTCTTTCGGACCTCGATGTCATCAGGACTGGTAGGCTGACGGGTTGCTGAGTGGTCCGGATGCGGGCAGTATGCATTTTGCTTGATGAAGGCGGCGCGCTTGCGGATGACAGGTGACGGCGAGTCGCTGAACGAGTGGAACAGGTTTCCGGGTTGGAGAAGTTCACGGCTGCGGTCGCCGGCGACGTCTTCGGGACTGTGTTGGATTGCAGGTGATTCACGGGACAATTGGGCGATCTGAGGTTTGGGGGCAGATGTCGACAGGCGCCTTCTGCTTCTTGAGATTCTCTTTGACGACGACAAGGCCGGTTGTGCCGATGTGGATACTGAGAAGAGACGGGTTGACGGTCTTAACCGCGGCAGAGCGATACGCGCAAGGCATTGCCTGCATGCTGAAGTTGACGACAAGGCAGCCATATTCCAGAGGATGTTCTCACAAAAGTGCTTCTGTTCGTTCCTGTTCCCTTCAACTTTCCGGCCGCTCAATGATGCAGCGATTCAAACGCGGGAGGCCCGAGCTCTCTTTCCATGTCTTGGCCCGGCGCCGATGCTGTGAGCGCGAGTCGACTTTTCTACAACCATTTATTATCATCTCGCAACTAGACTCCATTGTAGCTTGAACGCATCTTGGAAAAGCGCCTGATCTCTGCGCTTCTGCTTTCGCTCGCTCCTCGACTCCTGATCGCCTCCGCCCATCCTCTTCAGGCCTCATTCTCTCGGCGCAAATCCCAGAAGCAGCTCGCGCGCCTCTCCACGACCTTGACGATTCGACGACTATATACTATACCCTCCTTAGACCGAACGAGCGCCCTCGAGGGTCGCTCCCCACCCATCGCCCATCATGTCTATCACCTCCAACATGTCCATGTACTCGCTCACCCTGCAACCTGCTGGAGTCATCACCCATGCCATTGTCGGCAACTTTGTCGCAAGCAGGCCGAAAGAGCAGCAAGTCATCCTGGCTCAGGGTGAAAGACTGAGTCTGTTGACCATTGACAAGGACACCGATCAAATCCGCACAATCCTCACACACAACGCCTTTGGCATCCTGCGCAACCTGTCGTCCTGCAGAGTCCCCGGTACTCCTCGCGACCTGATCATCGTATCCTCCGACTCTGGCCGTGTCTCCCTCCTCCAGTACGATGACGAGAAGAACCGCTTCGAACGCGTCCATCTCGAGACTTTCGGCAAGTCAGGCATCCGTCGTACCATCCCTGGCCAATACCTCGCCTCAGACCCCCGCGGTAGATGCTGCATGTTTGCCTCTGTCGAAAAGAACAAGGTCGTGTATATCCTCAATCGCAATTCGGAGCAACAAGTCACCATCTCCTCCCCTCAAGAAGTCAACCGTCCTCAGACATTAACCTTCGACATCTGCCCTGTCGACACAAACTTCCAGAACCCCGTCTTTGCCGCACTCGAAGTCGACTACACAGACAGCGACCAGGACCCGACAAACGAATCATACGACATCCGCGAGAAGCTGCTCGTCTACTACCGTGTTGACCTCGGCCTGAACCACGTTGTCCGCGAATGGGCCGATGCTGTCGACTACTCAGCCAACAAGCTGTTCCCTGTGCCTGGTGGTCTCGATGGCCCCAGCGGTGTCGTTGTCTGCTCTCAAGGAAAGATCACATACCGTCATCCTATGCAGGAGGCCCACACTCTGGTCATTCCTCGTCGCAAGGGTGGTCTTGAGAACCCCGACCGCGAGAGACGCATTGTCGCTGGTGTCGTGCATCGTTTCAAGGCTGGCTTCTTCCATCTCCTACAGACTGAGGATGGTGACTTGTTCAAGCTGACCATGGATCTTGTTGAGGATGATCAAGGTCGTAAGACTGGTGAGGTTGCCAGCATTGAGCTTCGTTACTTTGACACATTCCCCATCGCCTCGACCATGTGCATCTTGAAGTCCGGTTACCTCTTCGTAGCAGCAGAGAACGGCGACAGCCACTTCTACCGCTTCCTCAATCTAGGAATGAACATCGACCCTCTTACCGACAGCACCGCTCAAGAGATCTCATACTTCTTCCCTCACGACTACGACAACGTAGATCAATCCGCCACTGTCCCTAGCATGCACCCTCAGCGAAAAACTGTGGTACAAGACATCACTGGTGGCGATGATTGGAAGATCTACACAACTGCCGGAACTGGTACTCGCAGCTCCTTCAAGGTTGTCAGCCATGGTTTGAGCGTCAGCGAGCAGACTCGTGCCGAACTGCCTGACCAACCCAATAATCTCTGGGTAGTGTCAGATGATCGTTTCTCAGAAGCGGACAAGTACATTGTATTGGGTTTCCGCGATGCCACTCTCTTCCTGGAAGTCGGTGAGAACACTCACGAAGTCTCTGACCACGGACTGCACAAGGAGGTCACAACGATTCACATGGGCCTCATGGGCGACACCGGTATCTTGCAAGTCTGGGATAGAGGTTTCCGCTTCTACACTGGACCTGATAGCCCACAAGAAGACTGGAAATGCCCTCCGCATCGCACAATTATCAAAGCTTCAAACAACCACCAACAGCTTTGTCTAGCACTAAGCTCTGGTGAGCTTCTATACTTCGAGGTCTCACAAGACGGCCGAAGGATTCAGGAGTACGAGCAAGGTGCCGACGTCTTGACTGTTTCAGGTGTTGTCCAAGCCATGAGCATGGGCGATGTTCCTGAAGGTCGCGTCAGATCTCCCTTCCTCGTCGTTGGATGCGACGACTCGACCATTCGCGTCTACTCCCTTGATCCCGGTGGTGAGATGCTCAAATCACAATCCATCCAATCCCTCACATCGCCTCCTCGCTCGATCGAGATTTTGCCCATGGAAGACTCGACCGGTATGACCACCTTTGTCCACGTTGGTCTCTTCTCCGGCCTGTACCTCCGTGCTGTCTTGGATGATGTTACTGGCGAACTCGGCGATGTACGATCACGTTTCCTCGGCGCCGACGAGGCCAAGCTCTACCCAGTCGCTGTCAATGACAGCCCCGCGGTGCTGGCCTGTGGTGCCAAAACCTTCCTCTCATACCCACATCCTGAGACCAAGGAGCTATTGCTCACCCCTCTCGACTACCACTCATTCAACTGCGCTAGTATGCTGAGATCTAGAGTTGCCGGTCGCAAGGGCCAAACATCTGTCAGACAGTCAATTGTCGCATTACGTGGCGCAGAAATCTTTGTGTTCAGCATCGGAGATACCTCAAACAACATCCTCACAAAATCCATCCCACTCAAACACACCCCTCGCGATTTCTGCAGACACCCGGAATATCGCTACTTCTCCGTCATCCAATCAGATCAGAATGTCCTCAGCAAGCAGGCCAGAGAGACGCTACTTGCTGATCCGACAAGATCAGAAGAGGACAAGAAACAGATGGGCCCGAGCGACCAATTTGGCTGGCCACGAGGACCTGGATGGGCTTCATGCATTCAAGTCGTCGACCCGACAGCTGAAGATGAAAAGGAAGGCGTCGCATACACGGTTGACCTTGACTCAAATGAGGCTGCTTTGTGCTGTGATATGGTACCATTTGAGAACCAAGACGGCGAAGTATTCTTGCTTGTTGGTACCGGCAAGAACATTCCTTCTGGTGCACCAACACCGAGCTCGCCCAAATCGACTGGCTCAGTACACGTATACCGAGTGCTAGATCCTGGCAACGAGCTTGAACTTATCCACAAGACCGACTTCGACAAGCCGATTCGTGCGCTTATGCCCTTCCAAGGCCGTCTAGCGCTCGGTGTTGGCAACGAAGTCTTCATTTACGATCTCGGTATGAAGGCCCTACTGCGTAAGGCTCGTTGCCGTGTACCTGGTACACAGATCATTGGCATGAAGACACAAGGATCGCGTATCGTCGTTGGTGATGTGCAAGAATCCGTTTCTTACGTCGTCTACAACCACAAGGACAACAAGCTCACACCATTCGCTGATGATGTTATTGCTCGTTGGACTACTTGCTTCACAATGCTCGACTATGATACTGTAGCTGGTGGTGACAAGTTTGGTAATGTTTGGGCTGTGCGTTGTCCAAAGTCTGCCTCCGACGAAGCAGACGAACCTGGCGCAGCATCATTCCTCGCCAACGAGAAGGCATATCTCGGCGGCACACCTCACCGTCTCGCATTGCAGTTCCATGACTTCGTCCAAGATATTCCCATGTCGATGCAGAAGACAACGCTCGTCCCCGGTGGCCAAGAAGTGATCTTCTGGGCTGGTCTGCAAGGCACACTCGGTGTCTTCGTTCCTTTCATGGACAGAGAAGACGTCGACTTCTTTGGCAGCTTGGAGCAACACTTGCGCACTGAAGACCCACCGATCTGCGGACGCGACCATCTCATGTACAGAAGTTACTACATTCCTGTCAAGGGCTGTATCGACGGTGATCTCTGTGAAAGATTCTTCCTGCTGAGCAGAGACAAGAAGGAGAGAATCGCTGGTGACCTGGATCGCACAGTCAGAGAGGTTGAGAAGAAGATTGGTGAGATGAGAACGAGAGTTGCATTTTAAGCGAGACCTACCATAGATAGGATGTATCATGTGTACGAAAAGTATATTACGTGTTAAATTTGACCTCTGCCCTGTCGTGAATCGTGATGAGAGCGCCGTTGGAGTCGGAATGCCCGTTGCGTCATGTCTTGTAGACAGGGTGGTCCCCTATACAAGCATCAAGAGCATGTTTTTGCTTGTCGCGACTCGCACACCATACTTTCTAACATCCAATCATTACATGCCGGATCTTGAGATAATTGATCCTTTGCCTGATGCAACAAATGACTGGTGACATAGGTATACGATGAGTTATGCTGAAAATTGATATTCCAGACGGTGAGTTTTGGAAGACCGCCACAAAAGCAACAAAGATCATTGGACATTCCAATTCGAATGCCAATGTTCTTTCGCGAGCACCCAGAAGCTCATGTAAGCTCTGTGTACAGATGCACATATAATTATGATATTTATCTCATACCCTTATCGGGTAGCTGAAATAGCAAGTATCCCGTCACATCGAATACTGCCGGTGGCACCTCATGTATATAAGCCGAGCTTGGCGTCTCGTTGACCCGGCAACATCGTCTGCAGTTGCCAAAATTTGTCCTTTTCCGATCTCGAATTGCGACCAGACACATCTGCAGCATCAATCACCCACAAGATGCTGGACAGACTCCCCAATGAGATCCTTCATCTGGTCTGTAGGGAACTCGCAACCACACCAGACCTTATCCATGCTATAAAAGCTCAAGAAAGCAAACGGCATCTGGATCAATGGAACGCGCTTGCCCGGCTATGCAAAGTCTCGCGACAGATGAGACATGTCGCCGAACCACTTCTCTACCAAAACTACGCAAAACCCGACTCCGCATCAAATCCTGTTGCCCACTACTCTTTTCGAAAGTATCTCACAACAGTGCTCAAACGACCAGAACTTCTACAATACGTTCGCTCCTTCTACATCGGCTCCTGGAGACAATATGCCGATGACTTATCACAATTTGCTGCGGAGAGCAGGTTCGCTGCTTGCACTGCCCGCGTCTGCGACACGCATTTTTCTCCCGAGTTGCATGGGCTATACGACAGATATGCGAAGACAGCAATTTTTGGTGAGGCATGGAAGGAAGCTCTTGATGCTGGTGAAGAGGTTGCGGAAATTGCGCTCCTCATGAGCTTGACACCAAATCTGGAGCGCATTGAATTTTCCATGCCCTGGCTGGATCTCCAAAGTGACACCGCCCCTCAATATTTCTGGCCGAACTTACTTGTGGAGTCTGAAGAATGGAATCCGTCCAGTCACTTCCACCGGCTAGAGGCTGTGACGGCGCACAAAAGAAACATGGAGCCAGGCTTCAACTGGGATGTCGTGGCTGGATATGAGATTGATTCGCTCCTACCTTTCATCGGGCTTCCCAAGCTACGTATCTTCTGGGTAGAAGATGATGACACTGGTCTGTACCCGACTCGTTTGGAAAGGTATCCGCTCAACAACCAGGAGTCACATTTGTCGGATCTTGTTTTGATTCCGTCAAGCATCCATCCAGCCAAGCTCCTGCAGATTCTCAAGCGCTGTACCAAGCTCGAAGCATTTTATGCAGATTTCCGAGAAGAACAAGATAACTTCGTCCCAAACTTCTCGTGGGACACTATCGCTCAGGCCTTGAGCGGAAGTCAAAGTACTCTCAGAGAACTTGACCTAAGCTGTGATTTGCGGTCCCAATTAGCTACCGAAGCGGACACAGAGGCAGAATTCACCTGCATCTCTATAGGATCACTTCGCAAGTTCACCTCGCTCGAGACGCTCCATGTTCTGCAGACAACTTTACTAGGCTTCGAAAACATGGCAGATGAAGTGGAATTGGCAGTACCTGCCCTGCCATTCGATGAGATGTTGCCAAGCAGTTTACGAAGTCTCAAGATTGACATGTGTACTTTGACAATTGTGCCTTATCTTGAAAGACTTCTGGTCAAGGTCGAGGAAAAGTTCCCAGATTTTGGAGAGCTACAGCTAAGCGAGATTGACTACAGAGAATTAGATGTGGAAGGATACCCGTTAGATCAGCGCGAGGCTTTGATCGAGGGTATGAAAGTCCGGCTCGAACGTCTAAAGGAGGGGTTTATTCAGGCAGGTATCAAGTGGATTCAGTGAGCTTGCCATTTGGATATGCTGCATCTTCTTGAGACAAAAACACAAGCTCTGAAGCAGAACTTGACAACGACTCATGTAACTTCCACTTGATATGCACAACTGTCGATCACAGTGGGGCAATCTTTCTGGACAACTTTCACTTCATGTGAGGTTGGACGACTCTCATACAGCATATAATTGCCGTCTCATCTAACCGACTTCTACAGTGGTTGCTCAAGCGAGATGGGTGACATCAACAATAAAGATGTCGTTGTCCGCCCTGCAAAGGACCTCGAGGAAGCAACCCAGCTGTGGTGGCCGTTGATGACATCTTTGGGATGGGTGAGTTAGTTCGTGCCATTGTGGCGCGGAGGGAAAAAACAAAGGTTCTGACTGTCAGGAATCTCTAGAATCGTTCATATCATGATCTCGAATCCTACATCTCAGCATCACAATCTCGAGGTTTGCTTGTTGCGGTACCTCACGGCTCTGACGAACCTGTGGGGCATTGCGCGGCCACAATCTATGACAATTCCACTGGTTGGGTGTCACTGTTTGGTATAAAAAGTCGCTTCCCACGCTCTGATACGTGCTAACAAGCTGCAGTTGTGCAACCCACAAGCCAAGGAAAAGGCCATGGCAGAGCTTTGTTCGATGCAGTATTGCAAGAGTTCAGAGACAACAACACTTCAATCATCGGACTGGACGCAGTAGTCGAACAAAAGGCTACATACGAACGTCGAGGTTTTGTTGAGTCTCCGCTCGGCAAACTTCGCTGTATGTCTTGGGACATTCCAACCAATATTGATCATATCGCATCACATGACCCGGACACGAGCTTGCAACTAGTTGACATCAAGGACGTCCCACACCACCTTCTGGCAAAAAGTGATCTCGATCATACTGGCTTTGAACGCAAACATCTCTGGAGTGAAAAGTTTTTCAGTAGATCCGATCTGTTCGGGTTTGCTCTGGTCAATGGAAACAACGTGAGCGGAACTGAAGACATCTGTGCTTGGACTATCGCGCGTCAGGTTCCTCAAGGATTCCGCTTAGGTCCCGTGTATGCGGTGGACCAAAAAGCTGCACGCACGATCATACAGAGCGCGATGGAGCACGCGATACGAAGGATTGAAAATCCCTCAACCAGCTCGGCAATGTCACATCCAAGAGTAGCAAATCCGGGTTCCCATACTGTAACGGCGGAGATCTGGGATGGCAATCCTCATGCTGTGAAACTTTTCGAAATGCTGGGGTGGAGCACTGTCGGTGTGGATTACCATCGTATGTGGCTCGATGGAAAGTCCACACCGCAACAGGCCGAAGGTGGGTTAGCATACTCTGGCATGTACGCCATATTCGACGCCGCCATCGGTTGATGGGGTATATCGCAGGCGATATGGGGTACTCAACCTGCGACCGTGGACGTTTTCTCGTACCTTGCTCAAGACTCAGGTCCACGTTGTGCAGAAAACAGCTCGCTCCAGCGCACAAGAATGTAAGAATAGAATCAATACAAACAGGAGTAGTTGTATCAAGATGGCTCAACAAGACGATCCTGCTCGATCACTACCTCGCATGCAGCAAGAAGAGCCTTAGAAAGAGCGTCATTGTCTTACTCAACTGCTCGCGATAGGATGAACATCTCCGTCGCGAGAAACGGGGACGGCGGAGCACAATCCTACGCCCGTACAAGTAAACAGTAGTGCTGGTTCCTGCAGCGGGACAAGAGGCGAAGAGTTTGGACGATGGGAGCAGGAGCCAATAGTTTCAGGATCTGCAGGTGCGTTCCTGCCGCGATGACGCATCATCATATCGATCGACATGTGATTTTGCTCGTTCCTTATGTACTGTACGAGGGATCGGAGGATGGAGACACAGGTCAAGAAGCAATAAACTAACGTTTCTCGCCAAGCTTTATGGCATGGCTGGGTTGACAGGGCGGGATTCGGGAGATCTGCCAGACTTTGCTGCAGCGCCTGCGTGCTTCTCTCGACATCACCTCGTGCTCTGAATTTCACCCAATTCTCCATCATATGCTTTTCGCATATACACATCATGAACGCCTCTTTCGCCTTGCGTTTCTGTTGTCCGTTGCGACAGTTCTACCCGCCATCTTGCGGCGCAGCATATTTGTGTGATGGCAGTTGATAGGCTTACGCATGTCTTGCCCGTCTCAATCTGAAAGTCGCAACGTTCGCAGAGAAATTTATCGATTTGGCAACGGTCTCCATCTTTAGCATCCAGGTCACAACGGTAAGTCAACTGTTTCCAAGGGCTACCACCTTTTTCTCGAGAGGTTGGTAAAAACAGCGAACCTTCTTTATCGGTGCAACTTCCATCAGCGAGCTGTATATAATCAGGCTTCAGCATCCAGTTCAAGCCACCTTCTTTCTCATCACCATCGCTTTCGCTATTAACCCACTTTCGTTCAGGGGAACTCTTGTGTTTGTATAATTAATATCCGGACTAACAACAACATTCGACAACAATAATAATGCCTTCCTTCATCTCCGCAGCCGTCGCTGCCCTGTCGCTTTCGAGCCTCGCCTCTGCCAATGTGGCATACCGCCGCCAGGAGCAAGGCTTCAACAGCTCTAGCAGCGCTTCCAGCCAGCTGTCTACCCGCGTCCCTGTGCCAATTGGTACCGGAAGCTCCAGCATCATCGGCACTAGCTCCGCTGTGAGCAGCTCCGTTGCTGGTGGTGTCAACCCTGGTTCAAACAGCACCGCTACTGCCACTGGTGGTTCCTCTGCTACCCGCACTGGCTCCAACCCTTCGGCCACCGCCTCCGGCTCTACCCCCGACTCTTTGACCATCAACGGAGTCACCTTCTCTCTCGAGGTCAACATCACCTACTCTGGTGTTGAGATCGACCTTGCCATCCAGCTCACCAAGAGAGCCGATGAGACCCTTCCTCAGTGCCTTACCACTTGTGCCGCAAACACCGAGTGTGTTGGCACCGCCTTCAACAACAACACCGAGACTTGCACCTTCTTCAGCTCCATCGATGCCGCCTCAAGACGTGCCGCTCCTGGTGTCACTTTCGCCACCGTCACTGGCCGTGCCAACAACTCCACTTCTTCCGCTGCTGGAAACGGTACCTCCTCCACCAGAGGTCCTACTTTCCCTACCTCTACTCGCACCAACAACGGTACTTCCGTGACCGCCACCCCCAACAACCCTGGCACCAACGGCACCTTCCCTAACGCCGAGTCGCTCATCTGCCCTACCTACGATGATGAGGTCCTTCTCAACACCGATGGTAGCCAGTACCTCATCCGCTGCGGTCTTAACATTGACGGCACCGTCATTTCTGTCCGCAAGGCTCGCATGATCAGACGCCAGGCCACTTTCGGCAACGACTGGATCGTTGACTGCATTGACACCTGCTCTGCTCTTGGTAACTGCGTTGGTACCTCGTACAACTCTGTCCAGGGTACTTGCACTTTCTACAGCTCTGTTGACGGTCTCGTTGCCGATGCCAACACCGATTCTGCTATCCTCGTCAACGAGGCTGGCGATGTTCCCTCCGCTACTCCCGTTGTTTCTACCGTAACTTCCACTGCCAACGGTGTTCTTACTACCATCACAACCACCCCTATGACCACCTCGACCGTCTACTCCACCACTACCCGTACCATCCAGTCTTGCGCTCCCGGTGTTCCTTGCGCTGGAGCCCAAACCGTCACTGTAAGTTTCCCCGCATTCCAGATGCTTGGCGCTGCACAATGGGGCAGATTTGCCGAGGCGTCAAATCCGCTCGGCAAATCTTCCCTTCCCCTTTGCAGCCCCTCGAAGCATCCTATACCATATTTGTTCCATGAACACTGTACTAATCATTTTAATTTCGCAGGAGGTTGTCGTCGCTTATACCACTGTCTGCCCCGTCTCTGCTGTTCCTACTGGTGTCGCTACCGGCGGCGCTGGTGCCACCATCACCAAGGTCTGCACTGCATGCGCATACCAGCCTACTGTGGTCACCGTCTACCAGTGCCCCACCGCTCCTGGTGCTCCCGGTGCTGGCAAGCCTACCGCTGTCACCACCAAGACCATCTCCGTCCCCGTCCTTAACGGCCCCACCGGCGCTTTGATGACCTCCACCGTCTACCAGACCCAGGAGCACGTCACCACCACCTGTGGCGCCAACGGATGCGGCAAGGCTACCGTTACCGCCGTGGTCAGCCTCTACACCACTGTCTGCCCCGTCAGCTCTGGAGCTTCTACTCCCGCTGCTAGCAACCCTGGATCTTCGGCACCTGCTCCTTCATCATCTGAGGCTGTCTACGTTCCCGGCACCACCAAGCCCGCTACCACTGAGACTCACCCCGCCTCGACTGTTCCCGGAACCACCAACGAGGCCACCACCGTCCAGCCCTCCACCAAGGCTGCTACCACCGAGACCAAGCCCGCCACCACCGTCAAGGCTTCTTCTTCCATCGTCCAGTACAACCCCTCGAGCACCACCTCCGGTGTTGTTCAGTACACCGGTGCTGCCGTCAAGAACGGCATGGGCTTCGCCGCCGTCGCCGCCGGTGTTGCTGCCCTCGTCCTCTAAATTTGAGGGTTTTCAATCCACGATGCCTTTGATGCGTCTGGCACACATCACTCTCCTTAACGCCAACCCAAACCCAAATGTTCGAATATTCTCGGCGCCTTCTCAAAAAAGAGCTGGCTGCTTCTGGCTTCCGAGCCTTTTGTAATAACCCATTTATCACTTATTTCTTTTGTTGTCATATGTAAACTATACTTGGGAGGATAGCTGGATAGCATGGGCTGTAATACCCCCCTTTTGTTCTCACTTTTAGATAGTCATATCGAGATCTGCTGTTATCTCGGATTAGAAATTTATAAAGAACATTTTCTGATACTCTGACTTTCCATTTCTCTCACTCAATCTTGACCGGAAGTGTGCTATTCGAGAGGTGATGCGACGCCCTCATTCGGCCAATTCAAGGATGCGTCTGGTGGGTACCTGCAGGTGTCACAACAGAAAAGCTATGTCCGGCGAAGTACTGTCACTAGGAAGTTGCAGCTACTACAATTCAGCCAAACGTGAGGCCGCTGAGTATATTACGAAGGAGAACTTCATGCAGTGGATCAGATTCCGTGACGGAGATCAGGAGCCGGAGGAGCAGAGAGCCCATCAAACAGAGTTGTTGTCTCAGCAGCTTGAGAGACAGGGCTGGGAACTTTCCATGTCCCTTCTAGGATGGGTTGATATGCATGATCATCTAGATGAGGGATGTAGTATTCAAATGATAAGATATTACAGACAATTCGCTCCTGAGTCTTGACCATAACATTTCAATGCAAAGCCAACCAGAGCACTTCTGGCTTTAAACCGAGAGTTGCATGTGATGGTGAGACAAACAGGTCCAACACCTCAAATTCATGAGCTACCCTGAGCCCACTTTGTGGTGACGCATGAACAACTTCATCAACAGTGAAAAGGCAGTCGCGATGTGCGGAACGCCACGATACAACTTCTTCGACGCGGCTTGGACTTCTGACTTCGTTTATCTTCGCATTCTTCACTATCCATCATCATCCTTCAGCACAAGATTTCTATCTCGATATGAGTGATAGTATCAGCCGCCCTATCGTCTTCGGAAACGCAGATGCCGTACCCTGCTCTGGTTGCAAGACTGTATGGCCTTTGATAGGATACGGCCTCCACAACTTCTTCTGCAAGGCAATGAGCAAAGCCGGAAAGCGGCCTACGAAGTCTCATCACCTTGTGCTTTACTTCCCTCCCGGCCAAGGTCAGCTCCGATTCATCTGGGTCAATGATTCCGATTCGACTTTGGTGGTGGCATCACGACTGTCCCGTTGTCAGTGCATTTTTGCTTCGCACTCTGACAGAACACTCCCGTCGATCTACGGAGAGGACGATACAGCGATTGGCGTGTTCTGGTACGAGGAACCCGATCAAGTGGTTGATCCCACTCAGGCAATCTATTACAACAACGGATCCATATTCAGCCTTCATCACTCGAAAGGTCCCATGATAGTGTTCGCGCAAGATATCCAGGACGGTGTAGTGAACGTGGTTGACTTCGACATGCAACGAGTAATCGTCCATCTGGAGTTCTTGAAGCCCTACCTGAAACGCGAAAGGACCATTGAAAGCGAAGGCCTCAACTGGGCAGACATGGTAGATGGAGTCGTGTTATTATGTCAGGGCGAACATAAGCACGCAGGCACACCGTTCGTGTCGGTAAAAATTCACAAAAACCATGCTGTCCACAGAAAAGGGATTGCATCACCCCTGATGAGCTGCTCGAGGATGAAATTTCGCTGCATGAAGATACCAACACCGGCCATGGATGACGAATACATGCTCAACATCCCTGCGGCCATGTTGAACTTAACTCGCGACCTGGAAGCACCGGATATGGTAGACCCACAATGGACTGGGAAAGTCGGTAACGTCATTCTCGCATTACCAAAACTGGACGTCTCGGCGATGATGTCTATATACATCTACAGTGTGATAGACTTGGCACAAAGCTACATGTTCAATTACAAGATCCTCGAGCCTTTCGAGCTATCCGAGTTCAGCAGCATCGAGCAAGCCCGCTTGAGCCAGATACCGAAAAGGAAAAGGGTCGCGCGAGAAAAGATGCTCGAGCGTATATCAATCAAGAACTTCGAGAAGTGTCATGCGAGATATGCAAATATGGACTCGAGCGAGAAAGGCGGAGTTCTACGTCAGATCAGCTCCGGAGAGGTGTTCAAGCATATGCAGCACAGGGGGGAGGATATAAATGGACCTACCAACCCAGCCTTGCTTGGTATCGGTTGGCCTTTTGAGACTTGAACCAAGTGAGCGGCACTCGCTCTGACGGTCGCCCGGTCAAGCATTCGTTGATATATACATTCTTTCTTGACAAATTACAATCAAGTTTGTCTCTTGCCAAACGCCCGAATGCACGATGTCTTTAGTTTTGATGTGATTATTCAAAGAGACCAAGAAGAAGCGCGGCTCTCAATTGACCAACACCTGGTCATCAAAAGCATCATGCCTTTCTCAGAAGCCTTGTAGGGGCAACGGAGTTCGGTCCGGCTACATCTCCGTGAGTTTGTGAGTGTGCGTTGTTGTTTCTTGTGATTGCAACTCGATCACATCACAACTCGAGGAGGTGAATGTTCGTCTTCTCTCATCTTCCTATTTTGCTATGAGCTTTGTGGTAGCGTCTAGTTCTGCCAATTTCTTGGCCATGCGCTCTGCTTCGAGCTTGAAGCGGAGTTGACACCACTGCGTATACAAGTTAGTGATCTGATGGACAGTAAAGGAGGACGATCGACACACATCACCACAGCTGATCGGCCCATATTTGGGCGGATTGTCCTCGCTAGTGCAGGTGGGAATGACACCTTCCACGCAATTGAAGTTCAAACCTGTATCAAAATCAGCACTGATCGCCTCAGCTCTCCCGACATCAGAAGTCAACTCACCAAAGAAAAATGGCATAGACGTCCTCTCAACTTTCGCCCGATTGTAAACCCTGTGCACCGTACTCTTGAAGAAATCATTCGACAACCTCATCATGAAATCTCCGATGTTGACTACGAAAGTGCCTGGTTTAGGAGTAGCCTTGATCCACTGGCCTTCTTTCGTCAACACTTGGAGGCCTCCCACTTCATCCTGCCAGAGTAAAGTGAAGAGTTGGAGGTCAGTGTGGGAACCTAATCCTACTGCATTGGAAGCGGTTTCCTCGGCTGTAGTGATGGGGTAATAGTTCATCACTCCATCGGCACCGGGGAACGTCGTGCGTGTGTCGAAGTAATCTTCAGGTAGATCTAGACTCAAAGCGAAGACTTTTACAAGCTGGCGAGCTAGCTGCAAGCATGATTTCCAGTAATTCAGGACGTCGGATTTGAAATCGGGGAGGTGGGAAGTTCCTTGCCAGACGAATTCTTCACCGCGAATCCAGGGTTGCACTTCTGCTGGGAGGGAAGACAGGGGTTGGGGATGATCGGGATCGTTTTCGGGTTGGTAGCGCCAGCTGAAACTTTCTTTCACGTCGACGGATTCGGTGCGGGAGATGTTTGTGCTGCGGGGAGCTTTCCAGCCATTGTAGTATGTTGACTTGTCTTGGGAGACTTGCTCTTTGGCTTCGGTGTTTTGCTGGAAGAAGCTGTGAAGTTGTTAGTATCTGCTTGATGTCGTGATAAAGACTGACGAACGTCAGGAGTTGCGATTTCGCTTTAGCGATGACTTCTTCATCGATGCCGTGATTTTTGATGTAGAAGAATCCCATGTTTGTGCCTGCATTGCAGAGTGCTTTTGCAATCTCTTTGCGGCTTTCAAGCCCGCTGGAAAGACCGGCGAGATCGATGATGGGCACTTCCTCTTCGGTCGCATCACGAGGCTCGGTATTCAAGACTTCGCGGTAGACAGGACCATAGGCAGTGTGGAGCTCAAGCTTGTGGCTCGTGGGAGCTTCGATCACTGTGGTAGAAGACATTGTGGGTTGCTTCAAGAGGAAATCGTCTTTGAGGTCTGGCTGTATTCAAGTCTTGTATATGTGCTACTTGCCCCGTCGCGCAATTTGAGCTTGCTATTGGTTCATCGGAGACCGGCGACTTGCTACTTTTGGCCTATCAGTAAGATCATGGAGGTCAGAGGATTCAATACTGATTATCATGCCAAGTCAGAATTGGTCAGAGAGGTGTTCACGGAGGTTAAAGAGCGGAGATGAGGACGGAGAGCGAATGGGGAAGGAACGCGTCACATCGCGAGGCCAAAAGTCGTGGCCGAGGCACAACAGCCAGGTCAAACGACACTTCCTGAGCATCTCTCTCTTTCAGGATCATTGTTGGTTGACAATATCTGACATTACATTCCATCATGGTCATCTCTCACGACCATGAAACACTCGAACTGTGCAACAATAAGACAGATAAGCACTGCCCTGCCATGCCCGTTCTTGCCCGCCTGTTATCTCTCGCCAAGTGTCGAGGCGGTTGTCAAGTCGCTTCATGTGCTTGGCCGCGCGGGAACCCTGAATGAGAGTGACAACCTTCAAGCAAGTTGAAGCAGCTCTGAGCTCCTGTAAGTAGAAATTATCAGAATGTAAGTCTGAAGAAAACACGCCTGGTCAAAACTTCTCCACACCGAGATCTTGCATTGTCGGTCAGATAGTGCATACCATCTACAGATATCTACAGTAATCCCAGGATATAGTACCGATCGACCATGCCTATCTGCAACCATGCTGTGCCAAACTCTCGGCATCACATCTTCATCCGGTTTGAGCGATAGGCGTTGTGTCTCGAATGTGCGCTCTTTCCGGTTCAAAGATAAAGAAGCGAGGGCTGATTGCCGATTTTCATGATCGAATGTCTATTAATTGATCAATGTTGCCTGTGCAGGATTGTTGTTATTCACGGCAATAGTTCCTTCTAGTCTTCTACAATTCTCAGGATGTCGGGACTGGTCAACAGAATTCGCAATGGCATTCCGAAGCCTCATCTGCATGCAGCAGGTACAGAAGAGGTCAAAGGACAGGATATGTGGCTTGACAACGATGATATCAGGTGTGCTTCTCGATAGGCCTTTGATCAAGACTTCCACTAAACAGTTTACAGACCACTGAAGCTCGCCGATCGAACATGGAACGCAAAAGCATACCTTACTTTTTGGTTCAGTGCAGTAGCCACAGTTTCAAACTGGTATGCAGCATCTTCTGCTCAAGCTCTTGGTCTGAGCATGTGGGAATCTGTCGCGACTGCACTGGGAGGACAAATATTGATCGCCATCGTCATTGTGTTCAATGGCCGTGCTGGAGCAAAATATCACATCGGTTTCCCGGTGTTGAACAGAGCCGCCTTCGGAGTCTTCGGAGCATGGTGGCCAACCTTCAATCGTGCCGTAATGGCCATTGTGTGGAACGGAGTCAATGGAGTGAGTGTGATAACGATGCCTCGTTTGTACAATCGCTAATGTCTGTACAGGTTCAAGGTGGCCAGTGTATTTACGTGATGATTCACGCCCTAACACCCAAAATTGCAAACCTCAAGAACATCATGGGCGAAGGTTCAGCAATCAACTCGGGAGAATTCATCGGATGCATCATCTTCTGGCTCGTCACCTGCACCTTCCTTGTCATTCCTGTTCCTAAGATGAAAGGGCTCATCTACGCCAAGCTCATAGTTTTTGTCATCTCAGCAGTCGCCATGTGTGCATGGACCCTGACAAAAGCTGGTGGCGTCGGAGCAATTGCCCATCAAAAGGGTACAGCTACAGGTTCGGAGAGGACATGGCTTCTCGTCCGCTTCTTCTTCCTAGGTGCCGCAAATTGCGCTACTTTCGCATCCAACGCAGCAGATTTCCAGCGTTACGCTCGTCGACCCAACGATGTCATTCTGGGCAACCTTGCTGGCTTCCCTCTGAGCAACTTCATTGTTTGCATCATCGGCAATCTCGTCGCGTCTTCCTCGCAAGTGATTTACGGAGAAGTCATCTGGAACCCACTCACCTTCCTCGATATGCTTCAAACGACTGAATATAGCTCTGCCAACCGCGCAGGCTGTTTCTTCATCGCAGCTTGCTTCGCATACTCTGCAATTTTCTCCTCCATTTTCGAGAATTCTTTACCCGCTGGCAATGATATCGCCGCTCTCTTCCCGAAGTACCTCACCGTACGCAAAGGCTTCTTCATCTGCGCCGTCATCTCGTTCGTCATCAACCCCTGGTACCTCCTCGGCAGCGCCGGCATCTTCATCTCCTTCCTCGCCTCCTACCAAATCTTCCTTTCTGCCATCACAGGCGTGCTCCTATGCCACTACTACGTCATCTCCCGCGGCTATCTCAAGATCGACGACCTTTACACCAGCGACAAGAACGGCGTTTACCACTATTTCCACGGCTGGAACTGGAGAGCCTATGTCGCATACGTCGTCGGCATCATCCCAAACTTCTACGGCTTCCTCAACAACATGGGTGTTTCTGCGCCCACGGGCGTCACCAAAGCTTATTATTTCGCCTATGAGATCGGGTTGATTTTGAGTTTCGGTGTTTATTGGGCATGTTGCTATTTCTATCCTCCGCAGCTGGTCATGCCTTTGAGCGAGTGGCATGAGCCTAAGGACTATGTCAGGCCTGAGGAGAGGGCGGAAGTACTCGAGGGTATGCCTGCGGAGACTTGGGGGGACAACATCGATGGTGTTTCAAAGGTGGTCCAGGAAGATGTCAAGGAGCTTATGTAGTTGTCAACTTGTAGACTTCCGTACTTTGCGTTCTAATATTTAATCTTTCTCATCATGTCTTTCGCTCGATCGGTCTTCGTGCATCAGGTATTAGCTTGGACAGAGCATCTATGCCAATATATAAGAGCGTCAAAGTTCATACCCTCTCTTGGCTAGTCTTCAGGTCGCTCCTTTTGAGACACGAAAGATAAGGGTCGTCTGATTCCTGGTATACCATGGCTTGATATTATGATACAAGTGTGAGCATGAAGCTGCCTCGAACGAAGATGGCGGAAAGCTTTGTAAAGAAGTAATTCACAATCAAGACAAGACAGAAGACAAACAGCCATACTTCGAATGTAGAAAAAAAGTGGGTATTTGATACAGGTAAAAAAAAAAAAAAATCTTCTAATTCACAAATAGCCATCACGACCAATGTTCCTCCAACCTTTCCTTCTGCACCATCTATGCAACAGAAGCGACCACAGGAACAGCTCTGGGTTTCCTGGCGAACAAGCCGACCACGGCGTCAAACATCTCGCTGATGGGCATGAGTGCGATGTTCTCCCTATCGAATACTTGGGCAAGTTGTTCAGGTCTGACGACAGGTTTATCTGCTTCCTCGTCGTTTTCGAGGAGGAGGACTTCTGCTTGTTCGTCAGACATTTCTGCGTCGAGGTCTGCTTGTGCGTCTGATGTGGCGGTGGTGGGGGTGGCGATGACAGAGGAGGCGATGGAGGGGAGGGTGGAGCCGCCAGAGCGCTTGCCACGACGTGTGCGGATGCCTGCGATGGAAGGGGCAGCGGCGCGAGGGCTGAGTGTGAAGACCTCGGCTGCGGTGGTGAGGACCTTGTAACCACGTCTGCCCTTGACAGCCAATACAGCAGAAGCAGGATAAGGCAACGACTGGTTGAACTGAGGGGCCGAGCTTGTAGTGCTGAAGATCTGCACCCTTGAAACACCACCCTTTGACTTTACCGATACGGCAAAAGTCTTATCCTCGGGGTTTGTGGTGAGGAGAGAGGTTCCGAAGCGTGCAAGGCGGTCGAGGTTAATGCAGTAGAGCTGAGATTCATCTACGATATCCCAGACAGCGATGGTTTGGTCGGCGAGGACAATGAGATGGCGATCGAGGAATGCAAGAGCGCGGACGGTGCCGGTGAAGAAACCTGCGCGGGCTTGCTCGGTGGCGCCATCGGCTGTGTTGATAAAGTGGACGGTTGGTGTTTCCGTGGCGAGCTCAAAGGCTTGTGATACGGCTATCGTGGAGCCGTCCTCTGAGTATGCGAGTGCGGCGCCCTTAGGAGGAAGAAGCAGGCGCGGTTGATCGGGCACTTCGGCAAGCTCGACACTGCGGTCCAGAGGAATTGAGTGACGGCATGACCAGTCAACGAGACCTTCTGCCTTGGTACCGCGGACGACAATGCCGTTGCGCAAGCGAGTCTTGGGCTTCCAGATGCGGACGCAGCTATCCTCGCCCACACTTGCGAAACCAACCTCGACGGGATCTGATACAAGATTCAAGATACGACCAGGTTGAGCGTCGTCGTTCGATTGGTGAGGGCTGTCAATCCTTGTCTCCAAAGCCCAGAGGTTGCGTTCTGAGTCCCAGCGCCAGATCTTGAGGTAGACCTCGCGGCGGAAGAGGCGTTGTTCGTCATTTGAAGACTTGTCAGAGGCCAAGTGCTCAACATCGGGGTAAGGAGGAGACCAGTGCTCAGCTGTGGCGAGCCATTGTCCGTCATGGCTGACTTGCATATGAGTAACATCAGGAACCTTGATGCGGTTGCCTTCAGGGCCCTTGTTATAGTCAGTGACCATGTTGCGAGTCAATGCCTGGCGAGAGATGTGGCGGTCGTTTGAAATATCATAAGTCTGAAGGAAAGGTCGAGGGGCGGCGGAAGAAGTGTGCTGGGAGGTCTCATTCGTTGAAGAGGGCACGGAAAGTAGAAGTTGATCTGGGGACAAGGGGTTCAGGGTAGCTGCAGCCGGACGCAAGAAGCTCTTCTCCTCAGCGGTGGCGGCATTAGTGTTCTTGTCAATACATGATTGAGCCTGGAGTCCAGCGAAGTTTGCGGTGGGCTTGAGCTCAGTAGTGGAAAGGACCATGACCGAATTATCTGCGAGTTGAAGAGCATATGATGCGCCATTGGGAGAAACGGTCAGACGCTCAATCTCGGCAGTCAAATGAGGAAGGAACTGCTTCTTGCCGGTAGTCAATTGCCAAAGCACAAGAACAGTCTCCCTGCCACCAGAAATAAGATAAGTTCCGTCCTTTGACCATTTCAGAGTGGCAACTGCCTCGCGGTGCCAATGAAGGGTGCGAGGAGTCAATGACTCGGCGGACTTGTCTGAAGGGTAGACATTCTCGTAGAGGAAGATTTCACCCGAAACATTTCCTACAGCGACTGTAACGTTCTCCGTCTTTGCCTTCTTCTTGGATTCACTCGACTCGATTCTGCATTCAAGACTTGTTACGCCAGCAGAAACTGTGATTTCGACAAAATCGTAACGAGGAGAATCTGCGGAGGCGATGCGCTTGCCAACTACCAATTTCGTAGAAGTGGCAGCAACAACGAAATCGCCTTCAATGCGGAGATGGCTCAGAGCGTCCTTTGATGTGTAGATAGTGCGGTCTCCAGTGACAATGTTCCAGTCTCCGGACTTTTGGCAAATGGCATACAAGGCGTCCTGTGAGGCGTCTCCTGATGCTACAACAGCCAGGGCAGAAATAGAACCCTCAAACTTGATATCATCATTTACAGGAGTTCCAGTAATCCAGTTCCAGCGCTGAACACGGCCAGTGGACGAAGCGATGTATAGGTCCTCCTCATCGGCGACAGAAACAGCAAAAGCGGTGGCTGAGTGGTCGGGTCCGGGCAGCTTTCTCTCGACCAGCGATGTAGCAATTGACAAAACCTCGACTTCTCGGCCGTTGGAGGCAAAAACACAGCTGCGACTGGTTAGAACAAGTTGTGCAGGTATAGTCGCGGTTCAGCATACCTCTCATCTTGAGCGAAAATGGGGTCGTGCAGAACAAATCTTCCGCCCAAAGGTTTTGACAGCGACCAGGGTGATCTTCCCTCAACCTTTGCTTGCGGTTTCTCGACGACCTGAGCGTCATCGATAGCAACGCGGTCGACGGCCTTTCTTCTGCTTCGCCTCGACGACTTCTTCGCTTGACCAGGAGTGGTGGCTACTTGGAGCGCATTGTTGTTGGAATCGCCGGCAACTTGTGGCAGAGTGACAGTCGGTGTGCTGATTTGATCCTTCACTTGGGTCTTTGGTGTGGTCTTCGGTGTTTGGATCTTGACGGGCTTGGGAGTGCTTGTCGCAGTGTCGGCATGCAGGTGGTCGCTCTTCTGGCGCTTGGGCAAGGCAGTCGCAGGAGCCTTGTCACGCTGAGAGCGCTTTCTCTTCAATTGTGTGTCGGACATGATGCTCGGTAGAAAATAATGAACCTTCTCAAAGATTGAAAAAAAGTTCGGCCTGTCAAAGCTGGAGTGAGGGTCGCCCAAAAAAGTGGCCGAGAGCGCTAGAGTCTTGGCGCATCGCAAAATGCTCTGCCAAAGTCGGCCCTCTATTGTTCCCTCGACCATCATTGTCGCCTACCTCGATCATCGCAACATATCACTCCTTTCTCCACTCAACAAGGCGCATTCAATCAAACACACGCAAACACAGACAAGATGATCATCCCCATCCGCTGTTTCTCCTGCGGCAAGGTCAGTCCTTGATCGCCCAACTCGACCAATCTTTCGCATGCGCTGACAAAATTGCAAAGGTCGTCGCTGACCTCTGGGAACGCTACATGATCCTCCTCGACGATGGCATGGCTGACGGGTGAGTTTGCGCTCCTCACAACCCTCTCACTCCTTCTCTGACAAGTCTCGCAGTGACGCCATGGACAAGCTCGGCTTGACACGCTACTGCTGTCGCCGTATGCTCATGACCCACGTCGACCTCATCGAGAAGCTGCTCCGGTATGCTGTCGCGACAACCGCCATCACTTTCATTCTCACTAACACACCAATCAGTTACAACCCCAACGAGCGCGACATCATCAGACAGCGCGTCTAAACCTCTCTTCACACAACACAATACCTTTTGCATACAACAACCTGGCGTTATTCGGTTTCAATTCAGCATGGAGTTCTGGGCGGCGGGACTTTTCGAGAAAAGAAGGGATTGAACTTGGTCGAGAAAGTCAAACAATTCGAGGAATGCATGGAAGAAGTCATGAAAGAGAAAGAGAACAGCCCGAGGATAAAGGCGCGTCTCGAAAGAATCACACTCAAACCCACAACAACACCAAAAATGATACCCGTGATTCTGTCTTTGGAATCTTCTGGTCTTTTTTGCAACACCATTCTACTTCCTTCTTTGTGAATTGTAGACTGCACGATGCGATGTAGGAACCACAACAAGCCGAAACTCTCCGCATCACGATATGAGTGAGGGGTGGTATACATGTTGGACCAGGTAGGTCTCGTAAAGCCAGAGAAGCTAGGATGACTCGTCGAACTCTCTTTCACCTGTGCCAGTCAAGCACCACAGCTTGAGCCCCTTCAGGCAAACCGATCAAAAAGCCTTTCGTCGGGGATTATTTCACACACAATGACCCTTCTGACGCAAAAGGACAATAAAACTCCACCAAACACAATAGTCAAGTCCTTCAATCTCTCTGAAAGCAGACATCCGGTCCAGCACATGTCGAGAAGAAACTCTGCCTGCACCTCTCAATATCAGTCAAGTTTGCCTGATCAACGCTGACATTGTCCATCTAGACCGATTGACGCGGTTTCTAACCATGCTGGCTTACTCTGATAGTCATCCCTGCATTCAATCTCTAAGCACGGCGTTCCCAGTCTCTGATCAGCAGCCCGGTGATGCGAGGTAAACAGCAATTCTCCAATTGGCTTGTCATGTTTCCTCTACCTTGCCTCTACTCCAACCCTTGCCAGGCCCTCGAAGAATGGCTCTAAAGTTCATGAATGGTTTCGACGACTCGACAGGGAAATTTATCGTACATCTACCCAGATGAATGATCTTGCACAAACTACCCAACAAATTGCAACGATGAGACCAAGAACCAAGGAAACTCCCACGAAATCACAGAAGTAGCGAACAGAGAATTGACATGACTGCTGCTAAGTCTTTGCTATGATGAGAAGACTATCGACACGACCTCCATGACCACATTGTTCATGCTAACCAAGCTGGACCGAGGACAAGTGCGATATGCTAGGAGATAGCTTTGATGACTTACGGGCGTAATCAGCTAAAAATGCAATATCCCAAACAAGCAAGCACAAAGAAGACCATCCAAAGACCGTTACTCAAGAATTAAGAGATAGAAAACAGGGGGGGGGGGAGATGCACCAATCTCACATCCGTAAAGCAAAAACTTATAACCGAAAGCCCGCTGCACGATCGAAGAAATGGTGTCAAAGTCATGTCCAGCGTTGGATGAAACAAAATGCATTCGTGTTGATGATTATAAACTTCGCGGTGGGGGGGCATGCAAAAAAAAGTGCAAGGGAGGAAACAAAAAAAAGCAGAACCAAAATGCCGCTATCAGAAACAGAAACAGAACCATGACGAGATGCGCGTTATCAATGCCGCTTTCCAAAAGAAACGCAAAGAGGGAAAAACAACGGAAAGGAAAATGCCCGAAAGTCGTTCGCATATCGTACATGTTTGACTCGTGAACGCCGTTGCATGTGTGGAAACCCATATCGGAAAAGCGCAGTGTGATGAAGTGTAATCTGCGAAATGCAGTGTGAGAAGTACGGTATGAGAAGTGCAACAAACAGGAACAAAACAGTCTCCGGGACTCGGATGGAAGGTAATGTCTGAAGAAGTGAAGTTGTAGGGCGGGTGGGGATGGGAATAAACGAAGTGGACAAGACAAAGTAGCAGATCAACAGCATCGTCCCTTTCTGACATTGGTGTTGTCCTCGCTCTCGCCAGCCTCTGAGGTGTAGCTGACTGCGCCGGGTGTGTTGGGAAAACCGAGCCAGCTACGTCTTTTGTCGCCGTGACCGACACGAAAGCTGCCAGTGCCGCCATTGGGGAGGTCAAAGTAGCTCTGACCGCCATCAGCAAATGGAGTGCGGCCCATGGTGGCCTCGATGGTGCGCTGCTGATCAAGTTTGCGCTGGTGTTGGTCGACGAGCTTGCGTGTGATGACACGGAACATCTCTTCGATGCCCTCGCCATCCTTTGCGCTGATTTCATGGCAGCAGTCCCAGATATGCTCTTGCCCCCAGAAGCCACTGCTTCGATTGCTGTGAGGTGAAGCCATAGCGGCAAGGTTACCATTGCTGGCAGGGGGTGAGCTGTGTAGAGCACTTGGAGGACGACCATTTGAGGAAGCGACCTGATCTGGGTAGAGCTGCTCTGCAACATAGCCGATACAGCGCTCGAAGGGGACCTCGCGCTTCGACGGGTCTTCGGCGACAACATCGCTCTTTGTACCTACGACGTGCAGGATCAAGTCCTCAGCATCGCCCCAGCCTGTTTTGTCGCGCAACTCGCGCAGCCATACGCCCATCTCTTCGAAGCTCTTCTTGCTTGTGATATCATAGCAAAGCACGGCGGCATGTGCACCGCGGTAGTATAGCTTGCTGATGCTGCGGAAGCGTTCTTGGCCGGCGGTATCCCAGATCTGAAGTCGGATGTCTGTATCGGTTTCAGGGTCATGCACACGTGTAGTAAGGAACGAGGCTCCAACGGTCGAGGGAGTGCTGGGAGGGAGGAAGGTCTGATGGACGAAACGGTGGACCAGCGAAGTTTTGCCCACGTTTTGAGAACCGAGGACGACCAGCTTGGCCTCCAAGGATGTTGAAGGTGCTGACATGACTCGTCAGATTAGGAAAATGTATAACAAGAATAAAGACAGCCAATAGGGAATGCGCTTGTGTTCGCTAGGTGGATTTGCGACAGTGTCAGATTGCGCAGGTGACAGCGCGACAAGCAAGATCGTTTGTGGCCCTGCTAGATGCTGTCACTGCGCGTGCAAAGATGTTGTTCCGGGTGATTAGTAGTGGAGCCCTAGATACAGCGGCCGAGCCCCAGCAGAATTTGACAAGCGGCCATCGCCCAAGTGGCGCCTGTAGAAGCGAAAAGGAGAGGAAGGAAAAAGATTCCTAGGTATGCCAGGGAAAAGGGTCTGGCTCAGGGACTGAAGTTGTTGATGTTGTTGACCTGTTGTTGACCCCCACCTACCGCCGAGTTTAGGTTGCTGCCGCAAGACTTCCGCCCGACGTCCTTTGTTGGTCCAAGCTTGACGTACCACATCTCCTTGCAATCTCTCGCGCCTCGACATCTTCTTGTGCACTCCTGACATCCTATCACCATCAAGCGGAACTGTCACCGGAATTGATGTTGTACAAGTGCGATGGAGGACGAATGAGCATTGAAACATGACCCATTGCTACGCCCGAGCATTCGCGCCCGCGCCGTGAAACTTGATTTTCACCATCACAAAACGTCTTTATTTATGTGCTGCATGTCAGCCGGTAGGCCACTAAACGCTTACGGCTCTAGATCATCATACATAGCTTTAGGCACAGCTCGCCGCGAACCCTTTTGTCACCTGTCAATGTCCGACACGTCCGACTGTTACCACCCTTCATAAACAAATCCAATAACCCGAGAACGCGAGTGTCTTGGCTAGAGGCAGAACTCCGAAAGCACAAAGAGCAGATCTTCCAAACACTACTTTGCCCCTCGATTCGTTCCGAGACGACGCAAGAAGTGCACAGCAGCATTGCTCTAGAAATGAAGTCTTCGGTCTCGGATCCAGTCAGCTGTGGGGACATCAAAACGGCGTCATCACATATTGTCCTATCAAGTGTCTTATAGTTCACCGTTGAGTACACCCTATCAGTCTGATCTCTAACTGGGAGCCTCATGGGGTCACAACAGCCACGCTATACCGATTGAACGTCGGAGGTCTACGGGTCCTCTCCTTGAACTTGAATTTAACTCCCTACCCACCTTTCTGGTTTCCAGAACATGCATCGAACCCCAAGTGTTATCTTTGGCCAACAGCCCAGAAACAGATCACTCTCAATCCAGCAACAGAACCGGAAGGATCATTGACATGTCTTTGGTTGATGACGCCCTAAGATCCTTCAACCGTTGATACTCTTTCACGTTCGCCCCGCTCTTGACCTCTAGGCATGTTCGACTGTCGGTTGCTATGTCGATGCGATCCGTTCTGGGGCAGCCTCGGTTCTAAAATACCCATGGGCGAGCTATAGACAGTCCAGTAGTAGCTATGCCGTTATACTGTCTCAACAGCTCCAACACGCACTCTCCGATTCGTTGAAACCCACTATCAAGTTCGCCCCCAATTGTTTCTAGTACAGGTTTTCTACTAGTCAACATGTCTTCGTGAGATCGTTGTCTCCATCCTCTTGCCTACTAATCTTTTTTCGTATACCACAGCTCGTAACTGACTATCCATTCTTTGACAGCATAGATATTGCACGAACAAAATGCGCTTACAAGGTGCAGCTTTGTCGAGCAGCATCATTCTCTCGTCTTTGGCTGGTGTCACTGCTCGGGACATCACTCCGTCCGATTCGAAGGACGCTTCCCAGCAACTCTCTGTTCGCCGTCACTCGAAAGTCGAGACATCTGGCACCAGGAAGGATTCAGCATTTGGAGATGCTCTGAAGAGACCCACGCCTAGCTTGGACACCCCGGCGGTGCTCCCACGCCCCACGAACAATTATGTACCCAATAAGCGAGCAAAGAGACATCATGCAGCCTGGTCTTCGGACTCGGCCACAAGTATGGATGCTGAGAAGCTTGCACCTACGCAAGCCGACCGCTTACCTTCCTCGGATCACAAATCTGGATCTACTACCATGAGAACAATGCTGGTACGGCGGAAGGCATCTTCCAGTACTACATCGAAGAAGCTCAGCAGTACCGCGCGTCTATCGAGTAGTGGGAAGATAGTGAAGTCTTCTAGTAGGACTACAAGCTCGTCGAAGAAAGCTGGTTCCGTGATTAGAGGCGCCCCAATTTTGAAGCCATCGACACCATCGACCAAATCAATGACAAGCTCAACCAAGAAAGCTGTTTCTGTGGTTAGAGGCGCTCCAATCTCAAAACTATCATCATCCACACCAACGACGTCCGCGAAGAAGACTAGTTCGACAATCAGGGTTTCTAGTTCAACGCGCGTCACCTCCATAGTCAAGGTTGTTCAAACCACAAGCAAGCTATCAAATTCGTTGAAGAGTCTTTCAAGTGCCTCTCGTGTGGCTACTGTCACCAGAGGTGCGAAGCTCACCACCTCGTCCAGTTCGACAAAGAGATTGTCTAGCTCATCGAAAAGGCTCTCCATTTCTTCAAAATCGGCGTCCAGCTCTACTTCTAGAGCCTCGCAATCTTCTACTGGGCGAACACTGGATCTGAGCTCAATCAAAGCGCCTGTTCATACGTCTTTAGTCCCAACAAAGGGCAATGCACCGAGTCTATCGGTCAAAGCTACGACCTCAACCGTGTCATTATCACATGCGACGATTGTCTCCGAGAGCAAGTCATCTTCGAGCAAAACGTCTTCGAAACAGATATTTTCGGCCTCGGGCGCTATTCGTGGTTCTGTCTCGAAGACTACATCGAGTGCCGTGCATACATCTTCTAGCACAGCTCATACTTCATCTATCGTGGCTCAAGCGTTGTCTGCTACAACGCATGTATCTTCTGGTACAACACGTATACCCTCTACCACAGGATATGTATCCTCTAGCATATTACATGGGTCTTCTGATACGTCAAAGTCGTCCGTGATGGCTTCATCGGCCATCGCGGCGTCATCGCAGACTGCGAGTACCACAACTTCGCGGAAGTGTCGAGGCTTCTTATCCTGTCCACCTGAAACCACTAGTCTGGTATCCGTTTCTTCTGTACCAAGTTCTTCTGTGCACTTGTCGTCATCCTCAGATACAGGTCAGGCACCTGTCTCCACCCAGATCCCAGCCTCGACGGGTTCCGTGAGTGTTTCGGCATCACAAATGTCCGATCAATCAACGTTAGTTCCCAGTGGCAATATAGCAGTCCCGTCTCCTGAACTGATCGACACGAGGAGGGGACATTTACCAACAAAGTTGACTGCCTTACCCGTTGCAACAAGTCCAGTCTCTTCCGCCACCTTTCATGTGATCTCGAGCTCGTCAGTAGATCAGTCCACCTCTACTATATTCCAAGGGTCATCGTCAAGCGTCGGCTCCAGTGATGTTGCTACACCTTCGGCAACGATACCATCAGAGATACGTTCGTCCTCTACAGAGGGCACGACGACTTACGTTCAGCGGCCTGAGCCTGATACCACCCTCAGTAGCTTCGTGCAGTCCAGCCAGGCGCTCCCTACAAGTGTGGTTTCTACATGGGTAATAGGATCTGGCCAACCTGATGAGGTATCCGCGTCAATCGGGTCTTCTCACACCGCACAGAGCTCTACAGCAACACCTACTACAGCCACAATCGTCACCACAAGTCAGTCTGGAAGTGCGACAATCAGCGCATCTGTGGCCTTCGATTCATCATTCCATACGTCTTCCAGCTTTGGAGGACAGGCATATAGCTCTGGATCAGATGTACAATTCTCAGCAACAAGGTCTTCTTCCAGTCCGAACTCCATCTACACCATGAGCAGTCCGGTTTCGTCTTTATCTCTGGTGCCATCTACTCCGAGCAGCAGTGGTCTGTCGCCTGGTTCAACTACCACACAGATCACATCTTCCAGTGTGACGCGTGCTCAAAGCTTCTCTTCGACACCTAACCAGTCTTTGAGTGGCGAAGATCTTGCAGCTGCAAGCGTCGCAATCAGCACGCTCATCTCGCTCGGGTACACAGTTACTACATCCTCGACTACACGATCAGATTCAATGATCAGTCTCTCAATCCCCACAGGTGCTAGTTTTACACCTGGTTCCGCTATACTTGGCGCATCTGGTATTGTAAAACCAGTATCTTTTACCAGCGTCTCTTTCTCCAACTCGAAAGCCAGTGATTCCTCGTACCTGTTATCGGATCTTGCTGTGCCTACGTCATCGTCATCTTCGACCAATTCAGCTATTCCAGTAGCATCTTCCACAATCTTGGAGACGACAGATCGTACTCGTGCAAGCTCCACGAGCTCAGTGTTGGCCTCTTTCGCCACGTTTTCATTCTCGGAGAGCAGTAGCACTGCGGATATTATATCCGACTTTGGTTCATCTACCGGACTTCCCAGTTTCAGGACTACTCGTAGCCCTAGCATCTCGATCACTGTCCCTAATGTCCAGTCCACGGCTTCTTCTTCGTTGCTGAACCCCGGCAGTGTCAGTATTGAGATTCCCGCGACCTCCACAGATGCTATACCCAGCTCGCTTTTGACTGCACTGGAAAGCGCATCGCATACGATAGATTCTGTTATATTTAGCAGTGATCCTTTTGTGAATGCTTTCGGCTCTTCGTCTTTTGGCGCCGGTTTTCCTAGCCCATCGTTGTTGTCTCCTACGACTCTGCCTTCTATGACCGATATGGTTGCTAGCGAATACTTCCCAGTCATGCCAACGCCATCGACTACTGCTTCCACTTACTCGGCCAGCATCGATGCACTTCAGCCTACTACCACTCAAGCAAGCAGCATGGAACAGCCAGTGAACTCCATAGTCTCCAATGATAACACACAAATCGATGTGAATATTAGCTCGGGATTAGGCTCTTCCTCAGAACTTGGTTCTGCAACGGATGTACTAGAGAGTGCAACGTCCACTACTGTTTCTGAGAATGGCATTACCACTATACCTACTTCAAGCAACACTGAGAGCTCTTCAAGTCAATTTGATGACAGTG